AGTAAACGTGCCCACTCAGGATTACTTGATGCGCTGGTGAAAGCTAAAAGATGCCAGGTATCAGGAGTCAAATAAACTATGCAACCCCACTTCAAGTGCTGCATGAGACACCCTGATATAGTTCTGTGATATACTTCTGTGAATCACTGAGGCATTGTGTGTTTGTGTGTTGTTTGTCCTCAGAATTTCAAATAACTTGAGGTGTTTTATGATCAATAGTGATGTTGTGCTTTTGGACACACTGTCCTCAGGCTCCAGCTTTATGTTTATATGTTTTTATGTTGATGTGCTATTGTTTTTAATTGATTTTATTTTATTTGTATATTTAACCTATTCTTGACTCTGTGGTTCTTGCACTTGTTTGGGGAACAGGATTTCATTTTTTGTATTTACATTTCTGCCTGAGAAATGACACCCTGATATAGTTCTGTGATCTGTGAGACAGTTATGTGAATCACTGAGGCATTGTGTGTTTGTGTGTTCTTTTTCTTTAGAATTTTCAAATAAACTTCAGGTGTTTTATGATTAATAGTGATGTTGTGCTTGTACTATTTTGGACACACTGTCCTCAGGCTCCAGCTTTATGTTTTATGTTGATAGTATTAAAACAAAGAAAACAATCTGAAGTTGTTGTTTTTAAGTTATATATACCATGATTTTACCGGTCCGGCCCACTTGGGAATAGATTTTCCTCCATGTGGCCCCTGAGCTAAAATGAGTTTGACACCCCTGGTGTAAAGGAAAGAATGAATGGGGCCATGTATCGTGAGATTTTGAGTGAAAACCTCCTTCCATCAGCAAGGGCATTGAAGATGAAACGTGGCTGGGTCTTTCAGCATGACAATGATCCCAAACACACCGCCCGGGCAACGAAGGAGTGGCTTCGTAAGAAGCATTTCAAGGTCCTGGAGTGGCCTAGCCAACCCCATAGAAAATCTTTGGAGGGAGTTGAAAGTCCGTGTTGCCCAGCGACAGCCCCAAAACATCACTGCTCTAGAGGAGATCTGCATGGAGGAATGGGCCAAAATACCAGCAACAGTGTGTGAAAACCTTGTGAAGACTTACAGAAAACGTTTGACCTGTGTCATTGCCAACAAAGGGTATATAACAAAGTATTGAGAAACTTTTGTTATTGACCAAATACTTATTTCCCCCCACTGTAGACGTCAGCCTATAGACGCACTGAGTATGCTAGTATGTGGTCACAGCTTGGTGAACCTTTCCTGGTCTGTGCCTGCCATCATGTTCTGTGTCGTTTCCTGCATAACGTTCCATGCCTATTATGTTGATTTTACGATGCACAGTAAAACAGTGTACTTGGGATTTTTGGAAAAGCAGTTACAAATGGAACTGATACATTTAGCCAATAGGAAATCTCAAATGTGTCACGCTTGTTCTGGTGGTACACTGTGTCCTTGGGTCTTTTGAAAGGCACTTATAAATACAAACAGAACTGATAAATGTGCCTATAGGAAGTGTCAGTGTGAAGTCATGTCAGACGGTGTAGTGATGAGCTCACCTGGCTCCAGGTCCAGGATCATGTCGAGGGCCTGGCGGTAGTGAGGCACCTGCTCATTGAGCCCTGTCAGGTTAAACTTGTCCTGAATGTAGTCCTCATCAACCTGGTACAGTGGAATGGATCAACATGGTTAGTAGCTTTCAGCTGCCAAACACAGTCTACTACTCTTTATATGAATAGGCTACAGTTGGTCAATTGCATAACAGGTTAAAGGGATTACTTACATTTACGTCATTTAGCAGACGCTCTTATCCAGAGCGACTTACATTATTTTTATTTATTTTTTTCATACCCCATGGGAATCGAACCCACAACCCTGGCATTGCAAACGCCATGCTCTACCAACTGAGCTACCTCCCTGCCGGCCATTCCCTCCCCTACCCTGGGCCAATTGGGCGCCACCCCATTTGTCTCCCGGTTGCGGCCGGCTACAGCAGAGCCGGGATTCGAACCAGGATCTCTAGTGGCACAGCTAGCACTGCGATGCAGTGCCTTAGACCACTGTGCCACTCGGGAGACTTGGCTTTCAGCATGACAATACTTCAGTATTGGCAATTAAGACAAGCAGAAGAGTTAAAGGTAGAATTAAGCAATGTAGCTTATGCATGCACTGTGTTGGAATATCTGAAGCTACCACCACGAGATAATAAGTTTGTCACAGTTACACACTATGGGACCAAAACAAAACCACCTCTTTACTTTAATCACTGTAATGTTGGGTCCTCTTTTACATGGAATTCTCCATCTGTGTTTAGGGTATATTTGGCTGGTAGCTGTAACAGTTCATTCTGTATTTCAAACAAACAACTAGCTTCACAAACAGTTGGCTAAGTCCCAGCAATTGTCTTTCCCCTGTCTGTCCTTCTCATTCTGTGATGTTCTGACATAACTAGCTAGCTACTCACCTCACAAAAGAACTCATTCCCCCTCAGGCCACAGAACCAGGAGATCCAGGACACCTCCTCCGAGCTGCTCATCCTCTGAACAAGTGGGGGGTGATGGTGCAAAGGCATGTAAAAAATTATATGCATTTCCGACTTTCCTTTGATTCACTAGAAAATAAAGCTAGCTAGTGGTGTATCCCATTCTTGTCCAGGGACCTGAAGTATGTGTACACTGCAGGCTTTATTTCGGCCCCAGAGATGCTAGCTAGCTAATCTAATCATCAAGCACATATGTGTTAGTACTGGGCTAGAACAAAAGCCTGCTGTTAACCTTAGTCTTTATTAGTCAAATGATGCATAAAGAAATCTTGCTAGCTACCGTTAGCTACATAGATAACGCTAGCTAGCTAACCCCGTGTTTGCTAACTAGCTAGCTAGCTACGTCGTTTGTTTAATAACGTTAGCTAGCTAACGCTAATTTTCCACACGCCTGAAATCCATACTGATTTGAAACTAAACAATTAATTTAGTCCTGGATAAAACCAAATATTTTGTGTCAGCACACGTTTACTCACCCTCTTCTGTGTTAGCTAGATAGATCTACCGGTAGCTACTTTGCTAACTAGCTAGTACCTTGGCTAACTGTTGTCAACAAGAATACTACTTCCGGTGGAATTTCCGGCTTCTCCGACCTTTGTTGATTAACAGTTTGCTGTTCCAGTCAAACGGCCGAGTATGAGTTCCAGTCCGCTCCAGAAGCCAATGCGCTGGGAAAGTATGAAGACTTCCACATCAACTTTTTGAATGGTCTTCTTCGAGGAGATGAATCCACGCCAGAGAGGAAGAGAAGTCGCCAAAATCTGTCGAAAATAAGCCCAATGCGTTTCTATTGGCTTATTTTGGACCTATACTTGTCGCCTGCCTTCCCGCCTTTGGGACAACGACTCCCATTGTTAGGGAGGAAACATTAGCATCTCGTCATTGTATACAGATCTCTGTCCACGCAAATGTGCTGACAAAATTAGTGTAAAAATACAGAATTTTAAATCAAGTCTTTCAGGTCATTAGTCTCATGTCAATGTCGAGTCCCGAGGCTCCGATTCCATGTCAAGTTATTTTATTTTCTACCAAATCGAGTCTCAAAACATCACATTTGTGGACGTGTTCAAGAGCATCAAAACCGTGACGTATCATTGGTAAATTGACTGGCCACTGTTGGCATTTTTAACTGCAGTTTCACAGATAATCAACAATGAGTGAGGATGGAGATTCATGGTCTTTACAGCTAATACAAATCACCACGGTAACTCAACATAAATAATAATTATAATAATGCATACAATTGTGCATTAAACTTAAACACCCAAAGCTGTTATGTGATTCAGTCATTTTATCAGAAATGCTGACAATTGATGGTGTTAAGCATATTCAATCAAGAGCTTGATATGAGGTGCTGCAGCTGCACACACATTTTTCACCAACAAATGGACTAGCCTATGGATCAATCAAACCTTTCTTTACAATGAAACTTGTATAAACCACTTCATATGACATTCAGTTTTTATATGAACAGATTGGATCCCATAATGCAATTGCATTCAGGGCAGTTCTGAAAAAGTCTTGCGTTGCGGTGGTCCACTCTCTTTGGCCTCCTGGTCTTTCCCCTTCTCCTCAAACATCAAGATCCTTCGGCAGAGAAAAATAAACAAACACATATTATTACACATGTCATGTAGCAACGAGACATAGCCTTAAAGGAAATACAGTGGATTACAAAAGTTCAGAATCGTATTCAGAAGTTTCATTTCGGGTCTAATGTAATGCCGTCATTAATGTAGTTTCATATTTCTTCTAACTTACAGTCGGAGTATGGAATTCCTCTTTCCTAGCATCATATTGAGAAAGTCTGTGTAACAGAACGTGTCTCGTGCAGCGCCGCCAACCACATCTGACATCATCTTTTTCAGCTCCAGGTGAGTCTTGGCCACCCCCAGCTTCTCTAACATGCGCTTCAGCCCCATCATGTCTGTGACACAGAGATAGATAGAGAAAGAGACAAAGATGACAAAGATAGTTCACATGGATGGCTCAATGTTGTCCTCTTGATTAGCCTAATCTTGTTATTCATCAGGATTGTTTTACCGATGTCTCCTTGGTCATTGAGATCAAATTCCATGTATTTGTCTGTAAAACAATACAGAACACATTAAACATATTATTTCATTGTTGATTCATTCATCAAGGTAACTGATAACTGTCTGATCAATGTGAAATTAAAACACTTGAAAATCTCACTTTTAAACATTTCCAGTTTTGAGCTGAGGTCCTCCTCCTCTGCATATTTAGGATCTGTGAGAAAAACCTTCAGAATAGAATATCACAAGACAGACCTTGAGATCTGATAGTTGCTAATAATACTATAGCTAGATAATACTGCCCAAATAACATTTATAGACAGATGAACAACAGACCTCATTGATGGAGTTCAGTTTCTCATCCTGCTGCGACTTGAGGAATCCAAATGCTTTCCCTCCTGAAACAATATGAGATAAACTCAGAAATGTTATTACTCACTTCCTTATTGGTGATCTACTGGAATCCCCCCCCCCCCCCCCCCCCCCCACACACACACACACACATTCACAGGATTTAACTAAAGCTAATGACAGAGAGACTTACCTTGTAAATGTTTATCCATGTCAATCTGCTGTTATTTGGTGTATAAGAGACTAGTCAAATGGACCATGGGTTGCTGAGTGTTGTGTTATGAAGACTGAAAGTGTCAAGTATGTATCTGTATATTGTGACAGAAGAGGAAGTTTGGGGAGTTAAAGTTAGTGTGGTCATTTGCTAAGTTCCCCTCTCACATCCACTCGCAGCAGACGGAACAGACAGAGAACAAAGAGAGTGTATGTAGGGAACAAGGAACTAGGGGGTTTGCATTTAACATACGTTAGACTAGGCTACCACATAAACACTGCACACTACATCATTGTCTACATATATAAAATAAATGTTTTATTAAAGTGCTTTCATCTACTTTCAGCAAAATGTTTAATCACTTTTCATGTATACATTTTGTAACTTACGGCTCAGGCACAAGGAAGGAATGATTCTAATGAAATGTTATGTTACAGTACTGTTATGCTAAGTATTGTATAACTAATTGGATAAATGTGGAAATTACAGTGAATTAATTTTAAGCAAATAACTTGTTCTCTGGCCTTGACACTAGATAACACTGTTAAGCATATAATCTTCAAAACAACATGCTTTTTATGTGGGAAGTCAATAAGTGTTTCTCAGGAAATGTGTATTCATAAACAATAAAGAAACTAGGCCATGGAGAACTGAGATCGGGGTCTGAGATGAGAGACTAAGGAACTTCACACTCACATGGATAATGGCACTGTTTCAGTCACACGGGTTATCAATACTTCTGTTGAAAATCATAACGCAGTGTGCTGGTGAGTAGTCGTTCTTGCTGAAATTACACTTTATTTAATTGTCTGATAGTGATTTTTAGAGCATACTGCTCTAAATATTTCAAAAAATTTCATAATGCTAATTTCATCCATTTTTTTCTCCTTATTTCCCAGGAGCTGAGTCTTGTTCTCATGTAGAGACGACACAGTTCATCACAGCTACTCAGAAAGAGGTAGCTGTCCTCCCCTGTTTCACATCAACATGCCTAGATTTAGCAACCAGAGTGAAATGGACAAAACTTTCACCTAAACCTGAGGACATCTTGGTGTGGCCTGATGATCCATCTGTGGCCCATAAGTCAGAACGTGTGGCCTTCGAGTCGGGAGTGGATGTTGTGGTGGCTGGAAACCTGTCCCTGTCTCTAAGAGATGTCAGGAAATCTGACGAAGGGCTTTACAGCTGCAAGGTCTGGCAGGGATGGAGTTGTGTCATGGTGAAAAACATCACTCTAAAAGTGAAAGGTAAAATGATATATTCCCTTTCTCTCTATGTAAGTGTCAAATAAAAAATATAGTCAAACTTGTTTGAGTAAGCCTCTATTCTCTTTTCCAAAGAATGCAAAATCCTACATTCAGTTATGGCAGCACCCAACGGAATAGCTACCCTGCCTTGCATGTTGAACATGACAACAGGAATGCCCCAAATATCATCGGTGTCCTGGGGAGAGATCAAGGGAGACACTGAGACCCAAATACTTCAATACCCTACATATATCACCAACCAAACATCCCTAGGAAATAGGGTGAGGTTTGGAGGAAATCTCAGTTCAGGAGATGCATCTTTGGCTCTCTCCCTGGTGGAGTACAGTGACAGCCAATGGTACAGATGTAAGTTGCATATGGGACAACATGAACGCTGCTTTGAGGTCAAGCTACAAGTTAAAGGTGAGTATATGCTAGTACATTCTTATTCAGAATATACAGTGCATTCGGAAGGTATTCAGACCCCTTTACTTTTTCCACATTTTGTTACGTTACAGCCTTATTCTAAAAATGATCAAATTGTTTTTTTCCCTCATCAATCTACACACAATACCCCATAATGACAAAGCGAAAACAGGTTTTTAGAAATGTTTGCACATTTATAAAAAATATAAAACAGAAATACCTTATTTACACACAGTACCAGTCCGAAGTTTGGACACACCTGCTCATTCAAGGGTTTTTCTTTATTTTTACTATTTTCTACATTGTAGAATAATAGTGAAGACATCAGAACTATGAAATAACACATATGGAATCATGTAGTAACCAACATTTAAAAAAACAAATTGGCATTCTCTCAACCAGCTTCAACTGGAATGCTTTTCCAACAGTCTTGAAGGAGTTCCCACATATGCTGAGCACTTGTTGGCTGCTTTTCCTTCACTCTGTGGTCCAACTCATCCCAAACCATCTCAAATGGGTTGAGGTCGGGGTATTGTGGAGGCCAGGTCATCTGATGCAGCACTCCATCACTCTCCTTCTTGGTAAAATAGCCCTTACACAGCCTGGTGGTGTGTTGGGTCATTGTCCTGTTGAAAAACTAATGATAATCCCACTAAGCGTAAACCAGATGGGATGGCTTATCGCTGCAGAATGCTGTGGTAGCCACGCTGGTTAAGTGTGCCTTGAATTCTAAATAAATCACTGACAGTGTCACCAGCAAAGCACCCCCACACCATAACACCTCCTCCTCCATGCTTCACGGTGGGAAATACACATGCGGAGATCATCCGATCACCTACTCTGCGTCTCACAAAAACACAGCAGTTGGAACCAAAAATCTCAAATTTGGACTCATCAGACCAAAGGGCAGATTTCCACCAGTCTAATGTCCATTGCTCGTGTTTCTTGGCTCAAGCAAGTCTCTTCTTCTTATTCGTGTCCTTTAGTAGTGGTTTCTTTGCAGCAATTCGACCATGAAGGCCTGATTCACACAGTCTCCTCTGAACAGTTGATGTTGAGATGTTGTCTGTTATTTGAACTCTGTAAAGCATTTATTTGGGCTGCAACTTCTGAGGCTGGTAACTCTCTAATGAACTTATCCTCTGCAGCAGAGGTAACTCTGGGTCTTCCTTTCCTGTGGCGGTCATCATGAGAGCCAGTTTCATCACAGCGCTTGATGGTTTTTGAGACTGTACTTGAAGAAACTTTAAATTTCTTGACATTTTCCTGATTGACTGACCTTCATGTCTTAAAGTAATGATGGACTGTCGTTTCTCTTTGCTTATTTGAGCTGTTCTTGCCATAATATGGACTTGATCTTTTACCAAATATGTCTATCTTCTGTATACCACCCCTACCTTGTCACAACACAACTGATTGGCTCAAACGCATTAAGAAGGAAATACATTTCACAAATTAACTTTCAACAAGGCACACCTGTTAATTCAAAATCATTCCAGGTGACTACCTCATGAAGCTGGTTGAGAGAATGCCAAGAGTGTGAAAGCTGTCATCAAGGCAAAGGGTGGCTACTTTGAAGAGTCTCAAATATAAAATATATTTTGTCTGCAGCATTGAAGGTCCCCAAGAACACAGTGGCCTCCATCATTCTTAAATGGAAGAAGTTTGGAACCACCAAGACTCTTCCTAGAGCTGGCCGCCAGGCCAAACTGAGCAATCGGGGGAGAAGGGCCTTGGTCAGGGAGGTGACCAAGAACCCGATGGTCACTCTGGCAGAGCTCCAGAATTCCTCTGTGGAGATGGGAGAACCTTCCAGAAGGACAACCATCTCTGCAGCACTCCACCAATCAGGCCTTTATGGAAGAGTGGCCAGACGGAAGCCAGTCCTCAGTAAAAGGCACATGACAGCCCACTTGCAGTTTGCCAATAGGCTCCTAAAGACTCTCAGACCATGAGAAACAAGATTCTCTGGTCTGATGGAACTCTTTTGCCTTGAATGCCAAGCGTCACGTCTGGAGGAAACCTGGCACCATCCCTACGGTGAAGCATGGTGGTGGCAGCATCATGCTGTGGGGATGTTTTTCAGCGGCAGGGAGACTAGTCAGGATCGAGGGAAAGATGAACGGAGCAAAGTATAGAGAGTTAATCTTGATGAAAACCTGCTCCAGAGCGCGCAGGACCTCAGACTGGGGCGAAGGTTCACCATCCAGCAGGACAATGACCCTAGGCACACAGCCAAGACAACGCAGGAATGGCTTCGGGGCAAGTCTCTGAATGTCCTTGAGTGGCCTAGCCAGAGCCCAGACCTGAATTATGGGGTATTGTGTGTAGATTGATGAGGGGGAAAAAACAATTTTTATCAATTTTAGAATAAGGCTGTTACGTAACTAAATGTTTAAAAAGACAATTGGTCTGAATACTTTCCGAATGCACTGTATCTATATTTGTCAACCATTGCATTAGCAATTTGATGTTCTATAATTCTCATGTTCTACCATTGAAACAGAACAGGAAGAGGAGACTTCCACCACAACTGAACCAGCAAACCGTGGTATGTGTACAATGTTTTTCTCTTATTTGTGTATTTTATTTATTTAAAATAATAATTATAATGAAAATATTTGTGGACATATTTATCACCACTGGGTTTAGAGGACTAGAGACACACGACAGGCTTTACACTCAGTTCAATCAAATGAGATCATGAATGACTGTCATCATATGATACTGATGCTCTGCTCAGCAATTACAGCCAGTCAGAGTCCAGAAAGAGTTGTGACAGCTGCAGTTGGAACTATAGTGGCTTCATCCATGTGTGTGATCTTCATAATGGCTCTTACACTGGGAGTGATCATTTACCTCAGACGCCGCAGACACTCCGGTATGTATGGACACTACTCTGGTTTATATTGACCTGGTAAAGTAAGGCAGACACTCAGGTATGTGTGGACACTACTCTGGTTAATATTGACCTGGTCAAGTAAGGATGTGTGAACACTACTCTGGTTAATATTGACCTAGTAAAGTAAGGATGTGTGGACACTACTCTGGTTAATATTGACCTGGTAAAGTAAGGCAGACACTCAGGTATGTGTGGACACTACTCTGGTTAATATTGACCTGGTAAAGTAAGGCTACATGTTTTGAAATACACATTCCAATACAGAGTATTATTGTATTGTGGATCTGCCTCTCTCTCTTTCTCAGATGAAGATCACTGGCATACTTATGAAGATGTACAAGACTCAGGTAAGCCCGTTGATTATGTCCCATCCTGAGTATGCTCAGAGTGCTCCTCGTCCACCTCGGTAGTGGAAAAATTACTCAATTTTCATACTTGAGTAAAAGTAAAGATACCTTAATAGAAAATGACTCAAGTATAAGTGAAAGTCACCCAGTAAAATACTACTTAAGTAAAAGTATTTGGTTTTAAATATACTTAAGTATCAAAAGTAAATGGAATTGCTAAAATGTACTTAAGTAGTAAAAGTAAAAGTTTAAACCATTTCAAAATCCTTATATTAAGCAATTGACCTGGTAAAGGCTACATGTTTTGAATGATAAATTATATATATTTTTGACGGATAGCCAGGGGCACACTCCAACACTCAGATATAATTTACAAATGAAGTATTTGTGTTTAGTCAGTCGGCCAGATCAGAGGCAGTAGGGATGACCAGGGATGTTCTCTTGATAAGTGTGTGAACTGGACCATTTTCCTGTCAAAATGTAATGAGTACTTTTGGGTGTCAACGAAAATGTATGTAGTAAAAAGTATTTTCTTTAGGAATGTAGTGAAGTAAAAGTAAGCATCTAATTAGTAAAGTACAGATTCCCCCAAAAACGACTTAAGTAGTACTTTAAAGTATTTTTACTTAAGTACTTTACACCACTCGTCCACCTAAATAACATGTCTTCATCTATTCTTTTCACAGCAATGTTCCCCAATGTTCTGTATTCACTTCAAGAGTTTGACCAGAAGGAGGACCTATGCACTTGTGAGTTTTTCCCCCCAAATATACAGTACCAGTCAAAAGTTTGGACACACCTACTCATTCAAGTGTTTTATTTTTACTATTTTCTACATTGTAGAATAATAGTGAAGACATAAAAACTATGAAATAACACCTATGGAATCATGTAGTAACTAAAAAAGTGTTAAACAAATCAAAATATATTCTATATTTGAGATTCTTCAAAGTAGCCAACCTTTGCCTTGATGACAGCTTTGCACACTCTTGGCATTCTCTCAACCAGCTTCACCTGGAATGCTTTGTCAACAGTCTTGAAGGAGTTCCCACATATGCTAAGCACTTGTTGGCTGCTTTTCCTTCACTCTGCGGTCCAACTCATCCCAAACCATCTCAATTGGGTTGAGGTCGGGTGATTGTGGAGGCCAGGTCATCTGATGCAGTACTCCATCACTCTCCTTCTTGGTCAAATAGCCATTTTGTGATTTATTTAGAATTCAAGGCACACTTAACCAGCATGGCTACCACAGCATTCTGCAGTGATACGCCATCCCATCTGGTTTGCGCTTAGGGGGACTATCATTTGTTTTTCAACAGGACAATGACCCAACACACCTCCAGGCTGTGTAATGGCTATTTGACCAAGAAGGAGAGTGATGGAGTGCTGCATCAGAGGACCTGGCCTCAACAATCACCCGACCTCAACCCAATTGAGATGGGTTGGGATGAGTTGGACCGCAGAGTGAAGGAAATGCAGCCAACAAGTGCTCAGCATATGTGGGAACTCCTTCAAGACTGTTGGAAAAGCATTCCAGGTGAAGCTGGTTGAGAGAATGCCAAGAGTGTGCAAAGCTGTCATCAAGGCAAAGGATGGCTACTTTAAAGAATCTCAAATATAAAATATATTTTGATTTGTTTAACACTTTTTTGGTTACTACATGATTCCATATGTGTTATTTCATAGTTTTGATGTCTTCACTAGTTTCTACAGTGTAGAAAATAGTAAAAATAAAGAAAAACCCTTGAATGAGTAGGTGTGTCCAAACTTTTGACTGGTTCTGTATATATTTTTTAGTTTTGAACCTGGGCCTAGATTCATTCCGGGCCGCAGTAGATCCGCGTTATAGCGCGATTGACATTTAAAGGCAATGTTACCTGGTTAGCGGAGATAGCACTCACGGTAAACTGGATATGTCCGCTTTATCGGAAATTACCTTTAAACATCAAGCGCGCTAAAACGCGGATCTTCCACGATCTGGATTGAATCTAGCCTCTGGTCACTGTGTCTGTGAGTCCAGGTTAAATTGTTGTTTCTAATAACTTCAGTTCTGTAATCAATTAACATTTCATTCAAATGCATTTATTTATTTGTCTTTCTTTCAGTTCAATGCCAGTGAAAAGAATACTCATCTTTCAACACACCATGTCTTACTTAACCATACTCAAAACACCTATAAATGCTTTTTTTTATGGTATTCACGCTTCTTATCTTTCAACCCCTGGTATAGCCTACATAGTATTACACAATATCAATCTTAGTTGTGAAATAGTAAAATGGATGAGGTGACCTATTGTATTTAGCTTGATTTGATTGGACATATTCCTTTATTTGTGACTTCCATGGTGGCACAACTTGTGTTGATGCTTTTGTACACCACAGGATGTGTGGTTGGGAGCTGTTCCAGACAGAGACATGCTGTTCTGCCGTTCTACTTGTATTGCTAATGCTCACACACTGCCATCCTGTATCAAATAAATACACGTATCTGTTCATTCTCATGTAGTTTGTCTCTTGTCACAGTCCCATACATCTACCCAGTTGTACAGTGCTGAAGAGAAGTTACCAGGTTTCTTAATGCGTAACAGAGGAAGGACCCATGTGGGATGTGAGTCAGCAGAGTGATTTTTAGTACAGGAGGTGGGGTGACTTAGTCATCAACCCCCACACTGAGGCATACTGAATGTGTTCCTGTAAACAACTTAAGTCGTTTTTATTATAAAAAATAAAATATCAGTACATTGAAATGATTAATATGGTAACTGGTGATATTCTATAGAGGTTATTTTATTTTTATGAATTTATTTGCACAATAAAAACACTTCATATTTCAGTTTACATTTATTATATTTAGAAATATAATAGAAGGAACCAAAAAAAAAAAACCCTGCATAGGCTTGATGTACTGGTGAAACTTAATGTGACAAATATCAATGTGACAACTCCTAGTCATGGAAATTTCCCCCTTTAAAAAAAGGGTTAAAAGCGGAATTTAGATTAAGGTTAACAGTCGGGTAACTTTTGGGTTTGGCCCCCCCGGCCAGGGTTAAAATTTTTTTAAAACCACGAATTTCAAAACAATAAAGGGTTTTAAAATTTTTTTTTCCAGCAATGGAAAAGGAAAAAAAAACCCACAACACCCAAGTTTACTTAAATACCCCCAAAAAAAACCAAAATTTTTTTTCCCCCTTTTTTGGGATTCATTTCAAAACTTTAACCCCGGAAAGCCCCCTTTAAAAAATTTACCCAATAATCCCCCCCCTTGGTTAAATATAAAAGGGAAAGGAGGTGCCCAGAAACCCCCCCAAAGGGGGAAACTACCGAGGTTTTCCAATGGGGCAAAACGGTTTTGGGGTTTTTCCCTACTCCTCCCCTTTTTTTCGGGCTCCCCTTTCCCACTTTTTCCCCAACCCCCCAAAAGCCCTGGGGTCCTGTTACCCCGTTTTTTCCCCATCCCCCCCTTTGGTCAACAAAACCCCAATCTCCACCCCCCCAAAACGGGATTGGTGGGGGGAGCGGCCGCGGGAGGGGGCTGAGCGCCCTATTTGGGTAGGGGGCAAAGGCCCACACGCCACCGTAAAATTTACAAAACGGGGGGGCCAGGGTTTGTTCGACCACCCATAATTTTCCCGGGTTTGGACAGGAAAAAGGGCGGGCGGGGCTTAAAGCAAAAAGGGAAGCCCCTTGGGATTGGGAAGGGCGGGCAGGAGGGTTGTAGAAAAGGAGGGGGGGTTTGGACGGGAAACCCCCCAGGGCTTACGAAGTGTTTCCGGGGAAACCAAACAAGGGGGAAAAAAAATAAAATGGGCCCTTGGAAAGTTAAAGGAACTGGAAATTCCCTTGGGTTTTTGTTATTTTAAATTTTTTGAAAATAAAAACTAAAATTTTCCAGTTTAAAACAATAATTTTTGGGAAATATAAAGGGGAAGGAACCCCAAAAAAAAGGGCCCTGCCTGGTTTGTTTGCCCCCCTTGAAACCCGGGGGGGCCCCCAAAATTACAAGGGAAATCCCCCAAAAAATGTTGGAAAAAAAAGGGAAAAACCCCCCCCGGGATTTGAAAAAAACTCCAATGCCAAAAAATAGGGGAAACCTTGCTTCCACCCCGGGGTCCCCCAACCGGCTTCAGGGAAAAAAAACCCGGTGGTTCTTCTCCTTTTATTCCCCCTTGGGGGTTCGGGTCGCCCATCTTGGAAAAATTTTGGGGGGTCTCCCCCGAAAAAAATGGAATTGAAAAAACCCCGTTTTTTGTTCCCCAAACCTGTTAAAGGGTTCCCCCCGGCAAGAACCAAGGGGGACAAAAAGAGTCAAGTTTGCGTTTTCCTGGGCTTTCCTTTTGTTTTTTTTTTTTTTTTGGGGGGGGGGAAAAAAAATTTTAAAATTAATTGCAAATTTTTAAAAAAAAAAAAAGGGGTAAGTCCTGGAAATATTTCCAAAAAAAACCCCCATGTTTTTTTATATATATACTCCCCTTTATTACTTTCAACCCCGCCATCCTTTCCCTACTTGGAGTAAATTAGTGAACAACAATGCTCAGGCCTCTACTCCGGGTATACTTACTATTTTTACATTTACATTTTTAGTCATTTAGCAGACGCTCTTATCCAGAGCGACTTACAGGAGCAATTAGGGTTAAGTGCCTTGCTCAAGGGCACATCGACAGATTTTTCACCTAGTCGGCTCGGGGATTAGAACCAGCGACCTTTCGGTTACTGGCACAACGCTCTTACCCACTAAGCTACTATCTACACCTTATGGACACAGTTCATTTTACAATAATTATATTATATATATTATATATAATGTGGTCCTCTGTAGCTCAGCTGGTAGAGCACGGCGCTTGTAAACGCCAAGGTAGTGGGTTCGATCCACCGGACCACCCATACACAAAAATGTATGCACGCATGACTGTAAGTCGCTTTGGATAAAAGCGTCTGCTAAATGGCATATTATTTATTATTATTAAATATATATACATATATATATATATTTTTTTTTTGCTCCTGAACTTCTTCTACTCTCAACCTCTCCGATCATTTTCATGATGTCCATCCGGTTTGCTTCTATATGCCATATCTTTCTAACTGTGCTCTTTCCCAAAAGCTCCCAACATACAACCTATATACTTATTATGGACACAGTATGCTTACATTATTAGCTATCTTTGTTATTATTTGTTTATTAGTCCCATCCTTCAACTCTATTCAATACCTCCCATCTATCTCTTAACACCATCCATATAGGATTTCTATTTGCCATATATATTTCAACCGTACTGCGATGTTTTACAAAAGTTCTGAACCTTTCTATTCTCATTGCTTCTACAGATTGTGAATTAAAAATAAACATTTTTGCTAAAAGTATTATTATATTATTGATCGATTGACTATGACTTTTCAGATCACCCAGTAATGCTATCTGCAAGGTTAGCTCCAGGTAAATATTGCAATCATTTAGCCATTCCTGGACCTGTGTCAAAAAACAAGCTACAAATGGACAGAACCAAAACAAATTATCTAATGATTCTGTCTCTTCACAGCAAAATCTGCAGAGCTGGGAAGATTGTATCCCCCATATAAATAACATTCTATTGGTAGCAAGAATTCTATATAATCATTTAAATTGAAAGATTCTAATTTTTGAATCCGGTGTCGTTTTGCGTGTCAGTTCATAAACACTATGCCATGGGATCGGTACGTCAAAAATCTCTTCCCAACTATTTTGCAATCTATATGGGACGGCTGTCAATCCTTTGGTCCTTAAGTGAAACTGATATACTTTTTTATTTATCACAGTTTTCCTTAACCAATTATGTTCTTTAATGCAAGGCCGACAGACAAGTTCCTTACTTTCTCCCCCTTCCACTTTCCTCTTCCACTTTTGCTGTAAGGCTGCAATTATTTGGTTGTAATTTTGGGTAGAGCAGACATTTCCATATGTTTTTGTTAGCTGCATGTGCGACATAACTCCACCAGTCCTACCGATGATATCATTTACGAAGATTATTCCTTTTTTAAACATTCTGTCAAAAAAGTAAGTTTTTTTGTCAATTAGTATATTTGAATTTAACCACAATATTTGTTGCATTATTTGTTCTGTCGTTTCTGGAGGATTAAATTGAAATTGCAACCAACTTTCTATGGCTTGTTTTAGAAATAGTGATATTTTGGAGATTATTTCCTTTTCAAATAACTGCAAATGAGTTGTTGTAATCTGAATAAAGGGAAAAAAGGCCTTTCTTGAACGTTGAGTGAGACAATCTTACTAATTTGCTTGAGAACCAGTTGGGATTTAAGTATAACTTTTGTATGACTGAAGCTTTTAGTGATAGGTCTAATGCTTTAATATTTAATAATTTCTGTCCTCCGAATTCATATTAATTATATAAATATGCCCTTTTAATTTTGTCTGGCTTGCCGTTCCAAATAAAATTGAATATTTTTTCTCATATAATTTAAAAAAACTGTTTGCTAGGCGTAGGCAAGATCATAAGCAAATAGGTAAACTGGGATAATACTAAAGAGTTAATCAGGGTGATTTTTCCACAATTTGACTGGTATTTTCCTTTCCATGGTAGTAAGATCTTATCTATTTTTGCTAACTTTCTATTAAAATGTATTGAAGTGAGATCATTTATTTCCTTTGGGATATGTATTCCGAGTATATCCACATCACCATCAGACCATTGCATTGGTAAACTACATGGTAATGTAAATTTTTTATTTTTTAGTGATCCAATACGTAATATAGTACATTTGTCATAATTTGGTTGTAATCCAGAGAGGTTAGAAAATGTATATAGATCCACTATGAGGCTGTGGAGGGATTCTAGTTGTGGATTTAAAAGAAAACATGAATCATCAGCGTACAATGACACCTTTGTTTTTAAGCCCTGGATTTCTAATCCTCTGATATTATTATTGGATCTGATTTTAATAGCTAACATCTCGATGGCCACAATAAATAGATATGCCGATAGGGGACAACCTTGTTTCACTCCTCTTGACAGTTTAAAACTTTCTGAGAAATAGCCATTATTTACTATTTTACACCTAGGGTTACTATACATGATTTTGACCCATTTTATAAGAGATTCTCCAAAATTGAAATGCTCCAGGCATTTATATATAAACCCCAGTCGAACTTTATCAAATGCCTTTTCGAAGTCTGCTATGAATAGCAGGCCTGGTTTCCCATATTTTCCATAGTGTTCTATTGTTTCCAATACTTGCCTTATATTATCTCCAATGTATCTTCCATGTAAAAAACCTGTCTGATTAGAATGAATAATATCCGACAATACCTTTTTAATTCTATGCGCTATTCATTTTGCTAGAATTTTTGCATCACAACACTGAAGTGTAAGGGGCCTCCAATTTTGTAAATGGACTGGATCTTTATATTTTCCACTTGTATCCTGTTTCAGTAATAATGAGATCAGACCTTCTTCTTGAGTGTCAGATAATCTACCATTTACATAGGAGTGGTTAAAACATGCTAATAACGGTCCGCTTCACTTGTTAGTGAATTACATAGTTGTGTTTATTGAATGCTTACCATTCCAACAGGTGTCTGCTGTTCTTCTCCTTCTGTAGGTAAAGGGGGACAAATATCAGCTTTATTTCACATAAATGTAATTAGGATGGTATGTCTTTCCTTTTCACTGCTGGTCATTACTGTAGGTTTTATCAAGGATGCAACATCAAAATTGCAGTTTTTTGTAACACACACAATCTAACACACATGAACACATATGTACCGGCGGCACTTCCCTTGCCCTGCCTCTTACAATACATGCCCCTTATTCTAACAGCACAGAGCAACAGCAGCAAAAGGGGGACTGACCATATCACCGCAGGTAGTACATGACCTATTTGCAAAGACGTACCAAGTCACAGAGACTGTATTACAACTCAATATCTTATCACAACATCACAGTAATGAAATAATATAGCCTCAACACAGATCATGGCCATGCATTGTACCAAACTACTTTCAAAAGTCTTACCGCTCTGGATGGTCCACTCCTTCACAGCCATTTCAACCCCTTCTCTGAGCACGGTGCAGGCTATCTTCTCTGTGCCCTGGCGGTCAGGAAGGAAGAGTTTGGAGATGAGGGTGTTGTTGTGTCCTATAGGACCACTCTGCAACCCATCCTGGCCACTGTGAGTCCAGGTCAAATGGAAGTCTCTACCATCTTCCACACAGGTGAGTGAGCAGGTCAGGGTGAGATTGTTTCCGCCTGGGGTAGCATACTCTGCAGATACTGAGGACAAAGCAGTGGTGTACATTGTGCCGTTACCCTCATTTACTAAGTTTATTCATAGTGTAAGACACGTATGTATGTCTCAGTGATACAACCCATTGACACTCACCATCCAGAGTGTGTAGTAGGATTCTGTTCTGTTGCGAGCAGTTGTAGAGCCCAGAATGCAGTGTTTTCACATTGCTGATGACCAAAGACCCGTCTTGGCTGATGAGAGATGCAGGGAGGTGACCCTGAGTTCCAGCTAAGACATCACCTGACTGAGACAGACTGGACAGTGATCTTTGACCCAGAATCCACTGGAATCTGCTGCCCACCTCAAGACAAACACTTCCACTATACCTCCTGAAAGAGAGAGAGAGAGAGAGAGAGAGGAGTGAGGGGAATTTGGTTGCAATATACTACTGTGTTAACGCAAATATGCTGCAATAATACATAGTTACAAAAGTACCTGCAATTTCTATGGTATAGCTGAGGGACGTCTTCACAACCTCTCCTTCAATCAGTTGACACCGCCACTTCCTGTGATGGTCTGTCTTCTTGACACCTCGGATGGCCAGTTTAGAGAGGCAAGTAGATTAACTTTCGGTTTGAAATCTCTCTCCCTGTAGCACTGTATTGGCCTCATTCAGCCAATTCAGCTGGATTTCACTATGGTTGCATTGTGGGACAAGGCCTGAGAATATATTCAGGTGACATTGGAGCTTGATATCCATCTCTGGTGCTATATTGGTGTCTGTTGCCAGAGTAACTAAAAAAAATAAAAAACAAAACTATGGTGACAACACTCACTCAGAAATAGTGTGAATAAAAACGGACAATTTAGGTTGATCATAAATGGTAACATACTGTTGAGAAGGTGAAGAGAAACCCTTGAACTGGTGGCCCCATCTTCACAGGTGTAAACTTTTCCATCATCTATTTCAAGAGGTTGAATTTGTAGAGAGCAGTCATGTCCCATTTTCAGTCGACTGGCTCTTCCTGGCTTTGGACCCTTCACGTCCACCTTGCCTGATAGTACTAATTGGATATGAAACCCATTTTCCTCCATACTCCAGGTAACAGAGGAGCAGGAATTGATGTAGGATGTACCACATGGTAAACGCACACTGTCTCTAATTGAAGCAAATATTCTTGTAGGTCTATGGTCTTTTGAATAGAGTAAAAAACAAGTGTTACAACACTTCTCATAACAAAATCAATAGGGAATCAAGAAATATTTGATGTAAAATATGTTTTAAAAAATCAGTAATGTTAAAGAAATCATATTTACCAGAGGACTGGAGTCCAAGTATTGCCTGTAAAAGCATGCAGAGACACAGTTTTAGGTACAGACACATCTCTCCGTCTTGTGATTTTCTTTATTTCTCAATGTCCTTTTGACAGTATGTGTTATCATATGTTACTGTTCAGGAAATGTCAAGTACTCACTCATATTTTCTTTCTTCACCAACTTCTATAAATAGCAGTAATCATGCCCTGGCATTTTTCCACCAACTAGACCTATTTCTTTTGCTGTTCCCCTTTCCATTTAGTTATATTTTAAATCCTCTATTTTATAACCTAGCCTACTTCAAACACAAGACTGTATGAAGTTTGTTTTGCTAAAAAATATATCAAAAAAGTGTATAAGTGCTTTATGATAAATTAATGAACTGAGATAAACCATGCAGAAAATTATGGCATTTCCCACTGAACGGATGTTACAATTGAAGTCGGACATACACCTTAGCCAAATACATTTAAACTCTGTTTTTCACAATTCCTTACATTTAATCCTAGTAAAAATTCCCTGTATTAGGTCAGTTAGGATCACCACTTTATTTTAAGAATGTGAAATGTCAGAATAATAGTAGAGAGCATGATTTATTTCAGCTTTTATTTATTTCATGACATTCCCAGTGGGTCAGAAGTTTACATACACTCAATTAGTATTTGGTAGCATTGCCTTTAAATTGTTTAACTTGGGTCGAACATTTCGGGTAGCCTTCCACAAGCTTCCAACAATAAGTTGGGTGAATTTTGGCTGTAAAGAATATCATATTATCGTCGCTTATTATATGTATTTGATTTATGTGCTTTTTTTATTTATTCAGCCTGCTTATTGATTTATTTATTGAATTAAATCAGCATAGCAGGTGGAGGCTACATGTTGTGAATGGGGCCACGAGTTCAACTTTTTGCCTACCGAACATACAGCAACATTCCAAAATGTATGTCATAATGACAGCGTCGCGCTGTTGGGCTACTGTTGTAAAGGTACCTCTATGACGTCACCGTTTATCAAGGCGGGACAGACGCCCAGATGTTCGGATTGAACAAAGCTGAACTGGGTCTTGAATGTAAACCCGTGCGCGACCATTTCCAGTCAAACGCGCCGTTTCTTGGGCGCAAGAAGGTCATGAAAATAGAAGGTCATGAAAATGAAAAGAGACAGTAAAAAGGCGGAAGAAAAGGGTGAGTTATTCCAACCATCGCAACAATTTCAGTATAGGCAGTCACGAATCAGTGGTGGAAAAAGTACCCAATTGTCATACGAGTAAAAGTAAAGATACCTTAATAGAAAATGACTCAAGTAAAAGTGAAAGTCACCCAGGAAAATACTACTTGAGTAAAAGTCTAAAAGTATTTGGTTTTATATATACTTAAGTATCAAAAGTAAATGTAATTGCTAAAATATACTTACAGTGGGGGAAAAAAGTATTTAGTCAGCCACCAATTGTGCAAATTCTCCCACTTAAAAAGATGAGAGAGGCCTGTAATTCTCATTACATTTACATTTTACATTTTAGTCATTTAGCAGACGCTCTTATCCAGAGCGACTTACAGGAGCAATTAGGGTTAAGTGCCTTGCTCAAGGGCACATTTACGTCATTTAGCAGACGCTCTTATCCAGAGCGACTCACAAATTGGTGCGTTCACCAATTTAGAAGGATTACTTTATCCTATCCCAGGTATTCCTTAAAGAGGTGGGGTTTCAAATGTCTCCGGAAGGTGGTGAGTGACTCCGCTGTCCTGGCGTCGTGAGGGAGCTTGTTCCACCATTGGGGTGCCAGAGCAGCGAACAGTTTTGACTGGGCTGAGCGGGAACTATGCTTCCGCAGAGGAAGGGGAGCCAGCAGGCCAGAGGTGGATGAACGCAATGCCCTCGTTTGGGTGTAGGGACTGATCAGAGCCCGAAGGTACAGAGGTGCCGTTCCCCTCACTGCTCCATAGGCAAGCACCATGGTCTTGTAGCGGATGCGAGCTTCAACTGGAAGCCAGTGGAGTGTGCGGAGGAGGGGGGTGACGTGAGAGAACTTGGGAAGGTTGAACACCAGACGGGCTGCGGCATTCTGGATGAGTTGTAGGGGTTTAATGGCACAGGCAGGGAGGCCAGCCAACAGCGAGTTGCAGTAGTCCAGACGGGAGATGACAAGTGCCTGGATTAGGACCTGTGCCGCTTCCTGTGTAAGGCAGGGTCGTACTCTCCGGATGTTGTAGAGCATGAACCTGCAGGAGCGGGTCACCGCCTTGATGTTGGCGGAGAACGACAGGGTGTTGTCCAGGGTCACGCCTAGGCTCTTCGCACTCTGGGAGGAGGACACAGCGGAGTTGTCAACCGTGATGGCGAGATCATGGAACGGGCAGTCCTTCCCCGGGAGGAAGAGCAGCTCCGTCTTGCCAGGGTTCAGCTTGAGGTGGTGATCCGTCATCCATACTGATATGTCTGCCAGACATGCAGAGATGCGATTCGCCACCTGGTTATCAGAAGGGGGAAAGGAGAAGATTAGTTGTGTATCGTCAGCGTAGCAATGATAGGAGAGGCCATGTGAGGATATGACAGAGCCAAGTGACTTGGTGTATAGGGAGAAAAGGAGAGGGCCTAGAACTGAGCCCTGGGGGACACCAGTGGTGAGAGCACGTGGTGCGGAGACAGCTTCTCGCCACGCCACTTGGTAGGAGCGACCGGTCAGGTAGGACGCAATCCAGGAGTGAGCCGCGCCGGAGATGCCCAGCTTGGAGAGGGTGGAGAGGAGGATCTGATGGTTCACAGTATCAAAGGCAGCAGACAGGTTTAGAAGGACAAGAACAGAAGAGAGAGAGTTACACGTCAACTATGACAGACAAAATGAGGAAAAAAATCCAGAAAATCACATTGTAGGATTTTTAATGAATTGATTTGCAAATTATGGTGGAAAATAAGTATTTGGTCAATAACAAAAGTTTCTCAATACTTTGTTATATACCCTTTGTTGGCAATAACACAGGTCAAACGTTTTCTGTAAGTCTTCACAAGGTTTTCACACACTGTTGCTGGTATTTTGGCCCATTCCTCCATGCAGATCTCCTCTAGAGCAGTGATGTTTTGGGGCTGTCGCTGGGCAACACAGACTTTCAACCCTCCAAAGATTTTCTATGGGGTTGAGATCTGGAGACTGGCTAGGCCACTCCAGGACCTTGAAATGCTTCTTACGAAGCCACTCCTTCGTTGCCCGGGCGGTGTGTTTGGGATCATTGTCATGCTGAAAGACCCAGCCACGTTTCATCTTCAATGCCCTTGCTGATGGAAGGAGGTTTTCACTCAAAATCTCACGATACATGGCCCCATTCATTCTTTCCTTTACACGGATCAGTCGTCCTGGTCCCTTTGCAGAAAAACAGCCCCAAAGCATGATGTTTCCACCCCCATGCTTCACAGTAGGTATGGTGTTCTTTGGATGCAACTCAGCATTCTTTGTCCTCCAAACACGACGAGTTGAGTTTTTACCAAAAAGTTATATTTTGGTTTCATCTGACCATATGACATTCTCCCAATCCTCTTCTGGATCATCCAAATGCACTCTAGCAAACTTCAGACGGGCCTGGACATGTACTGGCTTAAGCAGGGGGACACGTCTGGCACTGCAGCATTTGAGTCCCTGGCGGCGTAGTGTGTTACTGATGGTAGGCTTTGTTACTTTGGTCCCTGCTCTCTGCAGGTCATTCACTAGGTCCCCCTGTGTGGTTCTGGGATTTTTGCTCACCGTTCTTGTGATCATTTTGACCCCACGGGGTGAGATCTTGCGTGGAGCCCCAGATCGAGGGAGATTATCAGTGGTCTTGTATGTCTTCCATTTCCTAATAATTGCTCCCCCAGTTGATTTCTTCAAACCAAGCTGCTTACCTATTGCAGATTCAGTCTTCCCAGCCTGGTGCAAAATCTACAATTTTGTTTCTGGTGTCCTTTGACAGCTCTTTGGTCTTGGCCATAGTGGAGTTTGGAATGTGACTGTTTGAGGTTGTGGACATGTGTCTTTTATACTGATAACAAGTTCAAACAGGTGCCATTAATACAGGTAACGAGTGGAGGACAGAGGAGCCTCTTAAAGAAGAAGTTACAGGTCTGTGAGAGCCAGAAATCTTGCTTGTTTGTAGGTGACCAAATACTTATTTTCCACCATAATTTGCAAATAAATTCATTAAAAATCCTACAATGTGGTTTTCTGGATTTTTTTTTCTCAATTTGTCTGTCATAGTTGACGTGTACCTATGATGAAAATTACAGGCCTCTCTCATCTTTTTAAGTGGGAGAAATTGCACAATTGGTGGCTGACTAAATACTTGTTTTCCCCACTGTAAGTATCAAAAGTAAAAGTATGAATCATTTAAAATTCCTTATATTAAGCAAACCAGACGGCACCATTTTTATGTTTTTTAAATTTATGGATAGCCAGGGGCACACTCCAATACTCAGACATCATTTACAAACAAAGCATGTGTGTTAAAGCATGTGTGTTTAGTGAGTTCGTCAGATCAGAGGCAGTGGGGATGACCAGGGGTGTTCTCTTGATAAGTGCTTGAATTTGACCATTTTCCTGTCCTGCTCAGCATTCAAATTGCAACGAGCACTTTTGAGTGTCAGGGAAAATGTATGGAGTAAGAAGTGCACTATTTTCTTTAGGAATATAGTGAAGTAAAAGTAAAAGTTGTCAAAAATATAAATAGTAACATAAAGTACAGATACCCCAAAAAACTACTTAAGTAGTACTTTCAAGTATTTTTACTTAAGTACTTTACACCCCTGTCAATATGTGAAATACTTTTGTCAAACCAAAGCCAACGTTGTTGGCCTTCTCGTTTTTGCATTTACAGTAGGCCTACATCAACATTCAAAAGTTGCTGCAAAAGTATAAGTCCTTTGACCAACTTTCTGTCCGAAAGAACCGTGTGCTTAATTTCTCCTCTTATTTTAGGGTATGCCGCTCCCTATGATCCATTCTTCAGCGGACCAGTACGAAAGAGGTTTGTGCAGGCTCATCAAGGTTTTTTTGTTGCCTTCATTCAATCTCGATTGCCATTAGGCCTATTTATGGTTTGCGTTCCAAATAGCAGCCTATTGCCTACGCTAGTGCAGTACTTTTGTCCAGGGTCTGTATAGGTTGTCATTTGGGACACATGCATACAGTTTTTATTTTAATTGTTTTATTAGCATAGATACAAAAGCGCAGCTAAACTCACAGCATATGCAGAAGCACACACATCATATGCTGTAGCATACAAAATCGCACTCACATTACATCTGTCTAGATTTGTGTACAACTCTTTTGAAGGCGGACATGCTAGCTAGCTGTCATGTGGATTAAGTCCACCTTGTTCAAGCATATGAATCAGCTGATTTAATTTCTTCATGTCATTCCAGGAGCTGCACAGATCTGATCTGCTGCATACTGTTCTTGGCTGTCATAGCTGGCTATATGGTCATGGGAGTTCTGGGTAGGGAAGTCTTCATCATCATTTGAAGATGACATGACTGTCATCATCTGGTGTCTGTTTTATCCCTTGCTCATCTAAAAAGTCTGTATCTGATAGTCAATGTCAACATGACAATGAGAGAGACGATTCCCCTGTATACTGTTCGGCCATCTTTTTAGTGTACAGCACAGTAAGCCTAGCTAGCTACATCAACTAAACCACTGTGAAAGTTCACAGGAGCAGAACTCTAAATGTAATGGAAGTGTGTCATATGATTGTCTCTGGTTCTTCCTCTCTCCCTCCATCAGCCTGGTTGTTTGGAGACCCTCGCCATGTTCTCTTCCCCAGGAACTCCACCGGAATGTTCTGTGGAGCAGGGATGAATAGGTGAGTAGACCTATGTTATGTCTACCAGGTTATAGGCCCTATGTTATGTCTACCTAGCTATAGGCCCTATGTTATGTCTACCTAGCTATAGGCCCTTTTGTTTGTCTACCTAGTATAGGCCCCCATGTTATGTCTACCTAGCTATAGGGCCCCATGTTATGTTTACCAGGTTTTTTAGGCCCCCTTTTTTAGTTTTACCCAGTTTTAGGCCCTTGTTATGTCTCCCACCCAGGTTAAAGGGCCCTTTTGTTATGTCTACCAGGGATAGGCCCTAGTTAGTCTACCTAAATTTTAGGCCCCAAAGGGGTTTTTACCAGGTATAGGGCCCCATTTTTTATGTCTACCTAGGGTATAGGGCCCCTTTTTATGTCTACCAAAGGATAGGCCCTAGGGTTTGGGTTTCCCAGGTTTTAGGCCCTTGTTATGTCTACCAGGTTTTTAGGCCCTAGTTAGTCTACCTAGCTATAGGCCCCCCATGTTATGTTTTCCTAGTATAGGCCCCATGGGTTTTGTTTACCAGGTTTAGGCCCTATGTTAGTCTACCAGGTTTTGGGGCCTATGTTATGTTTCCAGGTTTTAGGCCTATGTTATGTCTACCCAGCTATAGGCCCTATGTTTGGGGCTACCTAGCTTTTAGGCCCTATTTTTATGTTTCCTGGTTTTTAAGGGCCCCAAAGGGTTTTGTCTTTTCCAGGGGGGGAGGGCCCCCTTTTTTATGTACCTAGCTATAGGCCCATGAGGGTTTCCTAGCTATGGCCCCCTATGTTTTGTTACCAGGTTTTAGGCCCCATGTTATGGGTTTCCAGGTTATAGGCCCCCAGGGTTTTGTTACCCGGTTTTAGGGGGCCCCATGTTTTGTATTTCCCAAACTATAGGGCCCCATGTTTTGTCTACCCCAGCATAGGCCCCATGTTTTTGTTAAACCCAGCTAAGGCCCTAGGTTTTGTTACCAGGTTTTAGGCCCCATGTTATGTTACCAGGTATTTGGGGGGAGTTATGTCTACCCAGCTATAGGCCCTATGTTTTGTTTACCGCTAAGGGCCCCAGTTATGTCTACCAAACTTATAGGGGCCTATGTTATGTCTACCAAGGAAAAGGCCCCTATGGAGTTTACCTAGCTATAGGCCCCATGTTATGTTACCCAGCTATAGGCCCATGTTAGTTTACCTAGCTATAGGCCCTATGTTATGGGCACCTAGCTATAGGCCCCATGGAGGGCTACCAGGATAGGCCCCTATGTTTTTGTTAACCCAGTAAGGCCCCATGTTAGTTACCAGTATAGGCCCCAGGTTTTGTCTTTTCCTAGTATAGGCCCCATGTTTGTCTACCAGGTTTTAGGCCCTATGTTTTGGTTTCCTAAACTTAGGCCCTATGTTTTGGTTTCCTAGCTATAGGCCCTTGTTTTGTATTACCTGCTATTTTGGCCCCCATGTTATGTCTAAACCTAGCTATAGGGGCCTTTTGTTATTTTTACCCTAGGCCCCATTTTTGGCCCCTTGTATGTTTTTTACCAAAGGTTTATAGGCCCCAATGTTAGTTACCTAGTATGGGCCCCTTGTTATGTTTACCAGGTATAGGCCCTATGTATGTCTACCAGGTAAGGCCCTATGTTTGTTACCCAGGTAAGGCCCTATGTTATGTTTAATAGCTATAGGCCCCAGTTTTTGTCTAAACCAGCTATAGGCCCTATGTTTTTGTTTTACCTAGTTTCCTTTTTTGCTATAGGCCCTTTTGTTTTGTCTACCTAGCTATAGGCCCATGTTATGTTACCAGGTTTTAGGGGCCCCAGTTATGTTACTAGGCCCATAAAGGGCCCATGTTATGTTTCCTAGCTATAGGCCCCATGGGATGTTAACCCAAACTTTTAGGGGCCCATGTTATGTCTACGGTTTAGGCCCATGTTTTGTCACCAGTTTTAGGCCCTTTGTTTTGTTCTCCTAAACTTAGGCCCCATGGTTTTGTTTACCAGGTTTTAGGCCCCATGTTATGTTCCTAGCTATAGGCCCTAGGGGGGTTACCTTTGCTATAGGGGGCCCCATGTTATGTCACCAAATATAGGCCCTTTGTTATGGGGGACCTAAGCTATAGGCCCCCTTTTTATGTCACCGGTTTTAGGGGCCCCATTGGGGATGTCTACCGGTTTTAGGCCCTTTTGTTTGTACTAGCTATAGGCCCTATGTTATGTCTACATTATGGCCCATGTTATGTCACCCAGTTAGGCCCCTTTTTATGCTACCGGTTTTAGGCCCTAGTTATGGTTAAACCAGGTTTTAGGGGGCCTATGTTAGTTTTTCCAGGTTTTAGGCCCCATGTTATGTTTACCAGGTTTTGGGGCCCATTTTTAGTCCTAGCCCTTTGGCCCCATGTTATGTTTACCCAGGTATAGGCCCCTTTAGTCTACCTAGCTATAGGCCCTATGTTATTTTCTACCTGCTATAGGCCCTTTTAGTTACCAGGATAGGCCCTTTTTTAGTCTACAGTATAGGCCCCATTTATGTTAAACCCAGACCCCAGAGGGCCCATGGTATTGGGGTTTCCAGTTTAGGCCCCTTTTTAGTCTCCTAGTATAGGCCTATGTTATGTCTACCAAACATAGGCCCTTTTGTTATGTTTACCTAGCTATAGGGGCCCCGTTTTGTTTACCTAGCATAGGCCCTATGGTTTTTATACCCAAGCTAAGGCCCCATGTTTTTTTCACCTAGTATTGGGGCCCCATGTTTGTTTACCCAGCTATGGCCCCATGTTAGGGCTTTCCTAGCTATAGGGCCCCATGTTATGTTACCAGATAGGCCCTATTTTTTTATGTTACCTAGCTATAGGCCCATGTTAGGGCTTCCAGGTTTTTTAGGCCCTTGTTAGGGGCTACCTAGTATAGGCCCCATTTTGTTTACCCTAAGGGTATAGGCCCCCTTTTTTATGTCTACCAGGTTTTAGGCCCTTGTTAGTTACCCAAACATAGGCCCCCATGTTATGTCTACTAGCAAGGCCCTATTTTTTATGTTTTACCAGCTATAGGCCTATTATGTCTTTCCTAGCTATAGGCCCTGTTATGTTACCTAGCTATAGGGGCCCATGTTATGTCTACCAGGTTTTAGGCCCTATGTTAGTCTAAATACTTTTAAACCCCTTGTTATGTTACCAGGTTTTCGGCCCCATGTTAAAGTCTACCAGGTAAGGGGCCCCATGTTTTGGATACCTAGCTTAGGCCCATGTTTTCTACCCGGTTTTAGGCCCTTTTGGGTTTTGGTTTTACCTAGATATAGGCCCCCATGTTATGTTAAACCCAGCTATAGGCCCTATGTTATTTCTACCAGGTTTTAGGCCCTATGTTTGTTAATTTACCCCAAGCTAATAGGGACCCATTTGTTATGTATACCCGTTTTGCCTTTTAGGCCCTTTTGTTATGTCTAAAGGTTTTAAAGGGCCCCCTTTTTATGTTCCCAGCATAGGCCCCCAGTTATGTTTCCTAGCTTTTAGGCCCTATGTTATGGGCTACCCCGGTTATAGGCCCATGTTATGTCTACCTAGTATAGGCCCCATGTTATGTTACCTAGTATAGGCCCCCCTTTTTTATGTTACCCTAGCTATAGGCCCTATGTTATGTTTTACCAGGTTATAGGGCCCTAGTTAGGGCTACCTTTGTATAGGCCCCCATTTTCTACCTTTGCTATAAAGGGCCCCCTGTTATGTCTACCAGGTTAAGGCCCATGTTATGTCTACCTGCTATAGGCCCTATGTATGGTCTACCAGGTTTTAGGCCCATGTTATGTCTACCAGGGGTTTTAGGCCCATGTTATGTTACCATTTTAGGCCCCTATTTATGTCTACCCCCGGTTTTTTAAAGGGCCCATGTTATGTCTACCAGCTTTTGGCCCTATTTTATTTTCTAACCAGGTTTTAGGCCCATGTTTTTGTCTTTCCTAGCTATAGGCCCTATGTTATGTTTTCCTAGCTTTGGCCCTATGTTTTGTTACCAGGTTTTTAGGCCCATGTTATGTCTACCAGGTTTTGGCCCATGTATGTCTACAGGTTAAATAGGCCATATGTTTTTGTCACCAGGTATAGGCCCTAGTTATTTTCTACCTAGCTATAGGCCCCCGTTATGTCTACCTAGCTATGGCCCTATGTTAGTCTACCTAGTATAGGCCCTATGTTTTTTGTTTTACCCAAGGCTTTTAGGCCCTATGTTATGGTTCTTCCCAAGGGTTTTTAGGGGCCCCATTTTTATGTTACCTAGCTATAGGCCCTATGTTTGTTTTACCTAGCTTAGGGCCCCATGTTTGTCTCCTAGATATAGGCCCCATGTTTTGTTTCCAGCTAAGGCCCTATGTTATGTTAAAAGGTTTTGGACCTATGTTATGTCTACCTAGCTATAGGCCCTATGTTTTGGGCTACCAGGTTTTAGGCCCCATGTTATGTCTACCTAGCATAGGCCTAGTTATGTCAAACCAGGTTTTTAGGCCCTATGGGTTTTGTTACCTAGTATAGGCCCCATGTTATGTCTACCCAGTATAGGCCCCAGGGTTTTGTTACCAGGTTTTAGGCCCCCATTTTTTATGTTCCCCCGGTTATAGGACTATGGATGTTACCTGCTTAGGCCCTTTTGTTATGTTACCCAGCTATGGCCCTATGTTTTGTCTTTTAAAAATTTTGGCCCTATGTTATGTTAAACCCAGCTATAGGCCCTATGTTATGTTACCTAGGCCTTTGGCCCCAGTTATGTTACCTAGCTATAGGCCCTATGTTATGTCTCCCCAGTATAGGCCCCATGTTATGTTTTTAAACCCGGTTATAGGCCCTATGTTTTGTCTACCCAGTATAGGCCCTAGGGGATGTCTTTCCAGGTTTTAGGCCTATGTTATGTCTACCCCGGTTTAAAGGGCCCTATGTTATGCTACCAGGTTTTTAGGCCCTATGTTTTTGTTACCTTTATAGGCCCAGTTAGTTACCTAGTAAGGCCCCCATGTTATGTCTACCCAGCTATAGGCCCCCAGGTTTTGTCTTACCTAGCTATAAGGGGCCCCATGTTATGTTACCAGGTTTTAGGCCCTATGGTTTTGTCTTCCAGGTTTTAGGGCCCCATGTTTTTGTTACCAGGTTTTAGGCCTATGTTATGTTTTAAACCCGGTTATAGGCCCTTTTGGTTAATTTTGGGTTTTTTACCTAGCTATAGGGGCCCCATTTTATGTCTACCAGCTATAGGCCCTAGTTATTTTAAACCCAGTATAGGGCCCCATGTTAGTCTACCAGGTTTTAAAGGCCCCAGTTATGCACCAGGTTTTAGGCCCCTTTTTTTATACCAGGTTATAGGCCCTATGTTTGTTACCAGCTATAGGCCCTATGTTTTGTCTACCTAAACTTAGGCCCCAGGGTTTTGGGTTTTCCCAGCATTAAAGGGCCCCTTTTTTGGGCTACCTAGTATAGGCCCTAGGTTATGTTACCAGTTTTAGGCCCTATGTTATGTTTTCCTAGCTATAGGCCCTAGTTATGGGTTAAACCAGGTTTTAGGCCCCATGTTATGTCTACCGGGGGAAAGGCCCATGTTTTGTTACCTAGCTATTTTGGGGCCCCCTGTTATGTCACCAGGTTATAGGCCCTTTTTGTTTAACCTGTTTTAGGCCCTAGTTAGTCTACCAGGTTAGGCCCTATGTTATGTCTAAACCCACTATAGGGGCCCCATGTTATGTTTACCAGCTATGGCCCATGTATGTCTTTTCCTAGCTATAGGCCCTATGTTAGTCTACCAAACCATAGGCCTATGGTTTTGTCCCACCATAAGGGGCCCCTTTTTAGTCTACCTAAACTATAGGCCCTATGTTAGTATACCAGGTATAGGCCCTATGTTATGTTACCGGTTTTTAGGCCCCCATGTTATGTTACCAGGATAGGCCCCCCTGTTAGTCTACCAGGGTTTTGGCCTTTTGTTATGTTTTACCTAGCTATAGGCCCCATGTTATGTCTTTCCTAGCTTTTAGGCCATGTTATGTCTTTACAGCTATAGGCCCCAGGGTTTCAAGGGGGGGGGGTTATTGTCACCAATTGGCCCCGTTTTTCCCAATTAAAAGGATGAAAGAGGCCCCGTTAAATTTTCAATCATAAAGGTTTTTAACACCGTTTTAAACCCCAGGACCAGCAAAATGAGAAAGGATAACCCCGGAAATTTTAATTGTTTGGATTTTTAAAGTTTCCCCTTGGCCCAAAAGATGGGGGAAAAAATTTTTGTTTTGTTGGCCCCAAATTTTAAAAAAGGGTTTCCCAAAATTTGTTATAAAAAACCCTTTGTTTAAAAGGAACAAGGGGAAAGGGCCCCCTTTTTTAAGTTTCCAAATTTTACCCAGTTTTCTTATTTTGGCCAGTTATGGTCTCCTCTAAAAGGCCCGTTATGTTTGGGGCCCCGTTTGGGGGAAAACCCGGTTAAACCCCCCCAAGTTATTTTAAGGGGGTTAAGTCTAAAAATGGCCCCAGGCCCCTTCCAGGAAACCCCTTTTTAAAAGCTTCCTTTCAAGGCCCAACTCCTGTTGGGCCCCCGGGGTTTGTTTGGGATTCCCTTTTGTCATGCTTGGAAAGATTTTAACAAGGGTTTCCCCCCCCAATTTTTTGCTATGGAAGGAGGGTTTTCACCCCAAAAATTTTCGATAAGGGGCCCCCTTTTTCTTTTTTTACAAGGGCCCCGTTTGTTCCTTTTGGCCCTTTTTTTTAGGAAAAAAAAGCCCTTTGGAAAAAATGATGTCTCCACCCCCGGTTAATAGGATGGTTTTTCTTTTTATGGCCCTAGTTCTTTTTCCCCAAACCCTGAAGCGGTTTAGTTTCCCCAAAAAATTATAAAGGGGGTTTTTTTTTCTAAAAGGGAAAATTTCCCAAAATTCTTTGGAACATCCAAATGCCCCAGGGGGCCCAAAATTATTTGGCTTAAGAGGGGGAACCCCGTTTTTAAATCGGTTTGAAGCCGGGGGCCCAGGTGTTTTGTGGAAAGGGGTTTTAATTTCCCCCCCACCTTGGAAGGTCACACAGGTCCCCCCGGTTGGTTCCCGGGAAAATTTTTGGCCTTCCCCAACCCTTTTTAACAGACCCCCCGGGGTAGACTTTCGTGGACCCCCAAGATCGGGGAAAATTTTAGTGGTTAAATTTAAAAATTTTTATTTCCCTATTAAATGGGGGCCCCCAAAATTTTATTTTTCAAACCAACCCCCTTACCTATTTAATTAAATTCCTTCCCAAGCCGGTAAGGGGTTTTCCCCCCCCCCCCCCCCCCCCCCTTTTGGGGGCCTGGGGTTTCCTTTGGCGGGTCTGTCTTGGCCCTTTGGGGGGGAAAAGGGGCTTTTGAGGTTGGACCCCGGGGTTTTTTTCCCCGATAACCCCAAATTAAAAAGGGCCCTTTTTACAAATTTTCAATGGGAGGGGGAAAACCCCCTCTTTTAAAAGAATTTCAGGTTTAACCAAAATCTTCGGTTTTGGGGCCCAAAAACCTTTTTTCCCCTTTTTTCTTAAAATTTAAAAAAAATCAACGGGGTTTTTGGTTTTTTCCCAATTTTTTTCCCCAAAACTTTGTCCAAGAAAAAAGGGTTTACAAAGTGGGGTTAGCCAATGTCCCTTTTTTTCCCCTTAAAGATTTTTTTTTTTTTTTTTTTTTTTTTTTTTTTTTTTTTTTTTTTTTTTTTTTTTTTTTTTTTTTTTTTTTTTTTTTTTTTTTTTTTTTTTTTTTTTTTTTTTTTTTTTTTTTTTTTTTTTTTTTTTTTTTTTTTTTTTTTTTTTTTTTTTTTTTTTTTTTTTTTTTTTTAAAAAAAAAAAAAAAAAAAAAAAAAAAAAAAAAAAAAAAAAAAAAAAAAAAAAAAAAAAAAAAAAAAAAAAAAAAAAAAAAAAAAAAAAAAAAAAAAAAAAAAAAAAAAAAAAAAAAAAAAAAAAAAAAAAAAAAAAAAAAAAAAAAAAAAAAAAAAAAAAAAAAAAGGGTTTAAGGGTGATTGTTTAAAAACCAAAATTTTGATTTTTGAGAAAAATTTTTTTTGGAAGGGGGGGGAAGGGAAGGATTTTTTTAAAAACCCGGGATTTTGTTTTTTGGGTTTTTTTAATTAAAAATGAAGGGTTTTTTTGTTTTTGTTTTCTACCTAGTTATAGGCCATGCATCAGAAAACATGGATGAGTCCCAAACAGAATTATAAAAGCGGTGCACTCTAAAGAGGAATAGGGTGCCTATTGGGATGCTGTAACAGTGGCCTAGATGTGCAGTGTGCTAACTCATTGAGTCTCTGAAAGAGATAATGTTGAGTCAACTCAGTCTTGTTTTTAACTCTGTCTTGTCAGAGACCAGCCCAGGATGATCTATGTGGACATACTGAAGTGTGCCACGACCACCAACGTGATGGCAGCAGCGCTCGGAGGCGTACAGTGTCCTACCACACAGGTCAGACTCCAACTGTAGCAATATGATCACATCCGACCTATCCCCATCCGTTTAACCAGAGCCACGTAGGACATATGACATAACAGATAGGACATAATGCATAGGGTACAGCATATAGCTTAGGACACATACAACCTAATATAATAATCAATAGTATGGGGTCACATCATTTGAGTAATAGGGTTTCATTTGAGATTTGACTCCCTCTCTCTCTTGGTGATTTCACTCACCCTTTCGTTACCTATGATAAGTCACATGTGAGAATGCCGGAAATCAAGGTTTGCCGTACACTAATGTCTGGTCCCTCCCATCTCTCTCTCCCTTCCTCTGCAGGTGTGTGTCCGTAAGTGTCCCTCTCAGTTCTGGATGCTGTCTGCTGCTGCCTACGACCCCGAGGCCAAACCCAAAGACTTCTTCCATCAGCAGTACTGTGACCACAGCCTCAACCTGACTACCACCACATGGGTACAGGGCATTTTACAATGTTATCAATGTGCTTATAGAGACTCGAACTGGGTGTGTGGGACCATTAGTCCCAAGCATTCTGTCAAGCATAGCTATATACAGTACAGTGTAGCCAATGTCTGTGTTTCATTATGATTTAGAGGTTTAGGTTGATTGTAAAACATTTTGATTTGAGACATTTGTGGAGTGGAAAGGATTATAAACAGATGTAGTTTCTAAATGAGTGTGTCTGTTTTAAAAATGCTTCTGTATATTGGCCATCCTTCTAGTTATGTTTGGTCCTATACTCTCTCTTTCAGACTGTCCAACAGATCCTTGATGCAGAACTTTGTCCGTCGTTCCTTGTTCCAAGTAAATCAGGTGAAGTAGTTTAACATGGCATCCATCCTCACACCTACTCATACTGACATGACTGTTAATGTCTACATAATCATTGTACGGAGGATAAAGTTAAACAGCAGGAAACTGAGATGAATCCACTTTGAACCTTTTACTCCCTCTACCCATCCATATGTTGTTGTTTGAATGTCTACAGCTCTGGGGAGGTGTTTGCCCAGTCTACACGCTCTCAAAAGTGCTCCCTCCAACTTCACTCTGCCCGGAATGGCCTCCGTCAACGAGACAGTCAACAGCATCAGAAGCGCCATGGGGTACTTACTTACCACTTCATCCATTGAACTAACATTCTACTGTGGATACTATACGTCTGTGTCCCAAATGGCACTCTATTCTACATTTGACCAGGTCCCATAGGGAATAGGGTGCCATTTGGGACACAACCTATGTGTAGCTAAACAGATCATCACTGTCCGCTAACCTACTATACCTTTCCATTATTCCAGATCACTGATATCAGGCTTCAACAGAAAGACCATAGGAGTGAGGATCTTTGAGGACTTTGCCTCCTCCTGGTACTGGATCTTACTGTAAGTCTGATGTTCCAACTATCTCACAGTGGGCGCACAGTACTACATAGAGCCATGGTTACATGGAACTCTATTCCACATCAAGTAACTCACGCAAGCAGTAAAAACATACAAATACACCTTATGGAACAGCGAGGACTGTGAAGAGTCACACACACAGGTACAAACACACACATACAAACACACATAACATACACACTATACACACACGTACACCTGGATTGTGTGTTGTAGTAGAGTAGTGGCCCGAGGGCACACGCTTAATGTATTGTGAAATCTGTTGTAAAATATATTTTAATGTTTAAAAATTGTATTATAATGTATATTACTGCCTTAATTTTTGCTAGCAGCAGCTAATGAGGATCCATAATAAATACAAATACACAATATCCTTACTGATCCACCATAGTGTCTACATCCTTACTGATCCATCATAGTGTTTTCCTTATGAAAAAGTTTTTATGAACCATTTGTTTATCCTTTTGAAAATTTCATGTAGTTTTCCCCTTAGGGTTGGTGCGTATTTTTTATATCCCCAGTTTTTTTTACACAACCCCTTTTTTCCACTGCCCAAACATATCCTTGAAACCTTGGTCTTTCCTTTTTGTTCCAATTTTTGAATATTTTTCGGCCACCTTTTCTCCCTACTACCCCCATAGGTTTTCCCTTACATCCCCTTTGGGGTCAAGGATGATCCCCCAACAAAACTGAATGGATCCCTTTAACCTTTTATCCTTACCCACCTATTTTTTTTTGAATTTTCTAACCTTATGTCCCAAGGGTTCTTACCACTTCCAAAGTGTCTTTAAACTTCCCCTTGCCAATCCTTTTGTCACCAACAATTCACACCACCAGAACCCCGCCCCTTTTGGAAACCCCTTCTACCCCCTTCAACCCTTGACTCCCTTTTCTTACCAACTATCCCCCGTTTTTCCCATGCCCCTATTTAACCTTTGACCACCATGGATATCCACTTTCCCCCAACAACCTATGTTAGGCTAACCACCTTCCTGTCCTAACCTACTATACCTTTCATATCCAGATCCCCTGTTTTTTCCCTTTTTCCCCAAGGGAACCTTTTAGATAAAGGGAATTTTTTAAACCCCCTTGCTTTCCTTACGACCCACCTTTTAACCCTTATTCCACCTATCAAACCTTTGGCCCCCTTTAAAATTAACCATGTCCCCCTGGCCTCCTTAATCCCATGAGTTTTAACCTTTACGCCCCCTGTTTTAAACTTACATCCCCCACTTTTTAACCCCAGGCTTTTAGATCCCCCAAAGGGGTTTCCCAAAAAAACCCAGGCCCCACATTAAAAAACCCTATACCACGACCCCCTTGATTTTTTTGTATAGGTTTTTTCCCGACCACCAATGTTTTTATGGTGTATTAATTTATAAAACCCCAATTTTTTATGTTAAAAATTAACTTACTGCCCCAATTTTTTCCTACGCCCCTGGGTCAATTACATCCCCAATTATCCCTTACTGATCCCCCATATGTCCTCCTTACTAAACCACCAAGTTCTTCCACTGATCACATAGGTCAAATTTTTCTGATCCACCATAGGTCTATACCCTTTGATCCCCCATTGTAAATTTATGACCCCCCTAGTTTTAACCTTTGATCCACATGTTCAATCCTTATGATCCCCCAAAGGTCAACCTTACTGATCCCCCTTTTCTATTCCTTATGACCACTTTGGGTCTTATCCTTCTGACCCACCATAGTTTATATCCTTACTGATCCACCTATGTTTTTCCTTACTGATCCCCATATGCCCCTTCCCTTTCTTCACCTTGTATACCCTTACTGACCCCCCAAGTGTCTTCCTTACTGATCCCATAGTGGCCCTTCTATCTCCCATGTGCCCCTAAAAATCCTTTACTAAACCACCAAAAAGTGTCTAACCTACGACTCCCATAGGCTAATCTTACGGATCCACCATAGTGTTAATCCACTGATCACCAAGTGTCTTATCCTTCTGATCCACCATTTCTATATCCTTATGATCCCCATAGTGTCTAATCCTTAGTCCACCAAGTGGTCTTTCCCTTTACTGATCCCCAGTCTATATCCTTCCCTGTTCCCCAAGGTCTAATCCATGATCACAATATTGTCTTCCTTTAGATCCCCATAGTGTCTTCCTTACTGACCCATTAGTGTTTCCCCTTTACTGACCCCCAAATGTGTCTATACCTTCTGATCTAAAAAAATTTGTCTATACCCTTTACTGATCACCATATTTTGTAAATTTCTCCTTACTGATCCCCTAGTTCTATTTTCCTTATTCCCATAGTGTCTATTTCCTTACGTCCCATAGTGTCAACCCTTTACTATCCACCATAGTTATTCCTACTGATCCACCATAGTGTCCTTATATCCCCTTATTTTACCAAAAACCATGGGTTTCTTATCCTTATGATCCCCCATTGTCTATATCCTTACTTCCCCCAAGTGCCCCCTTTACTGATCACCATATTTTCAAAATTCCTTACTGATCCCCCCATAGTGTCTATATCCTTACTGACCCCCCTAGGTTTTTTATATCCTTTTCTTTCCGTTTCCCCATAGTGTTTCCTTATGACACCTAGGTTATCCTTTTTAACCCACCATAGTTTATATTTTTAATCCCCCAAATGGTTTCCTTACTGACCCCCAGGTAAAAATCTTCTGATCCACCTAGTGTCTTCCTACTACCACCATGTCTTCCTTACTGCCCCAAAATGTGCTATATCCTTAGACCCCATAGTGCTATACCTTATGTCACATGGTCTTCCTTAGCCCATAGTGTCAATACCCTTTACGACCCAAGGCTATATCCTTACTGATCCACCATGGTTTTCCCTTACTGATCCCATATGTTCCCTTATGACCACCATAGTGTCTTCCTACTGATCACAATAGTGTTCTCCTTTTACTGACCCACCTGGGGGCGATATCCTTACGATCCCCCTAGTTCTTCCTTCTGATCCCCCATATTTCTATTTTTTTACTGATCCACCATTTATTTTTGTCATATCCTTACATCTACCATATTTTGTAAAATATCCTTATGACCCACCATATGTCTTCCTTACGACCCACCATAGTTCTTCCTTCGGGATCCCCAAGTGTCTATATCCTTATATCCCCATAGTGTCTATATCCTTACTGATCCCCAAAGTGTCTTCCTTACGATCCACCATAGTGTTTTTCCTACTGCCACCATATGTCTTTCCTTTACTGATCCAAAATAGGTCTTCCCCTTTCTGATCCCCCAAGTGTCTTCCTTACGACCACCATATTGTCCTCCCTTACTGACCCACAAGTGTCTTTTTCTGACCACCATACCCTTTACGACCCCACCATTGTCTTCCCCTTACTTTTTCCACCTTTTTATCCTTACTGATCCACCATTTCTTACGATCCCCCATAGTTCCCCCTTCTGACCCCATATTTCTTCCTTCGCCCACCATATGTCTAACCTTCTGATCCCCTTTTCCTTACTGATCCCCTATGTCTTTCCTTTTGACCACCATTGTTTCCCTTTCGCCCTTTTACTGTCCCCAATTTTGTCCCCTTCTTTCCTTACGATACCTAGGTCCTCCTTTACTGACCACCATGTGTTCCCCTTTATGTCACCATGTGCCCTTACCCTTATGACCACCTATCCTTACTGATCCCCATAGGTCTCCCTTATTTTGACCCACCATAGTGTATCTCCTTACTGATCCACCATAGTGTTCCCTTACTGCCCCATTCTTCCTACTGACCCCCATATCCTTACTGACCCACCATATTTAATACCCTTATGATCCCCATACCTTACTGATCCCCCCTAAATCCTTACTGACCCATAAGCCCCCCCAATACCCTCTATTCCACCATAGGTCTTATCCTTACTGATCCCCCATAGTGTCTCCCCTTTACGAACCCCCATGTGTCCTCCTTATGATCTCCCATATGCTATACCTTACTGACCCCCCAACCTTTACTGATCCCCTAGTTTTCTCCTTACGATCCACCAAGTGCGATTCCCTTACTGATCCACCATATTTCCCCCTTTACGTTCCACCAGGTGTCTAATCCTTTGATCCCCATACCTTTACTATCCACCATACGTTATATCCTACTGTCCTACCATATCCTTTACTGATCCACCATATCCCTTACTGATCCACCATATCCTTACTGATCCACCATATCCATACTGATCCACCATAGTGTCTATATCCTTACTGATCCACCATAGTGTCTATACCTTACTGATCCACCATAGTGTCTATATCCTTACTGATCCACCATAGTGTCTATATCCTTACTGATCCACCATAGTGTCTATATCCTTACTGATCCACCATACTGTCTTGAGATCTGAGCCAATGCTTTGTAGTCTTGTTCACCGCCAACCTATAAACCTGGCAATTGCTTTTCAACTAACCAATGCAAATGCTTGTCAACATTTAAATCATTTAGCAGAAGCTCTTATCCAGAGCGACTTACGGGAGCAATTAGGGTTAAGTGCCATGCTCAAGGGCACACCGACAGATTTTTCCCCTAGTCGGCTTCTGGATTCGAACCAGCGACCTTTCGGTTACTGGCCCAACGCTCTTAACCGCTAGGCTACCTGCCGCCCCAACCGGCAACAATCAACCGGTACTAACGCTAGTAAACCAACTAACACTAAATCTTGTCAGTCAACCAGCACCAACTAGTCCACTGGAGTGTTTTATACTGTATGCCTATACCATGCCTGAGCTGTCTCTGTTCCAATATCCACACTGTCCTACCACTTAGTATGAAGCAATGTGTTGACCATGTATTGGAAGTGGTATGTCAGTATAGACATTGGATGTCTCCTGTGTTTGCAGTGGTGGCTATGGACAATTGCTTGTCAACCAACCAACACTAATGCCAGTCAATCAGAGTGTTTTGCATGCCCATACCATGACTCATTTCATTTCATTTTCATTTTAGTCATTTAGCAGACGCTCTTATCCAGAGCGACCTTACAGTTAGTGGGTGCATATATTATTTAATTTTTTTCATACTGGCCCCCCGTGGGAATTGAACCCACAACCCTGGCGTTGCAAACGCCATGCTCTACCATCTGAGCTACATCCCTGCCGCCCATTCCCTCCCCTACACGGGTCTCCCGGTCGCGGCCGGCTACGACAGTCTGGATTCGAACCAGGATCTCTAGTGGCACAGCTAGCACTGCGATGCAGTGCCTTAGACCACTGCGCCACTCGGGAGGCAATCTGCTCTTCAACAGTGTGCTGTGTGCTGTGTTTGCAGTGGTCTGACGGTAGCTATGGTAGTCAGTGTGGTGTTCCTGTTGCTGCTGAGGTACCTGGCCATTGTCCTGGTCTGGATTCTCATGGTGGGACTTCTGGTGGTGGGAGGCTACGGTAAGTCTGGCTCATACAGCCCTACAGCCTGGCCTGGACTAGATTAAAATGTGGATGATATGTAGGTATAAAGTGGTGGTGGTGTGTGTGCGCGTGTGTGTGTCTATGTGTGTGTGCGCGTGTGCATGCAGACAAGAAATTCAAGGACCAAAATGCTTTGCTTACTATTTTCACTTTCCATTTTTAAAAATCTAGTGATCACTATTTTACACTCACATACTAGCCTTATATGGTTTTCTGTTAAATCTAGAATGATGACTGAATTTGCATATGGGTTCTTCTCCTCTCCCAGGAATATGGCACTGCTACTCAGAATACTACAATTTCAGCACCTCCAAACTGAAGTTCAGTGATCTAAGCTTCAATACAAATATCTCAGTCTACCTTCAAGTCAGAGAGACCTGGCTTGCTTTCTGTGAGTTTGGTCATTATGTACCGTCTATGGGTTGTATATTGGACCTGTATCAGTGGAGGCTGCTGAGGGGAGGACGGCTCATAATAATGGCTGGAACGGAGCTAATGGAATGGCATCAAACACATGCAAACCATGTGTTTGATGTATTTGATCCATCCATTACCACGAGCCCGTCCTCCCCAATTAAGGTACCACCAACCTCCTGTGGCCTATATTGTTTTGGTGCTCGGTAGTCAAAGACTGGCATATGTTTTTATTTATTTAATTTAACCTTTTTTATCCAGGATGTCCCATTGAGGTCAGAATACCTCTTTTACAAGGGAAACCTGGCCAACTCAATAAAATACACTATATACTTCTTTTCTCAGTGATCATCCTTTGCGTGGGGGAGTCCATTTTGATTCTGGTGCTTAGTTGTCTCAGGAGGAGACTCTCTGTTGCTGTTGCTGTCATGGAGGAGTCCAGCAGGTTGGACTTTGCCTTTAGATTTGATTTATTTAATTTATTTATCAGTGTTTTATCCTGTATGAAATGAGGTGTAATGTGTGTGTTCTGTCTGCAGGGTGGTGGGTTACCTGATGTCCACCCTGCTCTACCCTCTGTTTACCTTTGTTCTGCTGGTGGTGTGTGTTGCCTACTGGGGAATGACCTCCCTGTATCCTTTGGCCCTTCATACATGGGGTTTCCATTTCCAATGCTTTCTAATGCATAAGCTAAACGGTTATTTTTACTGCTTATTTTGTCATGTGTGTTTTAGCCAGGGTTTGGAACAGGACAGAAAACCGGAAAAGAACGACAACAGAATGAGAACCGGGAACGAAAGTCATCTATACTGTTCCGGAACAGAACCGTTATTTTAAAAGCACGGGAACCTGTTAATAACGACCTTTTAGGTTCCGGGCATTTTTTTCCAGTCCCACAAAAAAACGCAACAAAGCGCCTATATAAAGCCCTCACTGTCACTCAGAAACGTATTCCAGTGTCTGCCTGCCAGCTGAACATCTTTACCAGTGTGTGTGTAGTATACTTGCCCCTCCCCCTCTGAAGGATAGTCACTAAGAGTGATTCAGAAATTAGTGAGAGAGATTTTTAATTAGAGAAGAATGGATTAACCTTTTCAGTCATAGTTAAGGATACTATTGTTATCACATTTCACATTGGATTTATTAAGTACAAAAAGTGTTTTTATTTTAATACTGGTGCCACTGCACACACAAGCTTGTGGTCCAACGTTAAGCCAACTCTCTGAAGTTCAAAGACATTCAAAGTTCCTTCATAGAAGCTGCTCCTCCGTAGGTATAATTCTGTGGGCCTAATTCAGATAATGCATGTCATAAAAAGATGCCCAGCGCTTCAAGCCTCCTCCTCCACCCTCTCTCGCTCTCTCCCCACCCGCAAAATTTCAGTCGAGTCTCGTGCCATACACTTGTCTGTCCAATGCATGTAAATAGCTTGCCCGCTCCATAACAAGCTGCTCTATCCACACTAATTGGTGAAGTAATGTAAAGTCGAGCTAAATGTAAAAAAAGATTTCAGAGGTTTAAAAAGGAACAGAAAGGAACGATATAAACAATTACTTTTTTTTGTTTCGAACCGGTTTCCTTGTCGGAACAGTGTAACGGAACAAAAAAAAAAATTGGTTCTGTTCAGAACGAAACGATTGGAAAATAATGTTGTTTTCAACCCCTGGTTTTAGCCTTTAGTTTGGTTGGGTCCTTGACTCGAGGCTCCCCACAGATACTTGGTCACATCAGGGGCCCCTCTCTACAGAGTGGTGTCTCTTAGCGACCCCTCTGTGGCTATGTGTAGCCTCATCAACGGCTCTGAGACCTGCAAGCCACAGGTAGATGGCTTGGCTTCTATTGGTTTCAATTGACAAATTATTCTGATGTCAGAACCTCATGTTTGCACCCCACCTTGTAATTACGTAAACTATGGTAAACACTGCCTCCCACTTGTCTTATATTTTTTCCTCCTCTCCTGTCCTCTCCCTACCCAGACGTTCAACTCCTCTGCCTACCCATACTGCCCGTCGGTGCGCTGCATCTTCTTCAAGTACGATGACGCAGGCCTGTTCCAGCAGAACCTGGTTTACCTGCAGGTCTACAACGTCTTTGCCTTCCTGTGGTGTGTTAACTTTGTCATCGCCCTGGGCCAGTGTACCCTGGCTGGGACCTTCGCTTCTTACTACTGGGCCTTCAGCAAGCCTGCAGAAATCTCACCCTTCGCCCTGTCCCAGTGCTTCATACGCACTCTACAGTAAGACATGAGGGACACAGGGTTTCTGTGGTTGGGGACATAGGATTGTGCCTTAAGCCAGAAAGCTTACCTATCTTGAATATGAGAGCATTAGTTGTAGTAGATCATGTATAAGTATAATGATGGGTCAATGTGAAGAGATATTTAAAGTAATCTCTTTTTAGACTTTGTGTCTAGTGTGGTGTATTTCAGTAGCAGACATTGGATTCTGTTTGTGTGTTCATGTGGAGTTCAATATGAAATGGGTTTATTTCTTCCATTCCTGGAAGGTACCACGTGGGCTCTCTGGCATTTGGAGCCCTCCTCCTCACCTGCTTCCAGCTAGTCAGGCTGGTGCTGGAGTACCTGGACCATAAGACCAGGGGTAAGGCTACACGCACGCACGTACTATTTTCCCAAACCCCTTGCCCTAACCCTTGCCCTAACCCTTGCCCTAACCCTTAATCCTAACCCGAAAACATAACCTTAACCCTAAACCTAGTCCTAGCTCCTAACCCTAACCTTAAACTTAATTCTAATCCTAATACTAATTCTAACCTTAACCCTAAACCCCCTAGAAATAGCATTTTACCTTCTGGGGACCGACAAAATGTCCCCAGTTGGTCAACTTTTTGTTAGTTTACTATGCTATAGTTAAACATGTCCACACACACACGTCCACACGCACACACACACACACACACACACACACACACACACACACACACACACACACACACACACACACACACACACACACACACACACACAGCTTCATTGTCATCCACTAGTATGCACAGATAGATGTGTTTATGTAGTTTTATGAGTCATTGACTGAAGGGAATCTCCTGTTGATGTGACTGTATGATTCCCCAGTCATTGACTAAAGGGAATCCCATGTTGTAATGTGTCTCCAGGTTCTCAGAGTGCCTTTGGTCGGTTCCTGTTCAACTGTCTCAGATGCTGCTTCTGGTGTCTGGAATACTTCCTGAAGGTCCTTAACAGGAACGCTTACATCATGGTCAGTCACATGACTGTCTGTCACTGTCTGGCATTCCTTTTAGCAGCCATTAGCATCCATGTACCTCTTCTTGCTCTGTTGGTCATTTATTCTTGGTAAATGAAAATGCAGTTCATACTTGTCAGTAATGTCTTGCATCATTCTGAATGATTGATAGATTGCCATCTATGGGGAGAGCTTCTGTGTGTCAGCCAAAAATGCATACAGTCTGTTGATGAGGAACATCGAACGGTAAGACTGGGTTTATTTGGTCGGTTGATTTTCTGCGCTTTGTTTCCTGCTCTCTCTTTTTTAACGTTTTTTTTTTAGTTTACTTCCAATATAGTCAAAGACGTTGATATTGGTTTCTATGTAAGATGCTACCACATTGTCGATTCTTAAATGTGTAATCCACTCATTGTCCCCAGGGTGGTGCTACTGGACAGAGTGACAGACATGCTCCTATTCTTTGGCAAACTACTAGTGGTGGCATCAGTTGGTAAGAGAAGTTTACGTTAACTCAAATTTGTTTAAACTTTAAGTATGAGTACCAGCCTGAAATCCAGTCTGTTTCTGCCAACATTCCACTACTTGCCAATCCTTGTCATACCAAACATGTTAATATAAGCACAAACTGACTGGATTTCAGGCTAAATGATACTGTGTTTAATAGATTTTGTATGAAAGACTGCACTTCTCATATTATTAGAATCTTCATACACATTAAATAGTATCAGCATATTACTATAACTATGGCATTTGCCATTTTATCTTCAGTGGTTGTGTTTATTATCAGCATCTTATTTTCCTTCGCTAATGAAGTATGACTAATATAATGATCTAATGGCTGACCTGACCTGTCTCTGTTTTATCAGGTGGGCTGGCTTTCTTCTTCTTCTCTGGACAAATCCGCCTGCCTGGCAACACGTTCCAGGCTGAGATGCTCAACTATTACTGGGTTCCCATCGTGGTACGTCCATGCAACAGTGTTGTTGCCAAACACTGAACACTCCCAGTCCTTCACTGACATTCTGTCTCAATGAACACATTGACATTTAACAGTGCCTAGTTAAATAAAGGTGAAATAAAATAAAAATAAAAAGATGAGACCAGCGTTTTCCAAACTTGGTCCTCAGTGCCCCTAGGGGTGCAAATTTAGTTTTTTGCCCCAACACTACATAGCTGATTCAAATGATCAAAGCTTGATGATTAGTTGATTATTTGAATCAGCTGTGTAGTGCTAGGTCAATATCCAAAACATGCACCCCTTGGGGTCCCGAGGACCGAGTTTGGGAAACCCTGCATTAGACGTTGTACGCAGGTTTGAAATGCGTTTAGAAATGAGATAATGAAAATGGCTGACGTATGCGTTTTCATTTCGGTTTGTTCACTGTTGAACTTTGTCGAACCTCCTTTGATATGAGATTAGTAAGGCAGTATTTCTAAAGGTACATGTACTGTATGTATCCAGGCTCTGTCGTAGCCAGCCGCGACCGGGAGACCCATGGGGCGGCGCACAATTGGCCCAGTGTCATCCAGGGTAGGGGAGGGAATGGCCGGCAGGGATGTAGCTCAGTTGGTAGAGCATGGTGTTTGCAACGCCAGGGTTGTGGGTTCGATTCCCACAGGGGGACAGTATGAAAAAACCCCATAAAAAAAAACGTTTAAAAAACTGTATGCACTCACTAACTGTAAGTCGCTCTGGATAAGAGCGTCTGCTAAATGACTAAAAATGTAAATGTAAAAAATGTCAGCATTGTATGGATTGGTACCGTTATAACGCATGCAGTTATGTTGTGGTAATGTTGCTCTGCAGACAGTGATGGCGGGAGCCTACCTCATCGCTCAGGGCTTCTTCAGTGTCTACAGCATGTGTATTGATACCCTGTTCCTCTGCTTCTGTAAGTCCTACCACCACCTAACCCACCACCACCACCTAACCTACCAACACCACTCTACCACCATCACCTAACCCACCACCACCACCTAACCCTCCAACTCCACCCTACCACCACCACCCTGCCACCACCACCTAACCCACCACCCTACCACCCTACCACCACCACCTAACCCTCCAACACCACCTAACCCTCCAAACCCTACACCACAACACCACCTTACCCTCCAACGCCTACACCACAACACCACCTTACCCTCCAACACCTACACCATAACACCACCTAACCCTCCAACACCTACACCACAACACCACCTTACCCTCCAACACCTACGCCACAACACCACCTTACCCTCCAACCCCTACACCACAACACCACCTTACCCTCCAACATCTACACCACAACACCACCTTACCCTCCAACGCCTACACCACCTTACCTTCCAACCCCTACCTACACCACAACACCACCTAACCTTCCAACCCCTACCTACACCACAACACCACCTAACCTTTCCAATACCTACATCACAACACCAGCTTACCCTCCAACACCACCTTACCCTCCAACACCTACACCACAACACCAGCTTACCCTCCAATACCTACATCACAACACCACCTTACCCTCCAACAGGGTAAGGTGGTGTTGTGGTACAGTAGAGTAAGGTATAGAATAGTAAGGTATAATATAGTAAGGTATAGTATAGTAAGGTATAATATAGTAATTTATAATATAGTAAGGTATAGTATAGTCAGGTATAATATACAGTGAGGGAAAAAAGTATTTGATCCCCTGCTGATTTTGTACGTTTGCCCACTGACAAAGACATGATCAGTCTATAATTTTAATGGTAGGTTTATTTGAACAGTGAGAGACAGAATATCAACAAAAAAAATACTGAAAAATGCATGTCAAAAATGTTATAAATTGATTTGCATTTTAATGAGGGAAATAAGTATTTGACCCCTCTGCAAAACATGACTTAGTACTTGGTGGTAAAACCCTTGTTGGCAATCACAGAGGTCAGACGTTTCTTGTAGTTGGCCACCAGGTTTGCAAACATCACAGGAGGGATTTTGTCCCACTCCTCTTTGCAGATCTTCTCCAAGTCATTAAGGTTTCGAGCCTGACGTTTGGCAACTGGAACCTTCAGCTCCCTCCACAGATTTTCTATGGGATTAAGGTCTGGAGACTGGCTAGGCCACTCCAGGACCTTAATGTGCTTCTTCTTGAGCCACTCCTTTGTTGCCTTGGCCATGTGTTTTGGGTCATTGTCATGCTGGAATACCCATCCACGACCCATTTTCAATGCCCTGGCTGAGAGAAGGAGGTTCTCACCCAAGATTTGACGGTAAATCGCCCCGTTCATCGTCCCTTTGATGCGGTGAAGTTGTCCTGTCCCCTTAGCAGAAAAACACCCCCAAAGCATAATGTTTCCACCTCCATGTTTGACGGTGGGGATGGTGTTCTTGGGGTCATAGGCAGCATTCCTCCTCCTCCAAACATGGCGAGTTGAGTTGATGCCAAAGAGCTCCATTTTGGTCTCATCTGACCACAACACTTTCACCCAGTTCTCCTCTGAATCATTCAGATGTTAATTGGCAAACTTCAGACGGGCCTGTATATGTGCTTTCTTGAGCAGGGGGACCTTGTGGGCGCTGCAGGATATATCAGTCCTTCACGGCGTAGTGTGTTACCAATTGTTTTCTTGGTGACTATGGTCCCAGCTGCCTTGAGATCATTGACAAGATCCTCCCGTGTAGTTCTGGGCTGATTCCTCACCGTTCTCATGATCATTGCAACTCCACGAGGTGAGATCTTGCATGGAGTCCCAGGCCGAGGGAGATTGACAGTTATTTTGTGTTTCTTCCATTTGCGAATAATCGCACCAACTATTGTCACCTTCTCACCAAGCTGCTTGGCAATGGTCTTGTAGCCCATCCTTGGAGAGCTCTTTGGTCTTGGCCATGGTGGAGAGTTTGGAATCTGATTGATTGATTGCTTCTGTGGACAGGTGTCTTTTATACAGGTAACAAGCTGAGATTAGGAGCACTCCCTTTAAGAGTGTGCACCTAATCTCAGCTCGTTACCTGTATAAAAGACACCTGGGAGCCAGAAATCTTTCTGATTGAGAGGGGGTCAAATACTTATTTCCCTCATTAAAATGCAAATCAATTTATAACATTTTTGACATGCGTTTTTCTGGAATTTTTTGTTGTTATTCTGTCTCTCACTGTTCAAATAAACCTACCATTAAAATTATAGACTGATCATTTCTTTGTCAGTGGGCAAATGTACAAAATCAGCAGGGGATCAAATACTTTTTTCCCTCACTGTAGTAAGGTATAGTAAGGTATAGAATAGTCAGGTATAATATAGTAAGGTATAATATAGTAAGGTATAGTATAGTATAGTAAGGTATAATATAGTAAGGTATAATATAGTAAGGTATAGTATAGTATAGTAAGGTATAGTATATTAAGGTATAATATAGTAAGGTATAGGATAGTATAGTAAGGTACAGTATAGTAAGGTACAGTATAGTAAGATACTGTATAGTAAGGTACAGTAGAGTAAGGTACAGTAGAGTAAGGTACAGTGGCTCGCGAAAGTATTCACTCCCCTTGGCATTTTTCCTATTTTGTTGCCTTACAACCTGGAATTAAAATTGATTTTTGGGGGGTTTGTCTCATTTGATTTACACAACATGCCTACCACTTTGAAGATGCAAAATATTTTTGGGGTGAAACAAACAAGAAATAAGACAAAAAAACAGAACTTGAGCGTGCATAACTATTCACCCCCCTCTAAAGTCAATACTTTGTAGAGCCACCTTTTGCAGCAATTACAGCTGCAAGTGTCTTGGGGTATGTCTCTATAAGCTTGGCACATCTAGCCACTGGGATTTTTGCCCATTCTTCAAGGCAAAACTGCTCCTCTCCTTCAAGTTGGATGGGTTCCGCTGGTGTACAGCAATCTTTAAGTCATACCACAGATTCTCAATTGGATTAAGGTCTGGGCTTTGACTAGGCCATTCCAAGACATTTAAATGTTTTCCCTTAAACCACTCGAGTGTTGCTTTAGCAGTATGCTTAGGGTCATTGTCCTGCTGGAAGGTGAACCTCCATCCCAGTCTCAAATCTCTAGAAGACTGAAACAAGTTTCCCTCAATAATTTCCCTGTATTTAGCACCATCCGTCATTCCTTCAATTCTGACCAGTTTCCCAGTCCCTGCCGATGAAAAACATCCCCACAGCATGATGCTGCCACCACCATGCTTCACTGTGGGGATGGTGTTCTCTGGGTGTTGAGAGTTGTTGGGTTTGTGCCAGACATAGCATTTTCCTTGATGGCCAAAAAGCTCAATTTAGTATCATCTGACCAGAGTACCTTCTTCCATATGTTTGGGGAGTCTCCCACATGCCTTTTGGCGAACACCAAACGTGTTAGCTTATTTTTTTCTTTAAGCAATGGCTTTTTTCTGGCCACTCTTCCGTAAAGCCCAGTTCTGTGGAGTGTACGGCTTAAAGTGGTCCTGTGGACAGATACTCCAATCTCCGCTGTAGAGCTTTGCAGCTCCTTCAGGGTTATCATTGGTCTCTTTGTTACCTCTCTGATTAATGCCCTCCTTGCCTGGTCCGTGAGTTTTGGTGGGCGGCCCTCTCTTGGCAGGTTTGTTGTGGTGCCATATTCTTTCCATTTTCTAATAATGGATTTAATGATGCTCTGTGGGATATTCAAAGTTTCTGATATTTTTTTATAACCCAACCCTGATCTCTACTTCTCCACAACTTTGTCCCTGACCTGTTTGGAGAGCTCCTTGGTCTTCATGGTGCCGCTTGCTTGGTGGTGCCCCTTGCTTAGTGGTGTTGCAGACTCTGGGGCCTTTCAGAACAGGTGTATATATACTGAGATCATGTGACATATCATTTGACACTTAAATAAAGTCCACCAGTGTGCAATCTAACTAATTATGTGACTTCTGAAGGTAATTGGTTGCACCAGATCTTATTTAGGGGCTTCATAGCAACAATTTTCAGTTATTTATTTTTTTGAATTTTTTGAAACAGTTAATTTTTTTCATTCCACTTCACCAATTTGGACTATTTTGTGTATGTCCATTACATGAAATCCAAATAAAAATCAATTTAAATTACAGGTTGTAATGCAACAAAATAGGAAAAACGCCAAGGGGGATGAATACTTTTTGCAAGGCACTGTACAGTAGAGTAAAGTATAGTATAGTAGAGTAAGGTATAGTAAGGTATAGTAAAGTACGGTATAGGAAAGTACGGTATAGTAGAGTACGGTATAGTATAGTACGGTATAGTAGAGTAGGGTATAGTAGAGTAAGGTATAGTAAGGTATAGTAGAGTAGGTATAGTAAGGTATAGTAGAGTAGGTATAGTAGATAGGTATAGTAGGTATCGTAGAGTATGGTCTAGTAAGGTATAGTATAGTAAGGTATAGTTAGTAAGGTATAGTCAGAGTAAGTCTAGTACAGTCTAGTATAGTCGGTTAGTGTAGGTATCGTATAGTTTACGGTTATCGTAGAGTACGGTCTAGTTCGGTATGTAGCGGAAGTAGCGTCGGTCTAGTCGCTCGGTCTGTAGATCGTATCGTCCGGTCTAGTAGAGTCGGTTAGTAGGTTGTTAGTCCGGTCGGTTAGCGTAGGTCTCGTCGGTCGGGTCTCGTAGGTACGGTCTCGTACGTGGTTCGTCGCGTAGGGTCTCTCGCGTAGTCTCGTCTCTCGGTTCTCGTCGGGTAAGTCCGTCTAGTAGCGAGTCTCGTAGGTTCTTCTGTCGGTCTGTCGCGTATGGTCTCGTTCTGGTTGTATCGTAAGGTCTGTAGTAGGTCTGTCGCGTAGGGTTCTACGTCGCGTCGGGTCTCGTCGCGTAGGGTCTCGTGGGTATGGGTATCGTAGAGTACGGTTATGCAGAGTAGTCAACGTACATAGTAGAGTAGTAGGAGTGACTCCAGATGTTTCTTCCCTCACTCAGTGGAACGATCTAGAGAGGAATGATGGAACTATGCAGAAGCCTTATTACATGTCCAGGAACCTGATGAGGATCCTCCGTAAACCCAAACCGTTTGTTACAGCCCTGCCGGAGTAGTAGTAACCTTTAACCTCTGAGTTAACCCCTTACCTTTAGCCCAACCATCTATCCTATCCCCTGTCTTCTAATAAAGCTATCAGTATTGGCGAAGTAGTGCAGTCCTGTTTCTGTCGTGTGTCTGTAAATAGCCTGTAAATACCCAGTTTTTTTTGTATTTTTCGTACATATTTCCCTATCAGACTTTTCATCCTTCTACAAAATATACTTTCCTGCAACCCGCCTCACTCAATGTGGAACGGATTCTATTATTGACTTACCTTTTATCTAGAATCTAGAATCTCCAGTTGAAACTAGCTAGCCAGCTAACTAACTACTTGCTATTAGCCACAGCTAGCGGTGCTAGCGGTGTTTCACCCAGAACATTGGATTTTTTTCCGCTGGATTAATTTTAATCACTGGACATTGATCACCGGATATTCGGCCAGTCTGCACAGCGCGTTATCGACCCAGAACATAAAGGATTCACTGGACCTTTAACTCCGGATTCATCGCTACCAGCTGGCTACAACAAAACGGACGCTGTGGTCTGGCTAATCAACCTGAGCTAGGCCCATCTCCCGGCTATCTACCTCTCTATCAACCGGACGGGACCACCTAGTATTGCCCCGCCGATCCTACACGACTGGTCTGCCGACGAAATCGTCTGATGTGGTTACGACGTAACCATGAAGATTCCATCCATCTGCTAGCCCTGGCCCGTTAGCACACGCTTACTCACTAAACTGAACTAGCTACTGAACTAGCTACTTGCTATTAGCCACAGCTAGCGGTGTTTTACCCAGAACATTTGATTTTTTTCCGCGGGATTAATTTTAATCACTGGACATTGATCACCGGATATTCGGCCAGTCAGCACTGCGCGTTATCGACCCAGAACATATCAGTTTTTCCGCCGGCATCACTGAATCACTGGACCTTTAACTCCGGATTCATCGCTACCAGCTGGCTACAACAAAACGGACGTAGCACACGCTAGCCGTGGCCTCTTACTCACTAGCGCTTCACCACCGGACCTTATGATAACTCAGCTATACAGCTGATATCTACTGGACTGTTCCTTTTTACGGTACTACATCCCGTTTATGTTTAGCCTCAGCCCAAACATGGTTAGTTTATTGTTGTTTCGGTTATTTCTAATTGTACTATATCACTGTAGACCCCCCAGCCTAGCTAAACCTGCCTTGGTTAGCTCCTTTGTCCCTCCACCCATACACTCAGAGACCGACTCAATTGATGCCTCTAGAGATACTATCTCTTTCAGTGTTACCCAACGCTTAGGTTTACCTCCACTTTACTCATATCCTTCCATATCCTTGTCTGTTCATAATGCCCTGAATCTTTTCTATAACACCCGGAAATCTGCCCCCTTTATTCTATGTACCCAACGCACTAGAAGACCAGTTCTTAAAGCCTTTAGCCGTATCCTTATTCTAGTCCTCCTCTGTTCCTCTGGTGATGTAGAGGCTAACCCAGGCCCTGTAGCCCCCAGTATCACTCCTACTCCCCAGGAGCTATCATTTGTTGACTTCTGTAATCGCCAAAGTCTTGGTTTCTTGCACATAAATATCAGAAGTCTACTTCCTAAGTTTGAGTTATTCACTGCGTTAGCACACTCTGCCAACCCTGATGTTCTAGCAGTGTCTGAATCCTGGCTCAGGAAGGCCACCAAAAATTCTGAAATTTCCATCCCCAACTATAACATTTTCCGTCTAGATAGAACTGCCAAAGGGGGTGGAGTTGCAATCTACTGTAGAGATAGCCTGCAGAGCTCTATCATACTATCCAGGTCTGTGCCCAAACAGTTTGAGCTTCTACTTCTAAAAATCCACCTTTCCAGAAATAAGTCTCTCACTGTTGCCGCTTGCTACAGACCCCCCTCAGCCCCCAGCTGTGCCCTGGACACCATATGTGAATTGATTGCCCCCCATTTATCCTCTGAGTTTGTACTGCTTGGTGACCTAAATTGGGATATGCTTAATACCCCAGCCATCCTACAATCCAAGCTAGATGCCCTCAACCTCACGCAAATTATCAACGAACCTACCAGGTACAACCCTAAATCCTTAAACATGGGTACCCTCATAGATATCATCCTGACTAATATACCCTCTAAATACACCTCAGCAGTCTTCAACCAGGATCTCAGCGATCACTGCCTTATTGCCTGCGTCCGTAACGGGTCCGCGGTCAAACGACCACCCCTCATCACTGTCAAACGCTCCCTAAAACACTTTAGCGAGGAGGCCTTCCTAATTGACCTGGCCCAGGTATCCTGGATGGATATAGATCTCATTCCGTCAGTAGAGGATGCCTGGTTGTTCCTTAAAAGTAATTTCCTCTCAATCTTAAATAAACATGCCCCATTCAAAAAATACAGAACTAAGAACCGATATAGCCCCTGGTTCTCCTCAGACTTGACTGCCCTTGACCAGCACAAAAACATCCTGTGGCGTACAGCATTAGCATCAAATAGCCCCCGCGATATGCAACTTTTCAGGGAAGTTAGGAACCAATATACACAAGCAGTCAGGAAAGCAAAGGCTAACTTTTTCAAACAGAAATCTGCATCCTGTAGCACTAACTCCAAAAAGTTTTGGGACACTGTAAAGTCCATGGAGAATAAGAGCACTTCCTCCCAGCTGCCCACTGCACTGAGGCTAGGAAACACTATCACCACCGATAAATCTACAATAATCGAGAATTTCAACAAGCATTTTGCTACAGCTGGCCATGCTTTCCATCTGGCTACCACTAACCCGGCCACCAACTCTGCACCCTCTGCTGCAATTTGCCCATGCCCCCCCCGCTTCTCCTTCACACAAATTCAGACAGCTGATGTTTTGAAAGCGCTGCAAAATCTGGACCCCTACAAATCAGCTGGGCTAGACAATCTGGACCCTTTCTTCCTAAAACTAGCCGCCGAAATTGTCGCAACCCCTATTACTAGTCTGTTCAACCTCTCTTTCATAACGTCTGAGATCCCCAGAGATTGGAAAGCTGCCGCGGTCATCCCCCTCTTCAAAGGGGGTGACACTCTAGATCCAAACTGCTACAGACCTATATCCATCCTGCCCTGCCTTTCGAAAGTATTCGAAAGCCAAGTTAACAAACAGATCATCGACCATTTCGAATACCACCGTACCTTCTCCGCTATGCAATCCGGTTTCCGAGCTGGTCACGGGTGCACTTCAGCCACGCTCAAGGTCCTAAACGATATTATAACCGCGATTGATAATAGACAGTACTGTGCAGCCGTCTTCATCGACCTGGCCAAGGCTTTCGACTCTGTCAACCACCGCATTCTTATTGGCAGACTAAATAGCCTTGGTTTCTCAAATGACTGCCTCGCCTGGTTCACCAACTACTTCTCAGATAGAGTTCAGTGTGTCAAATCGGAGGGCCTGTTGTCTGGACCTATGGCAGTCTCTATGGGGGTGCCACAGGGTTCAATTCTTGGGCCGACACTTTTCTCCGTGTATATCAATGATGTCGCTCTTGCTGCTGGTGACTCTCAGATCCACCTCTACGCAGACGATACCATTTTGTATACATCTGGCCCTTCATTGGACACTGTGTTAACAAACCTCCAAACGAGCTTCAATGCCATACAACAATCCTTCAGTAGCCTTCAACTGCTCTTAAACACTAGTAAAACTAAATGCATGCTTTTCAATCGAACGCTGCTAGCACCCGCCCACCCGACTAGAATCACCACTCTCGACGGGTCTGACCTAGAGTATGTGGACAACTACAAATATCTAGGTGTCTGGTTAGACTGTAAACTCAACTTCCAGACTCACATAAAGAATCTCCGATCCAAAGTTAAATCTAGAATCGGCTTCCTATTTCGCAACAAAGCCTCCTTCACTCATGCTGCCAAACATGCCCTCGTAAAACTGACTATCCTACCGATCCTTGACTTCGGCGATGTCATTTACAAAATAGCCTCCAACACTCTACTCAGCAAATTGGATGTAGTCTATCACAGTGCCATCCGTTTTGTCTCCAAAGCCCCATACACTACCCACCACTGTGACCTGTACGCTCTTGTTGGCTGGTCCTCACTACATGTTCGTCGTCAAACCCACTGGCTCCAGGCCATCTATAAATCACTGCTAGGCAAATCCCCGCCTTATCTTAGCTCATTGGTCACCATAGCAGCACCCACCCGTAGTCTGCGCTCCAGCAGGTATATCTCACTGGTCATTCCCAAAGCCAACACCTCCTTTGGCCGCCATTCCTTCCAGTTCTCTGCTGCCAATGACTGGAACGAATTGCAAAAATCTCTGAAGCTGGAGACTCTTATCTCCCCCAATAACTTTAAGCATCAGTTGTCAGAGCACCTTACCGATCACTGCACCTGTACACAGCCCATCTGAAATTAGCCCACCCAACTACCTCATCCCTATATTGTTATTTAATTTGCTCTTTTGCACCCCAGTATCTCTATTTGCACATAATCTCTTGCACATCTAGCATTCCAGTGTTAATACTATTGTAATTATTCTGCACTATAGCCTATTTATTGCCTTACCTCCATAACTTGCTACATTTGCACACACTGTATATATATTTTCTGTTGTATTTCTGACTTTATGTTTTTTTTACCCCATATGTAACTCTGTGTTGTTTTTATTGCACTACTTTGCTTTATCTTGGCCAGGTCGCAGTTGTAAATGAGAACCTGTTCTCAACTGGCTTACCTGGTTAAATAAAGGTGAAATAAAATTTAAAAAAAAGTATTCTCATTCAGGCTACCGTTGGTTTATTTATTTAGGGAGTCAGAAATGCATCCTTCGTTGTTAAAAGAGGAAGTATTTATTAGAAATATGAAATATAATTCAATACATTCCAATTACTGCACAATACTACATAATATACACTACCAGTCAAGGGTTTGGACACACCTACTCATTCAAGGGTTTTTCTTTATTTTTACTATTTTCTACATTGTAGAATAAGACATCAAAACTATGAAATAACACATATGGAATCATGTAGTAACCAAAAAAATGCCAAGAGTGTGCAAAGCTGTCATCAAGGCAAAGGGTGGCTATTTGAAGAATCTCAAATATAAAATATATTTTGATTTGTTGAACACTTTTTTGGTTACTACATGATTCCATATGTGTTATTTCATATTTTTGATGTCGTCACTATTATTCTACAATGTACAAACTAGTAAAAATAAAGAAAAACCCTTGAATGAGTAGGTGTGTCCAAACCTTTGACTGGTACTGTATATCTTCTCTAACAGCAATACTTCCGCTAGAGCCTAATGATTGAATGCGGTTTTAACCAATCACCATTCAGGATTAGAACCACCCGTTGTATAATTGTGATACGATCGCTGTACATGAACAAACTCTGTGAGATGTCAAGGCCCAGGTCTGGGCCGTGCTATGACTGTGTAGGCCTTGGCTTTGAGTACCACACTGGCCACTCCTGTCAGGTCTGGCAGAGAGGCCTGGCCTTCAGCAGGCACGAACTGGAAATCACGCAGCAAGTAGGCAGTGAACAGAAACAATTCCATTTTGGCCACAGCCTCCCCCAGACACAGCCGAGCGCCCCCTCCGAAAGGCAGGAGAGCACGCGTCGAGGCCCCCCCGCCCTCCAGGAACCGCTCTGAAAGAGAGTGGGTCTACTTTTAACTACTGCTGGAACTATGTTGCCGAGCCAAGTGAAAGGAATGTTAGTCAGCATCCCAAATGGTACCCTAATCCCTATATAGTGCACTACTTTTAACCTGAGCCTTATGGGCCCTGATCAAAAGTAGTTCACTATATAGGGAATAGGGTGCCATTTGGGACGTAGCCAATACACTCAACAGCCCAGCACCTGGTTTGAAGGCGTAGGGATCCGTCCACACTGCAGGGTCGTGATGCGCCCCAAACAGATTGGGGATGATGACAGTGTTCTTAGTGATGAAGTAGCCTGCAATACTGAACACATATGTAATAGACACATAATTACACATTGCACGTACACTGAGTATACCAAACATTAGGAACACCTTCCTAATATTGAGCTGGATGTCCTTTGGGTTGTGGACCATTCTTGATACACATAGGAAATTGTTGAGTGTGAAAAACCCAGCAGCATTGCAGTTCTTGACACAAACCGGTGCACCTGGCACCTACTACCATACCCCGTTCAAAGGCACTTAAATCTTTTGTCTTGCCCATTCACCTTCTGAATGGCACACATACACAATCGTTGGAACCCATTGGTCTCAAGGCTTAAAAATCCTTCTTTAACTTGTCTCCTCCCCTTCATCTACACTGATTGAAGTGGATTTAACAAGTGACATCAATAAGGGATCATAGCTTTCACCTGGATTCACCTGGTCAGTCTATGTCATGGAAAGAGCAGATGTTCTTAATGTTTTGTACACTCAGTGTATAAACATGCATGAATTAGTACTGCATGATTAGGCATTGCATTTAGGTAAAAAAACGGCACAGAAGGGAAGTTGGCAAACATGTACTGTACAAAGCAGAGTAACAGCATCAAACCATAAGCTCCCATAGAAAATGTTGAATGGTGAAAGTTAAATATTGGTCTACTTTCCCACAGTGTATCTATTGAGGTTCTCTGTAGAGTAATCTTATACAGTAATGATATACAGTAATGTTATACAGTAATGATATACAGTAATATTATACAGTTATGTTATACAGTAATGATATACAGTAATGATATATAGTAACGATATACAGTAATTGTCACGCCCTGACTCAGGGGACACTTATATGTTGAGTCTGGGTGTGGTGTTCTATGTTGTGTTTTCTATGTTTCAGTCTAGGTGTTGTAGTTCTGCGTTTGGCCGGGTGTGTTTCCCAATCAGAGACAGCTGTCGCTCGTTGTCTCTGATTGGGGATCATACTTAGGCAGCCTATTGGCACTAGTTAGTGGTGGGATCTTGTTCCGTGAGTAGACTAGTTTTGTGTGTAGCCTTAGGACTTCACATTTCGTTGGTTTGTTGTTTTGTCGTGTGTTTATCATTTAAATAAACATGTACGCATTTCACGCTGCGCCTTGGTCTGACCCGTCCTTCAACGAAGGTGACAGAAGATCCCACCAAACACGGACCAAGCAGCGTGCCCAGGAGGACCGAACACCCTGGACACAGGTGGGGAAGATTTGGTCTTGGGAGGAGATATTTGCGGGAAAAGGACCCTGGGCGAAGAAGGAAGCCCAGGCAGGAGAGGAGCAACGGCAACACAGAAGCCGGCCGAGGAGGAAGCCAGAGAAGCAGCCTCAAGAAAATGTTGGGGGGGGGGCTAAAGGGGTGGTCGGGGAGCGAGAGAGAAGAGCCCCGACCACTGCACCCGGTGGGTTTCCAGATTGAGTCCCTACGACCATGGGAAGAAGAGTGGGAACAGTATTATACTGAGGAGTCGGAGGATGACGACGACGATGAGTGTCTGTTCCCTAACTCGTGGGGGCTCCCGGAGGAGTCCTCACTGGAGGAGGAGTGCCAAGAGAGAGAGAAGGATCGGATCTGCAGGGTAAGAGAGGAGGCCACCACATTACGGGGGCTGATAGCTAGAATAGAGCAGGAGAGATCCATTCAAGAGGAGGTACTGCAGGAGGCTCGTAGGGAGAAGGAGGAAGTCGAGGCACGGGGAGAGGAGCTGGTTAGGCAATATAAGGAGCGGGGGTTAATAGAGGAACCCAGGTATGCGGAGAAACGCACTGTATCGCCAGTGCGCATGCACAGCCCAGTGCGTTCTATGCCAGCACCCAGCACGTGTCGTGCGAAAGTGGGCAGCCAGCCAGGACGGGTTGTGCCAGCTCTCCGCTCCAGACCTCCAGTCCGCCTCCACAGTCCGGCCCGGCCCGTTCCTGCTCCTCGCACCAGGCCAGTGGTGCGTGTTCCCAGTCTGGTACGGCCCGTGCCTACTCCCCGCCCCAAGCCAGTGGTGCGTGTTTCCAGTCCGGCCCGGCCCGTTCCTGCTCCCCGCACCAAGCCAGTGGTGCGTGTTCCCAGCCGGCCGAGGAGGAAGCCCGAGAAGCAGCCTCAAGAAAATGTTGGGGGGGGGCTAAAGGGGTGGTCGGGGAGCGAGAGAGAAGAGCCCCGACCACTGCACCCGGTGGGTTTCCAGATTGAGGCGGAATGCCCACCCGGTCCCTACCCTGCTATGTAAAGGTTGTGCGGTCGGAGTCCGCACCTTTGGGGGGGGGGGGGGGGGGGGGTACTGTCACGCCCTGACTCAGGGGACTCTTATATGTTGAGTCAGGGTGTGGTGTTCTATGTTGTGTTTTCTATGTTTCAGTCTAGGTGTTGTAGTTCTGCGTTTGGCCGGGTGTGTTTCCCAATCAGAGACAGCTGTCGCTCGTTGTCTCTGATTGGGGATCATACTTAGGCAGCCTGTTGGCACTAGTTAGTTGTGGGATCTTGTTCCGTGAGTAGGCTTGTTTTGTGTGTAGCCTTAGGACTTCCCGTTTCGTTGGTTTGTTGTTTTGTCGTGTGTTTATCATTTAAATAAACATGTACGCATTTCACGCTGCGCCTTGGTCTGACCCGTCCTTCAACGAACGTGACAGTAATGATATACAGTAATGTTATACAGTAATGATATACAGTAATCTTATACAGTAATGATATATAGTAACGATATACAGTAATGATATACAGTTATGTTATACAGTAATGATATACAGTAATGATATATAGTAACGATATACAGTGGGGGAAAAAAAGTATTTAGTCAGCCACCAATTGTGCAAGTTCTCCCACTTAAAAAGATGAGAGAGGCCTGTAATTTTCATCATAGGTACACGTCAACTATGACAGACAAAATGAGAAAAAATAATCCAGAAAATCACATTGTAGGAATTTTAAATGAATTTATTTGCAAATTATGGTGGAAAATAAGTATTTGGTCAATAACAAAAGTTTCTCAATACTTTGTTATATACCCTTTGTTGGCAATGACACAGGTCAAACGTTTTCTGTAAGTCTTCACAAGGTTTTCACACTGTTGCTGGTATTTTGGCCCATTCCTCCATGCAGATCTCCTCTAGAGCAGTGATGTTTTGGGGCTGTCACTGGGCAACACGGACTTTCAACTCCCTCCAAAGATTTTCTATGGGGTTGAGATCTGGAGACTGGCTAGGCCACTCCAGGACTTTGAAATGCTTCTTACGAAGCCACTCCTTCGTTGCCCGGGCGGTGTGTTTGGGATCATTGTCATGCTGAAAGACCCAGCCACGTTTCATCTACAATGCCCTTGCTGATGGAAGGAGGTTTTCACTCAAAATCTCACGATACATGGCCCCATTCATTCTTTCCTTTACACGGATCAGTCGTCCTGGTCCCTTTGCAGAAAAACAGCCCCAAAGCATGATGTTTCCACCCCCATGCTTCACAGTAGGTATGGTGTTCTTTGGATGCAACTCAGCATTCTTTGTCCTCCAAACACGACGAGTTGAGTTTTTACCAAAAAGTTATATTTTGGTTTCATCTGACCATATGACATTCTCCGAATCCTCTTCTGGATCATCCAAATGCACTCTAGCAAACTTCAGACGGGCCTGGACATGTACTGGCTTAAGCAGGGGGACACGTCTGGCACTGCAGGATTTGAGTCCCTGGCGGCGTAGTGTGTTACTGATGGTAGGCTTTGTTACTTTGGTCCCAGCTCTCTGCAGGTCATTCACTAGGTCCCCCCGTGTGGTTCTGGGATTTTTGCTCACCTTTCTTGTGATCATTTTGACCCCACGGGGTGAGATCTTGCGTGGAGCCCCAGATCGAGGGAGATTATCAGTGGTCTTGTATGTCTTCCATTTCCTAATAATTGCTCCCACAGTTGATTTCTTCAAACCAAGCTGCTTACCTATTGCAGATTTAGTCTTCCCAGCCTGGTGCAGGTCTACAATTTTGTTTCTGGTATCCTTTGACAGCTCTTTGGTCTTGGCCATAGTGGAGTTTGGAGTGTGACTGTTTGAGGTTGTGGACAGGTGTCTTTTATACTGATAACAAGTTCAAACAGGTGCCATTAATACAGGTAACGAGTGGAGGACAGAGGAGCCTCTTAAAGAAGAAGTTACAGGTCTGTGAGAGACAGAAATCTTGCTTGTTTGTAGGTGACCAAATACTTATTTTCCACCATAATTTGCAAATAAATTCATAAAAAATCCTACAATGTGATTTTCTGGATTTTTTTTCTCATTTTGTCTGTCATAGTTGACGTGTACCTGTGATGAAAATTACAGGCCTCTCTCATCTTTTTAAGTGGGAGAACTTGCACAATTGGTGGCTGACTAAATACTTTTTCCCCCCACTGTATAGTTATGTTATACAGTATTCTTATACAGTTATGTTATACAGTAATGATATACAGTCCTACAGTAAGTCTATCTCAGAGGAGGCTGGTGGGAGGGGCTGTAGGAGGACGGGCTCATTGTAATGGCTGGAATGGAATCAATGGAACAGAGTCAAACACATCAAACATATGGAAACCACGTTTGACTCTGTTCCATTTATTCCATTCCAGCCATTACAATGAGCCCGTCCTCCTATAGCCCATCCTACCAGCCTCCTCTGGTATATCTTCCATTCACCTGCTGTCTCTGATGGCTCTGTGAGGCACAGCTAGTGGAGCCACAGGTCTGAGTCTGAGCACCTCACTGATCACAGCACAGAGCTCTGGCAGCCTGTGTCTGTCACTGTACTGAGGGTAGCGGACATCCAGCACCGTACACAACTCATCATACACTCTGCACTGCACCTAGGGAGGAGGAGAGAGAGAGAGAAAGAAAGAGAGATGGAGGGAGAGAGAGAGGCATCTCACCATGTGTTTAATCAGTGATCTCAGATGTAAGTTTTGACTTACAGACTATATTTTGGAATACAAGCCAACAACACATCTGTGGGTTTCAGTCTAGTTCCATCTCTATAGAATACTATATAAACAATATACAGTCGCTTGCGAAAGTATTCACCCCCCTTGGCATTTTTACTATTTTGTTGCCTTACAACCTGGAATTAAAATAGATTTTTGGTGGATTTGTATCATTTGATTTATACAACATGCCTACCACTTTGAAGATGCAAAATATATTTTATTGTAAAACAAACAAGAAATAAGACCAAAAAAACAGAACAGTTGAGCGTGCATAACTATTCACCTTTTGCAGCAATTACAGCTGCAAGTCTCTTGGGGTATGTCTCTATAAGCTTGGCACATCTAGCCACTGGGATTTTCGCCCATTCTTCAAGGCAATACTGCTCCAGCTCCTTCAAGTTGGATGAGTTCTGCTGCTGTACAGCAATCTTTAAGTCATCCCACAGATTCTCAATTGGATTGAGGTCTGGGCTTTGACTAGGCCATTCCAAGACATTGAAATGTTTCCCCTTAAACCAATTGAGTGTTGCTTTAGCAGTATGCTCAGGGTCATTTTCCTACTGGAAGGTGAACCTCCGTCCCAGTCTCAAATCTCTGGAAGACTGAAACAGGTTTCCCTCAAGAATTTCCCTGTTTTAGCGTCATCCATCATTCCTTCAATTCTGACCAGTTTCCCAGTCCCTGCCGATGAAAAACATCCCCACAGCATGATGCTGCCACCACCATGCTTCACTGTGGGGATGGTGTTCTCGGGGTGATGAGAGGTGTTGGGTTTGTGCCAGACTTAGCGTTTTCCTTGATGTCCAAAAAGCTCAATTTTAGTCTCATCTGACCAGAGTACCTTCTTCCATATGTTTGGGGAGTCTCCCACATGCCTTTTGGCGAACACCAAACGTGTTAGCTTATTTTTTTCTTTAAGCAGTGGCTTTTTTCTGGCCACTCTTCCGTAAAGCCCAGCTCTGTGGAGTGTACGGTTTAAAGTGGTCCTATGGACAGATACTCCAATCTCCGCTGTAGAGCTTTGCAGCTCCTTCAGGGTTATCTTTGGTCTCTTTGTTACCCTCTGATTAATGCCCTCCTTGCCTGGTCCGTGAGTTTTGGTGGGCGGCCCTCTCTTGGCAGGTTTGTTGTGGTGCCATATTCTTTAAAATTTTTAATAATGGATTTAATGGTGCTCAGTGGGATGTTCAAAGTTTCTGATATTTTTTTATAACCCAACCCTGATCTGTACTTCTCCACAACTTTGTCCCTGACCTGTTTGGAGAGCTCCTTGGTCTTCATGGTGCCGCTTGCTTGGTGGTGCCCCTTGCTTAGTGGTGTTGCAGACTCTGGGGCCTTTCAGAACAGGTGTATATGTACTGAGATCATGTCAGATCATGTGACACTTATTTAACTAATTATGTGACTTCTGAATGTAATTGGTTGCACCAGATCTTATTTAGGGGCTTCATAGCAAAGGGGGTGAATACATATGCACGCACCACTTTTACGTTATTTATTTTGTATAATTTTTTTTAACAAGTAATTTTTCATTTCACTTCACCAATTTGGACTATTTTGTGTATGTCCATTACATGAAATCCAAATAAAAATCAATTTAAATGACATGTTGTAATGCAACAAAATAGGAAAAACGCCAAGAGGGTTGAATGCTTTTGCAAGGCACTGTATCGAAGGTCTGGGGACACTGGAGCATGCAATGTAGTGTAGTGGAGTGTAGTGTAGTGTATAGAGTAGTGTAGTGTAAAGAGTTCTGTAGTGTAGTGTAGTGTAGTATAGTGTATAGAGTTCTGTAGTGTAGTGTATAGAGTTCTGTAGTGTAGTGTATAGAGTTATGTAGTGTAGTGTATATAGTTATGTAGTGTAGTGTAGAGTGCTGTTCCAGTGTAGTGTAGTGTATAGAGTTATGTAGTGTAGTGCAGTGTCTAGAATTGTTTAGTGTAGTGCAGTGTATAGAGTTCTGTAGTGTAGTGTATAGAGTTCTGTAGTGTAGTCTATAGAGTTCTGTAGGGTAGTGTAGTGTATATAGGTATGTAGTGTAGTGTATAGAGTTATGTAGTGTAGTGTATAGAGTACTGTACTGTAGTGTAGTGTAGTGCATATAGTTATGTAGTGTAGTGTATAGAGTTATGTAATGTATTGTAGTGTGTAGTTTAGTGTAGTGTATAGAGTTGTGTAGTGTATAGAGTTATGTAGTGTAGTGTAGTGTAGTGTAGTGTAGTGTAGTGTAGTGTAGTGTATAGAGTTCTGTAGTGTAGTGTAGTGTATTGTATAGAGTGGTGTGGTGTATAGAGTTATGTCGTGTAGTGTATAAAGTTATGTAGTGTAGTGTAGTTTAGTGTATAGTGTAGTGTAGTGTATAGAGTTCTGTAGTGTACCTCAGGCCTGTGCAGTAGGAAGGCCACGGTCCAGCTGAGCCAGGCAGCTGTGGTCTCTGTTCCCCCGATCAGAAGGTCCACAGTGGCCATGTGGACGTGAGTGTCTGTCAGGACCTGTGGATGGACCATGTCCTTACTACAGACCATGACCATGGGTGTGACCCAAATGGCACTCTATTCTCTATATAGTTCACTGCTTTTAACCAGGGCCATGGTCAAAAGTAGTGCGCTAGGGAATAGTGTGCCATTTCGGACGTGCAATATAACACTTACTATTTCAGTGTTACATTCCTACATCTTTATTCATAGCAAGTAGTAGGCTTATATTGTAAGCATTTGCTATGTGATTTTGATTGATTATCATGATAAACCATGATAAACCACAGCCTGGTCTCATAGACTAGACCTAACAAAGTAAATGTTAATCTGGGACACTCAAATTAGTATGATATGTTACGTTTGGTATGGTTACATAAGACAGAAAGTTACTTAACACGAATGTCTAGCAACCCAAAGGTTGCGTGTTCGAATCTCATGGATAACTTTAGCATTTTAGCTAATTAGCAACTTTGCAACTACTTGCTACTTTTGTGCTACTTTGCAACTACTTAGCATGTTAGCTAACCCTTCCCCTAACCCAAACTTTAACCCTTTAACCTAACTCCGAACCTTAACCCTAACCTTAACCCTAACCCCTAGCCTATCTAACGTTAGCGTTAGCCACCTAGCTAACGTTAGCCATAACAAATTGGAATTCGCAACATATCATACGTTTTGCAAATTCATAGCATACTAATTGGAGCGTCCCCGGATTTACGTTTACTATGTTACGTATACCCCTGATTCCAGGTTGTAAACCATGATAAACCATGATAAACCAGAACCTACCACGCCTTGTGTTGTGTCCTGGGGCTTTCCAAGGCCCTTGAGGAGAGCGCCTGTGATGGCAATGGCGTCCTCAGATGTTTTGCTCGGTGCCTGCATCTGTGGCAGCAATACAGTTAATATATTCCATATGTTACCAATGTACCCATATTAGATTATAGATGCTTTAAAAAAAACTTTTAGATGATTGTCTTCGTGTTTGCTGCTGTCTACTTGCACAGAAGCTTGTACAGAAGTTTGTAAGACAAGCTATTTCATCACACCCTGTACTCATCCAGATGTGTTCTGATGATTTCATCTCTCCTGGCCACCTCTTTCAGGAGACGGGAGAATGGAGGATTGGGCAATTTCTTGGACAAATGGGAACAGATCAATATAATTACATAATAGAATCAAATTTTCCCACTTTTGTTTGCACCATTTTAGACAGTTTTAAACAATACTTCCAATGTATTTGTGTATCAGAGTAGCTGTCTGTGCATGCAGTTTCCCTGTCAGATAGTAAAGTATGAGTGTATAAGCTTGACCGACCCTGAGCAGTGGGAAGGAGTCCAGAGCAGAGATCCAGGGAGAACCCCATAGAGACACGATCTCATTAAGACAGCCATGCAGCCGCTGCAGCTCTGCAGAACTCTTCTCATACTGAAAGACACAGACAAATAGACAAAGGTTACAAACACAGACTAATAAATCGATACATTATACAGGAAGTCCCACTTATACCATTTACCAAAGCGTCTTGGGCTCCTTGAAAAGTTATGTATTATTATTATTATTATTATTATTATTATTAGTATTATTAGTATTAGTATTATTATCAGTATTATTATCATTATCCTTATTGTTATTATTATCAGTATTATTACCATTATCCTTATGATCATTATCCTTATTATTATCGCTGTTATCCTTATCCTTATCATTATTATCCTTATTATTATCAATGTTATTATTATTATTGTTATTGTTATCCTTGTCCTTATTATCCTTATCCTTATTTTTATCGTTGTTATCATCATTGTTATCATTATTATTATTATCATTACTATTATCATTATCATCATTATCCTTATTATGATCCTTATTATTATTATTATCGTTATTATCATTAGTATTATCGGTATTATTATTATCATTATTATTATTGTTATCATTATTGCTATCATTGTTATTATCATTACGATTATGATTATTATCATTATTATCATTATAATCACCCTCATTATTATTATCACTGTTATCATTATCCTTATTATCATTCTTATTATCAGTAGTATTATTATCAGTAGTATTATTATCATTGTCCTTATTATTAGCATTGTTATTATCATTATCCTTATTATTATCGTTATTGTTATTATCATTATTATTATTATCATGATTAGTATCATTATTATCATTATCGATGTGCCCTTGAGCAAGGCACTTAACCCTAATTGCTCCTGTAAGTCGCTCTGGGTAAGAGCGTCTGCTAAATGACTAAAATGTAAATGTAAAAATTATCGTTATCATTATTTTTATCAGTAGTATTATTATCTGTATTATTATCATTGTTATTATTATCATTATCATTATAATAATAATAATAATTATCATTATCCTTATTATTATCATTGTCATTAAAAGCGGTAGTATTATTATCAGCAGTATTGTCGTTATTATTATTATTGTTATTATCATGATTATTATTATCATAATTATCATTATCATTATCCGTATTATTATCATTATTATTATCAGTGTTATTATTATTATTATTATTATTATTATTATTATTGTTATTATTATTTACAGTACATACAGTAGTACAGTAGATGCTTTGCCATATGTGGCATAACCCTTTTCCACCTTCTATAACATGATTATATATAATTCATAAAGCATTTATACGTTGTTTTTTTTAAAATAAAGGCTTGATAAACCCTTTAAGGTTGTTGTTAGATTGAAGTGGGACCACATTAGATCATCTCTATACAGTGCCTTCGGAAAGTATTCAGACCCCTTGACTTTTTCCACATTTTGTTAGGTTACAGCCCTATTCTAAAATTGATTAAATTGTTTTTTTTCCCGTCGTCAATCTACACACAATACCCTATAATGACAAAGCAAAAACAGGTTTTTGGAAATATTTGCTAATTTATAAAAAATAAAAAATGAAATATCACATTTACATAAGTATTCAGACCCTTTACTCAGTACTTTGTTGAAGCACCTTTGGCAGCGATTACAGCCTTGAGTCTTCTTGGGTATCACGCTACAAGCTTGGCACACCTGTATTTGGGGAGTTTCTCCCATTCTTCTCTGCAGATCCTCTCAAGCTCTGTCAGGTTGGATGGGGAGTGTTGCTGCACAGCTATTTTCAGGTCTCCAGAGATGTTCAATTGGGTTCATGTCCGGGCTCTGGCTGGGTCACTCAAGGACATTCCTGCGTTGTCTTGGCTGTGTGCTTAGGATCGTTGTCCTGTTGGAAGGTGAACCTTCGCCCCAGTCTGAGGTCCTGAGCGCTCTGGAGCAGGTTTTCATCAAGGATCTATCTGTACTTTGCTCCGTTCATCTTTGCCTCGATACTGACTAGTCTCCCAGTCCCTGCCGCTGAAAACATCCCCACAGCATGATGCTGCCACCACCATGCTTCACTGTAGGGATGGTGCCAGGTTTCCTCCAGACGTGATGCTTGGCATTCAGGCCAAAGAGTTCAATCTTGGTTTCATCAGACCAGATAATCTTGTTTCTCATGGTCTGAGTCTTTAGGTGCCTTTTGGCAAACTCCAAGCGGGCTGTCATGTGCCTTTTACTGATGAGTGGCTTCCGTCTGGCCACTCTACCATAAAGGCCTGATTGGTGGAGTGCTGCAGAGATGGTTGTCCTTCTGGAAGGTTCTCCCATCTCCACAGAGGAACTCTAGAGCTCTGTCAGAGTGACCACCGGGTTCTTGGTCACCTCCCTGACCAAGGCCCTTCTCCCAAGATTGCTCAGTTTGGCCGGGCGGCCAGATCTAGGAAGAGTCTTGGTGGTTCCAAACTTCTTCCATTTAAGAATGATGTAGGCCACTGTGTTCTTGGGGACCTTCAATGCTGCAGAAATGTTTTGGTACCCTTTCCCAGATCTGTGCCTTGACACAATCCTGTCTCTGAGCTCTACAGACAATTCCTTCGACCTCATGGCTTGGTTTTTGCTCTGACATGCACTGTCAACTGTGGGACCTTATATAGACGGGCGTGTGCCTTTCCAAATCATTTCCAAGAAATTGAATTTACCACAGGTGGACTCCAATCAAGTTCTAGAAACATCTCAAGGATGATCAATGGAAACAGGATGCACCTGAGCTCAATTTCGAGTCTCATAGCAAAGGGTCTGAATACTTATGTAAATAAGGTATTTCTGTTTTTTGTTTTTAATACATTTGCAAAAGATTCTAAAAACCAGTTTTCACTTTGTCAATATGGAGTATTGTGTGTAGATTGCTGAGGATTTTTATTTACTTAATCCATTTTAGAATAAGGCTGTAACGTAACAAAATGTTGAACAGTCAAGGGGTCTGAATACTTTCCGAAGGCACTGTATATGACTGGTTATGAGATATTACTTCAACACTGAAACAATGCACAGTACTATTGCTTAACCCATTGGGCAGAGACGTCAGTTCAACGTCTAGTTTTGATTTATATTTGTTTGAGTAGTCAACTAACGTGAATTCAATGTGAATTCAACAAAACATTTCACCATGTCATTGGATTTAGGTTAAAAGTTGGGTGAAAAAAATAAAATGCCCTTACGTTGATTAGATTTTGCAAATCCAATTAGTTTTCCACGTTGATTCAATGTCATCGCATTGATTTTTTTGCGTTGAAATGACATAGAAACAACGTTGATTCAACCAGTTTTTGCCCAGTGGGAAGTTTATTGGATCAAAATGTGTTGTTGGTCAATTTGATGTCATTCGTTGCGTAAAGTTGCACAACCTTATTACTGTAAGCACACCTCCCACATACTCAAAACCAGCGGTGTAAAGTACTTAAGTAAAAATACTTTAAAGTACTACTTCAGTCGTTTTTTGGGGTATCTGTACTTTACTTTACTATTCATATTTTTGACAACTTTTACTTTTACTTCACTACATTCCTAAAGAAAATAATGTACTTTTACTCCATACATTTTCCCTGACACCCAAAAGTACTTGTTTCATTTTGAATGTTTATCAGGACAGGAAAATGGTCCAATTCACGCACTTATCAAGAGAACACGTGGTCATCTCTACTGCTTCTGATCTGGTGGACTCACTAAACACAAATGAGTGTGCCACTGGCTATCCGTAAATGTTAAAAACAAGAAAATGGTGCCGTCTGGTTTGCTTTATATAAGGAATTAAAAATTATTTATACTTTTACTTTTGATACTTAAGTCTATTTTAGCAACTACATTTACTTTTGATACTTAAGTATATTCAAAACCAAATACTTTTAGACTTTTACTCAAGTAGTATTTTCCTGGGTGACTTTCACTTTTACTTGAGTCATTTTCTATTAAGGTATCTTTACTTTTACTCAAGTATGACAATTGCGTACTTTTTCCACCACTGACCAAAACACATCTGCATCATCAACCACACTAGATAACCAGCCTCTGTTCATGAATCAGTGGTACAATTTTCCAACTGTGATATATAACTGTGCTTATCGTGTCTCTGCTTTTAGATAACCTACCCACTCAGTGGTTAGTAAAATACATGACTATATTTCTGTCTTGGTTATCCCTTGGCCAAACCTGGTGTCTCTCTTCATTCTAATTCTGGGTTATGTCCCAAATAACACCCTATTCCTTATATAGTGCACTACTTTTTCACCAAAGCCCAAGTAGTGCACTATGTTGGGAATAGGGTGCTGCTGCTGGTGTATACACTGTACAGACTCAGAGCACTGACAGATACCTGGCTTCAAATAGTATTGGTTTTCTTCCAAATACTTGAAATGTTTGATTGAGCCTGCCTGGAGAGCCAGATCAGATGGGTGGGGTTTCCATTTTTGGGACTGTTCCATTGGTTCCATTGTGCCAGGCAAGCGCAATCAAGCGCAGCTGATTAAAGTGTTTGAAAGACAACAAATACTATTTGAACCCAGGTGTGAGCCTCACCTCTTTCCCAAAGGCCAGTGTGGTGATGACGTTACTGGCTGCTACAGTGAAATCCTCAGAGAGGTCCACAGCTCTGCCGTTGTAGTCCAGCAGTACCTGATGGATCACAGGTTACATTTTCAGATATAAACTCCCTCACTGTAAACTAAATATCGATTGCTTCAACTTAAGAAGATGAGTTTCCCCGCTGACTTGTAACTTTAACTTTTTGTTGTTGTAACTTTTTCAATTTGAAACCACTACATTGTCTTTACACAGGGCAACAAACAAGAAGTACAACAAGTGATACATCATTATGTTGTGGTTGGCATGTTGCTGAGGTTGCATTGTGTAACCTCCAATTCAGTCAATGTGCTGGTACATGCTGGATTACATTCCTTCTCAGAACACAGTGTGTTCCATTCTGCTGTTCCCTTCCTTGGAACAGAAAGTGTTCTGTGTTCCGTGCTACTGTTCCCTCCCTTGGAACAAAAAGTATTCTGTGTTCCGTGCAACTGTTCCCTCCCTTGGTACAGAAAGTGTTCTGTGTTCCGTGCTACATGCTCACTGGTGTAGACTCCAGTATAGTTTATTACAACGTTTTGACCCCCAGAAAGGTTGAAGGTCTTCATCGAGTAATCATTGCAATAAACTATACAGGAGCATACAACCATATAATTACATATAGAATTCTAGAATGCTGTAGTTGAGAGATTCCTTTTGCGTGGGTGGATACTTCGCAAACCGGAAATCTCTATTTCTAACACGCTTACCCCCAGAACCTAATCAAGCATCTGACCAAATTACACAAGATTTTAGTTCTGGGTTAGCCGAGATTATGATCCTAGCAACATGACAAAAAATCATCCATCTTGGTCAGGGAAGCTTTCCTTTGAGAAACGGATCAAATTTGGTCAAATATTGTGTAAAATAATGAATTTGTAGATATATCTGCACAGTATGTTTGTTAGCTAGCTAGATGGCCAACCAGTTTTGGGCTCTCAGTGCATACATCAGTGTGTGGGTATTTCTATTCCTTTTCTATTGATGTACTCTGTGTCTAGGTAATTGTTGGATGTGTGCATGCTACATTTAGAACTGTCATTTGTTTCCTCTCTACTTGTCTCAGGTGGAGTGCCTGTTTCTGGATGACCCCGTGGAGTGACTGCTGGGAGCAGCGTTGCAGTGCATTGTGAGCCAGACGGCGATGGGCCCTCCACTCCTCACTGTAGTCCCCCAGAGAGATGGAGCGGCCTCCTCCTGACACCACGTCTCCTGAGAGACAGGTAGAGAGGGAGGGAGAGGGGTAGAGGGAGGGAGGGAGAGAGAGAGAGACAGGTAGAGAGGGAGGGAGGGAGGGAGGGAGAGGGGTAGAGGAAGGGAGGGAGAGAGAGAGAACGGTAGGTATGGAGAGAGACAGGGAGAGGGGTAGAGGGAGGGAGGGAGAGAGAGAGAGACAGGTAGAGAGGGAGGGAGAGGGGTAGAGGAAGGGAGGGAGAGAGAGAGAACGGTAGGTATGGAGAGAGAGGGAGGGAGAGGGGTAGAGGGAGGGAGAGAGAGAGAGAACGGTAGGTAGGGAGAGAGACAGGTAGAGAGGGAGGGAGAGAAAGAGAGGGAGGAGAGGGAGGGAGAGATGGAGGGAGCGATGAGGGAGGGTGGGGCGAAATGGAGGGCGGAGAAAGAGAGTGAGGTGAAGGGTAAATCATTTTAATCAAAGCACTGTTGGCTCAGAGTAACAGAAGGGAGTGATGGTTGCTGGGAATACTCGGGTGGTTCTAATAATGTGTTCTTTACCGGTGTAAGAATGTGGTCTCCCAGCAAAGTCAGACCATTTCTTCACCAAGGCTTCTCTGATGATGTCACCACTGTTTAATACCACCATGGCTGCAGCGAACACAATATACAGAGTCAAGACAAACGTACTGTAATACCGAAACCATGAACATACTTAGGATATTACATTTATAAACAACTATTCTAACTGTCTTGAAACAGAGTTAACTTGAGTCACTTGCTTGGAAGTTATCGATGACGCAGATAAAAACAAAAGGTGAATTTAATGTAGATAATGATAATGAAGTGACTTCATTACTGGTGTTGCCACACTTGAGGCGGTAGATATTGCCATAGCGACGTGCCAGGGAGGTCAGGTGACTGGGCAGGTGGTCGTGTGCCAGCTCCAGCATGTTGCCCAGCAGAGGGAGAGAGAGAGGGCCAGGGAGAGAGGGAGAGAGAGAGTGCAGAAGTCTAGACCCAACAGCTTGGGGTGGAGGAGGTGGAGAAGATAGGTTGGTTGTCATTCTCTTCAGAATGTTACTGTTGACCTCATCAAACTGTTGCTAATCAAACGAAGCCACATCCCCATATGGAAAATCACTTGTCCTTTGACTATTTACAGTGATGGAAAAAAGTATTTGATCCCCTGCTGATTTTGTACGTTTGCCCACTGACAAAGAAATGATCAGTCTATAATTTTTATGGTAGGTTTATTTGAACAGTGAGAGACAGAATAACAACAAAAAAATCCAGAAAAACGCATGTCAAAAATGTTATAAATTGATTTGCCTTTTTAATGAGGGAAATAAGTATTTGATCCCCTCTCAATCAGAAAGATTTCTGGCTCCCAGGTGTCTTTTATACAGGTAACAAGCTGAGGTTAAGAGCACACTCTTAAAGGGAGTGCTCCTAATCTCAGTTTGTTACCTGTATAAAAGACACCTGTCCACAGAAGCAATCAATCAATCAGATTCCAAACTCTCCACCATGGCCAAGACCAAAGAGCTCTCCAAGGATGTCAGGGACAAGATTGTAGACCTAAACAAGGCTGGAATGGGCTACAAGACCATCGCCAAGCAGCTTGGTGAGAAGGTGACAACAGTTGGTGCGATTATTCGCAAATGGAAGAAACACAAAAGAACTGTCAATCTCCCTCGGCCTGGGGCTCCATGCAAGATCTCACCTCGTGGAGTTGCAGTGATCATGAGAACGGTGAGGAATCAGCCCAGAACTACACGGGAGGATCTTGTCAATGATCTTAAGGCAGCTGGGACCATAGTCACCAAGAAAATAATTGGTAACACACTACGCCGTGAAGGACTGAAATCCTGCAGCGCCCGCAAGGTCCCCCTGCTCAAGAAAGCACATATACATGCCCGTCTGAAGTTTGCCAATGAATTAATGATTCAGAGGAGAACTGGGTGAAAGTGTTGTGGTCAGATGAGACCAAAATTGAGCTCTTTGGCATCAACTCAACTCGCCGTGTTTGGAGGAGGAGGAATGCTGCCTATGACCCCAAGAAAACCATCCCCACCGTCAAACATGGAGGTGGAAACATTATGCTTTGGGGGTGTTTTTCTGCTAAGGGGACAGGACAACTTCACCGCATCAAAGGGACGATGGACGGGGCCATGTACCGTCAAATATTGGGTGAGAACCTCCTTCCCTCAGCCAGGGCATTGAAAACAGCATGACAATGACCCAAAACACATGGCCAAGGCAACAAAGGAGTGGCTCAAGAAGAAGCACATTAAGGTCCTGGAGTGGCCTAGCCAGTCTCCAGACCTTAATCCCATAGAAAATCTGTGGCGGGAGCTGAAGGTTCGAGTTACCAAACGTCAGCCTCAAAACCTTAATGACTTGGAGAAGATCTGCAAAGAGGAGTGGGACAAAATCCCTCCTGAGATGTGTGCAAACCTGGTGGCCAACTACAAGAAACGTCTGACCTCTGTGATTGCCAACAAGGGTTTTGCCACCAAGTACTAAGTCATGTTTTGCAGAGGGGTCAAATACTTATTTCCCTCATTAAAATGCAAATCAATTTATAAAATTTTTGACATGCGTTTTTCTGGATTTCTTTGTTGTTATTCTGTCTCTCACTGTTCAAATAAACCTACCATTAAAATTATAGACTGATCATTTCTTTGTCAGTGGGCAAACATACAAAATCAGCAGGGGATCAAATACTTTTTTCCCTCACTGTACAGTGAGATTTACATAAGGCCTATTCATAGCCTAAAGCAGCTTATGAGATAGATTGTTGAACAGATTGTCCTAGACCACAACGATAATAGCCTTGAAGGGGCAATCAGCAGTTACTACATCCATGATATATATGGTATTAATGATGTGTACCCATTTATTCTTAAAGGATATAACTTATAAATGCCTTAATGAGCTTAGTTCCACAGTCGTACCCCATTAGAACCCAAAATATAAGATTGTTTTATTCCGATGTTTGTAAACAAAGTAAAAGTAAACAAACACTGTATAGCTTCAAAACTTGGTTAAAACTATAATGTTGATATCATGGATAGCTCTGTCTATGAATTTGAGAGAGATTACATTTCTCCAGCCACATCTCTCCGTTTTTTACCAAAACAGAGGCGGGGAGGTGGCTTTGTTATTGTTTCAGCAGCTAATTGTCCCTTTAACTGTAGGACATAGACTGTACAGTACATCAAGGAAGAAAGAACATTGGATTGATTACCTGCTGATCGACATCCATTGGGATCTCCCTGTGTAACTTTGTCTCTTTTCCCAGGGAGGTAGATCAGTAGTATCCATAACAATGTAAGCATGACCACAGCACCCACACTCAGCATTGACACATGCACTGTCATTATGCAGGCTTTAAGTGTCACTCTCCCTGTCCCAAAAAAATCCCTTCCCTTTTATACAGGACTCTTCACACCCCCTGCATGTGCCACTCCTCTTCAGTGTTGGCATGGCCCTGCTCAAGGATGGGTAAATATTGTCTTGTCTTGACCCTCTGGAGAACCAGCTATTATTTCAATGTATTTATTTGGTGGGGAAAAAAACAACAGCTGAGAAATTGTACCATGGCCGAAAACCTTGGATAACTCGGTAACATGTTGACCTGACACACCAAAGCACTGAAGGTCTTTGGCTTCTTGTCATGGTGCAACTGGGTGGAAATATCACTCTACGTTGGAGGATGATTGAAGTCCTTTGGTCAACAGAGGTTAGGTTGCATCAAGGCAGGGTCTTTCTGAAGGACGTGATTTTAAAGAGGATGATGTTTACTTTGCTGGAGAGACTCAGATAGGAACAGAGGTGGAACATACTGTGCCTTCGGAAAGTATTCAGACCCCTTGACTTTTTCCACATTTTGTTACGTTACAGCCTTATTCTAAAATTGATTAAATAAAACAATTTATTCATCAATCTACACACAATATCCCATAATGCCGAAGTGAAAACAGGTTTTTAGAATCTTTTGCTAATTTATTACAAATAAAAAACAGAAATACCTCATTTACATAAGTATTCAGACCCTTTGCTATGAGACTCGAAATTGAGCTCAGATGCATCCTGTTTCCATTGATCGTCCTTGAGATGTTTCTACAACTTGTTTGGAGTCCACCTGTGGTAAATTCAATTGAATGGACATGATTTGGAAAGGCACACACCTGTCTATATAAGGTCCAGCAGTTGACAGTGCATGTCAGAGCAAAAACCAAGCCATGAGATGGAAGGAATTGTCCGTAGAGCTCTGAAACAAGATTGTGTCAAGGCACAGATCTGGGGAATGGTACCAAAACATTGAAGGTCTCCAAGAACACAGTGGCCTCCATCATTCTTAATTGAAAGAAGTTTGGAACCACCAAGACTCTTCCTAGAGCTTGCTGCCCGGCCAAACTGAGCAATCGGGGGAGAAGGGCCTTGGTCAGGGAGGTGACCAAGAACCCTATGGTCACTCTGACAGAGTTCTAGAGTTCCTCTGTGGAGATGGGAGAACCTTCCAGAAGGACAACCATCTCTGCAGCACTCCACCAATCAGGCCTTTATGGTTGAGTGGCCAGACAGAAGCCACTCCTCAGTAAAAGGCATATGACAGCCAACTTGGAGTTTGCCAAAAGGCACCTAAAGACTCTCAGACCATGAGAAACAAGATTCTCTGGTCTGATGAAATCAAGACTGAACTCTTTGGCCTGAATGCCAAGCGTCACGTCTGGAGGAAACCTGGCACCACCAGAGGCAAGGAAAGGGAGACTAGTCAGGATCGAGGCAAAGATGAACGGAGCAAAGTACAGAGAGATCCTTGATGAAAACCTGCTCCAGAGTGCTCAGGACCTCAGACTGGGGCGACAAATCTCTGAATGTCCTTGAGTGGCCCAGCCAGAGCCCGGACTTGAACCCGATTGAACATCTCTGGAGAGACCTGAAAATAGCTGTGCAGCAACGCTCCCCATCCAACCTGACAGAGCTTAAGAGGATCTGCAGAGAAGAATGGGAGAAACTCCCCAAATACAGGTGTGCCAAGCTTGTAGCGTCATACTCAAGAAGACTCGAGGCTGTAATTACTGCCAAAGGTGCTTCAACAAAGTACTGAGTAAAGGGTCTGAATACTTATGTAAATGTGATATTTCATTTTTTTAATTTTTTTAATTAGCAAATATTTCCAAAAACCTGTTTTTGCTTTGTCATTATGGGGTATTGTGTGTAGATTGATGAGGGAAATAAACAATTTAATCAATTTTAGTATAAGGCTGTAACGTAACAAAATGTGGAAAAAGTCAAGGGGTCTGAATACTTTCCGAAGGCACTGTACACAGTATGAGTTCACGTAGAAGTAAGTAAAAAGAAGGGACCAAAGTATCATATTGCAAAATATTAATATAAATAATTAAAGGCAATTTGAAAAAGAAATGTTTTCAGCTGAGTTTTTGAGGATCCGTTTTGAGAAAGATCTATCTACACAATCCTCTCTCTTCCTCCCCTCTCTCATCACTCACTTTCTTCACTCTATCCTTTCCTCTCTCTCTTCCATCTCCTCTTCCTCTCTTCCATCTCCTCTTCCTCTCTTCCATCTCCTCTTCCATCTCCTCTTCCTCTCCACTGCTCTGTTGTTCCTGTGTCTGGGCTGCAGTCCTCAGAGTCTGTAGAGACGCCCGGTCTCTTCTCCTGGTCTTCATGTTCACAGTGATCACAGTGCATGTTCCCAGCAGAACAGCCCAGCAATGACGGGAACACTGCATAGAAAGTTGAATCGACACCTAAGGGATCTCTCTCATCGTAAATCAGATGGGTCTTAGTCATTGACACACACACGTTTTCATAGATGACAGCACACCAGTACTCCCCGCTGTCCTCCAGTGAGAGGTTAGAGAGCACCAAAAAGGAGTGAGGACTAGACGCATTCATTCGGCCCTCAAAATCCTCAAGTCTGTACCATACAACCTCAGCAGGCTGAGTGAGATCAGCGTTACAGCCAAGAGCAGCTTCCCTTCCCTCTGAGAAGAACTCTGTGTGTAACTCAGACTTGTAGCACACCAGCAGATCACAGTATTGAAGAATCCTGGAACCCCTAAAACATACAGTATATAGAAGCCTGTGTGGCATCCAGAATGCCGCAGCCCGTCTGGTGTTCAACCTTCCCAAGTTCTCTCACGTCACCCCGCTCCTCCGCACACTCCACTGGCTTCCAGTTGAAGCTCGCATCTGTTACAAGACCATGGTGCTTGCCTATGGAGCTGTGAGGGGAATGGCACCTCCGTACCTTCAGGCTCTGATCAGTCCCTACACCCAAACGAGGGCATTGCGTTCATCCACCTCTGGCCTGCTGGCTCCCCTTCCTCTGCGGAAGCATAGTTCCCACTCAGCCCAGTCGAAACTGTTCGCTGCTCTGGCACCCCAATGGTGGAACAAGTTCCCTCACGACGCCAGGACAGCGGAGTCACTCACCACCTTCCGGAGACATTTGAAACCCCACCTCTTTAAGGAATACCTGGGATAGGATAAAGTAATCCTTCTACCACCCCCCCCCCCCCTCCCCCTAAAAATAAATAAATAAAAATAAAATAAAATAAAATATAAAAAATATAAAAAAAATTGGTAAAGTGGTTATCCCACTGGCTATAGGAGTCTAACTAAGTGAGGTTGTGGATCTGGAGATAAGAAATGTTCCTCAGATTCACAGATAGCTTTAGACGATCCTGTAAGTCTGCATCCAGGGTGGAATTCTCAGGTGAAGGGTTAGAAGTGATCCATAGCAGCAGTCTCTCTTCAACTGAGGATCTGGTGATAGCAAGACTCATGTCCCAAATGGCACCTTATTCCCTTTATAGTGCACTACTATTGACCAGAGCCATATGGGCCCTGATCAAAAGTAGTGGACTATAAAGGGAACAGGGTGCCATTTGGGATCCATGGCATGTGAGGCTGAGGTCAAGTCCCAAATGGCATGCTATTCCCTTTATAGTCCACTACTGCTTTTCCTCTCAAAGTTACTGACAGGAGTTGTGGAAAAGGAGTGTTCTTCACCTTGTCCTCTAATTTCATAGGCATCATATGTTTCTTGGTCCGCAAGGTTGATTCTGATTAGAACGGCCAGTAGAATGCTGGGCTTTGTGACTGAAGCCATTCTGATTAGAACGGCCAGTAGAATGCTGGGCTTTGTGACTGAAGCCATTCTGATTAGAACGGCCAGTAGAATGCTGGGCTTTGTGACTGAAGCCATTCTGCTGCAAAATGTCTGTTCACTGGTTGGAACACACTCAGTCTGTGCTTCTGTGGTAAGACGTGACAAGCCAATAGCTTCATATGCTCAGCCTCACTTATCTTTCCCCTGGATGCTGCAGTGCTAGAGACCTCATGGCGTTGAGCTCCATATCGACATATCTTCTTTCCTGTGAATCGTTGGTAGATGGACATTTCAGAGCAGAGTGTGCTGAGTTGTTAGATCAGTAACTTAAAGGCTATTGGAGGAGAGAGAAGTGAATTAGATTGTGTTAGATTGTCACTGATTGAAAATGCTGATGGTGACAGAAACACACCTGGGATGTGTAGCCTCAGTTTGTATAGGTGGGTTTGGGTCTGTGTCCCGAATGGCACCCTATTTTCCATAGGCCTTATAGACCATATTCTCTATGGGCCCTGGTCAAAAGTACAAAATACAAAGAGCTCCACCGAGCTAATCTAACCTCCACAATAAACAATCACACACAAAGACAAGGGGGCAGAGGGAACACTTATACAGGTACTGATGAGGGGATATGAACCAGGTGTGTGATATAAACAAGACAAAACAAATGGAATGATGAGATGAGGAGTGGCAGTGGCTAGAAGGCCGGTGATGACGAACGCCGAAGCCTGCCCGAACAAGGAGAGGAGGCAGCTTCGGAGGAAGTCATGACAGTAATGATGATTTCACCATCTTATTACTGATTACTAACCTGTCCGAGGCCATCTCCTGCACTCTCTCTCTCTTCTTGTCTAAATATTTCAAATCAATTCACAAAATACTATCTGTGCACAGAACTTAAATATGTGAAAGAATCATGTCTAGCAAAGGTGGTCCGGTGAACTACTCATGCATGATGTGTAACCTTGCCCGAGACCTGAAGAACTGTGTTAGCAGATTGAGATAATTCCTATGATGTCAGGCACACACACAAGCACCACTCACATAGTTGAGTACAAAAAACCCATCTCCATCCAGGCATTCATTTACCTCATTTATTCCAATAGAGTGAGACAGTGCATATTTTATTACAGTAGTAGTGGGGTGGGAAACCTTTGTGTTGTGTATCAGGTAGAGATGCTTTGGGGTCAGAACAATACCTTTGTGATGTGCATCAGGTAGAGATGCTTTTGGGTCAGAACAGTACCTTTGTGATGTGCATCAGGTAGAGATGCTTTGGGGTCAGAACAGTACCTTTGTGATGTGCATCAGGTAGAGATGCTTTTGGGTCAGAACAGTACCTTTGTGATGTGCATCAGGTAGAGATGCTTTTGGGTCAGAACAGTACCTTTGTGTTGTGTATCAGGTAGAGATGCTTTGGGGTCAGAACAGTACCTTTGTGATGTGCATCAGGTAGAGATGCTTTGGGGTCAGAACAGTACCTTTGTGATGTGTATCAGGTAGAGATGCTTTGGGGTCAGAACAGTACCTTTGTGATGTGCATCAGGTAGAGATGCTTTGGGGTCAGAACAGTACCTTTGTGTTGTGTATCAGGTAGAGATGCTTTGGGGTCAGAACAGTACCTTTGTGATGTGCATCAGGTAGAGATGCTTTGGGGTCAGAACAATACCTGTGTCATGTGCATCAGTTAGAGATGCTTTGGGGTCAAACAGTAGAACAATCATTGAGTTTGAGACGGTAAGAGTTGGGTCATAAAACAAAACAGTACAATACAAAATGCTGCAATCACAAATATTTTCTGTCTACTAGTACAAGTGAGAGAGACAGCATGATAAAGGTACAGAGCAGGAGCCTGGTGCACTGCAATGTACAGTACAAGTACAGACTGATAAGCTGTCTGTCGTGACGGCTGTTAGGACCACTGGACATGCAAGGTGAGGCAGAATTTGAGATGCAGGAAGTGTGCCATCCACACGTTTATGGTCTCTTGGCGCTCCATTTCTCTGTTTCTCAAAGGAAGGGTTTTAGGGGTGGGCGAGTCAGAGGACAGTCTTAGCCGTGGGTTGTAACAGAGAACCCGGCCGGTCTGAACTTCATCTCAGTAAAGGGAATGGACGAGTCTTTGCCTTTCCAGTCTATCCACACCACACCCTGTAACACAGCACATGCAGTTAAGTCACAGTTGACAGAAAAAAACGTTTTTTTGTTGTTTATTTAACTTAAAAAGATAAAACACTGTGCTGCCTTAAAATGTTAGGTTACGTTAATTTAGTAGATTAAGTTGAGTTGACAAAACTTAAATTCAGTTACATTAGTTGATAGGAGTTGATAGGAGTTAATACAACTTCAAATAAGAAGTCTGTTCAAATCATAGAGATAGATAGAGGACTAATGCCAAAAAGCCTGTTTTAGCATGGGGCAGCGCCTTTGAGAAATGTCACCATTTTGAAGTAGTCAACTGGGTGGGACTTCCTATGGGTTAATGAAGGATCACATAATTCCATCTGGGTCATCAGGAAAGATCAGCCAATGAATTATACGTGAGCAAACATTCCATAACTGCAGGTCGCAGTAAATCGTCAACCTTGGCTTTACGCCAGTTCAAACAACACACTCCAGGTGGCAGTATGCACCCTTTCAGTTTGTTTACCAACTCATATAAGTAGTAGAATAAGAAAATGGACCACTTCAAAATGGAGATGGCCTCAACGGTGCTGCCCGTGCGCTCACAGACACCATAATTGGACAGACACAAAGAAGAGTCCTCTATCATTCTCTATGGTTAAAATTGAAACACTCAAGATGTGGTGCAGTGTTTATAATCAAAATGTCAAAGCAATGAGAGTTGACGAGAGAAGCACTTAGTGGGATGATACTGATACTAGTCGTACCTGGTTGTTGCTGTTGGTGCCATAGAGGCCGTTGAGGTTGGTCTTGTAACAGTTTTTGTACCACCAGCCGCCCATGTAGGCCCTGGCACAGTGGATGCCCAGGGGGTGGGGTTCCTTGTCTCTGGTGGAGAATGGGCGCCCGTTGTGGTATCTCATGGAGTCACCTTATAGACGTGTTGGGGAATAAAGAAAGAAGGATCATTCAGGATTTGTAGAGGGAGGGCCGAATCCTACCTTCCACTTTAGACAAAATTTCACTTTAGTGAAAATGTGACTTATGTGAAGGTGATTGACCTCAAATTGAATATTTGTTTGTGAGCCTATTTGAGTTTTGGTTCCTCAACCTTAAGCACCTGCTTTGCTAGGTTCTGTCCTCACATTCTATCTTGGCTAGTGTACATGGAAATTATTTTCCTTTCTCATCAGTCTTCTGTTTCCCCTCCATCCCTCCCCTCTTACCTGCAGTGCCAGTGTAGCCAGACACCTCGATGGCGTAGTGTTTGGCCTCTGAGTCGATGGTGAAGCTGGAGTAGTGGGCATAGGCCGTATCATTGCCTGAACCTAGGTCCACTCTCAGGGTCACTGGGCCCATGCTGGTCAGGTTGTGAAGCAGCTCATTACCTGGATGGATGGATTAAAAATAGAGAGAGAAGATTAGGACATTATTTAAAACATATACTGTATGTTCAAACTGTGAGCTGTAGAGTACATACTGTAAGCTTTGGTAGTAGCCTCCCTTTTGATGCACTTAGCAGGGCTGGGGTCAATTCCATTTCAATAGCGAGGGTGCATAAAGAAGGAGGAATTCAGATATGCCGTCATTGTTTTAGCATTACCCACAGAGTTTTTAAACTACGTGGCGCGACATGGCTCAATGTGCCAGTTAATCAGCACAATCTACTTTTTCCTGGGATTTTTCCCCAAATTGCCGCTGTCTTGGAGCTAGAATTGGGATCAAGTTTACTGACGCTAATACAGATACCAAACAAGAATAATGGAAACCACTGGGATAATATGGCGAACTTAGCAAATTAGGCATTTGTGGTAAGTACATGGGGGCCGCAATCTTTATGCATGTCCTCTATTCAGTCAAGTAGACAGAAATTCCTTTCAAATTTTTCTCATAGAGAAACATTAAAGAAAATTGGAAGAGGAATTTATGTTTACTTCCTGAATTTACTGAAATTCTAATAGAACTGACCCCAACCCTGAACTACAGTTCTGCGCTTTCCTGTTTGTCCTTTTCTGAGGACTTTGAGTGGATCAGCAGCATTGAGCCAAACCTTACCGAGCCAGAACTCCTCGCTGAGGTTTCCAAAGCCGTTGGTGTAGTCACTCCAGGTTCTGTAGAAATCTGCCTTCCCGTTCATTCTCCTCTGGAACACCTACAGTAAGCAAGACATTCACAAAGCTCATATTGGAAAACTGACCATAGAAAATAAATGTGCACATTTATAGCCATTCTACCATTCCCCCACGTACTATGTCCAATAAAATTCAGCTGATGATTCAATCCCATTCAAACCAGAGAGAGAGAGAGAGAGAGAGAGAGAGAGAGAGAGAGAGAGAGAGAGAGAGAGAGAGAGAGAGAGAGAGAGAGAGAGAGAGAGAGAGAGAGAGAGAGAGAATGTATCTTACCGTCCAGCCGCCTCCCTCAGTCTCCATGTCACAGTAGACTCTGACTGTCTTCCCTTCCTTGCCCTCTGGGTATAGATCCACCTCTCCTGACTGGAGCACGCCATTCAGCAGCTCCTGGGAACACTCCGTGGGGAACGGGAAGCGCAGTTTTCCTGAGACAAGGGGACACAATTACTATACAAGTACTATATTCTCTGTAAAAGATAAATAACCCCGCTGCCTTAAAATGTTAAGTTATGTCAACTCAGTACGTTGAGTTGATGAAATGGAGAGATTAATGTGGAAAGTTACTTTTTGAAATTCACTGCTGGTCTGTAACACCTACCTGTGATAAACTCAGTGGTGACAATAGATGTGTACTGTCCCTCTCTCTCTCCCTGTACCAGCACCGTGTACTTAGACATAGAGAACAGTCCAGTCAGCTTGTACTCCGTCACCGTGGAGTCCAGAATCACCTCCTGGGAAGACAGAGGACCAGAGAAACAGCTTTTTTTTTTTTTTTTTTACTGTTTTACCTCATGTACTGTTGTTTCACCTCATATAGGATGTGTCCTAAATGGCGCCCTATTTCCTATATAGTGTACTACTATTGACAATGGGTCCTGTTCAAAAGTAGTGCACTATAGGAATATGGTCAGTTGGGACCTAGTCATAGTATACAGATGCAGGATCTTAATTTGATAAGAAATTCTAAAATTGTAGTGTATTTGAGGTTTAAAAAGGCTTCTGATGTTTGTAATTTCCACTTTAAAATTTCAGGCTTGATTTTCCCTTACGAAAAATGTATCAACCCCTATAAAAATGTCCATTAATTATAATAGACATAATTCACATTTCCTGTTGCGGCAGGATTATTTTCTTGCTGTAGCAAATTGGCTCAAATTAAGATCCTACATCTGTAGCATTGGTATACTATATACAGTAGTAGCAGTATAGTTGTGGTATTGAGTACATATGAATGTACAAGCAAGTATCATACGAGGAATAAAGCTCACCTTGGCCTCCTCTCCTGCCGTCTGATAGGTCACTCTATAGTTACTGAATGCAACACTGGGGGCTTTCCATGATACAACAGCAGAACGAGCGCCCACCTCACCGGCCTTTACAGCTGAAGGACAAACCATCACACATACAGGTACTTTCTGTCCTGGTTATTTTCCATATACAATATGACCTCAGAAATATGAACATGTCGGGAATAGAGGTCGTTTGGCGCGCTGAAATGTTTGTAACTTTGACCGGTCAGTCCGTATCTCTGAGCTTCAAATCTTTGAGGTTCTATGCTGTAGTTACATGTGATTTTCTGCATGTCAGTGTGTTTTTCCCCCTATGTACTCACCACTGGCAGTTGTGAAGGTGGTAGTGATGGCTGTGCTCTGCAGGCTGTCTTTCTGGCTCAGGGCTTTGACTGTGTACAGGGTGGCTCTCTGCAGCCCTCTCAGCTGGTGCTCTACTGAGTTACCAGACACCATCACTGTCACTGTTACATTAGGAGCTGTGGGAGAGACGAGGGAGGAGGGACAGGGAACACAACTTAGACTAAATCACAGCTTGGAACGGGAATAGAGCAGTATGCAGTACATCGTACAGGTGTAGTTATACTAGCTATGGTACATGGTATGTATATACCTTAGGAGGTTGGTGGCACCTTAATTGGGGAGGACGGGCTCGTGGTAATGGATGGAGCGGAATGAGTGGAATGGTATCAAACACATGGTTTCTATGTGTTTGATGCCATTCCATTTGCGCCGTTCCAGCCATTATTATGTGCAGTCCTCCCCTCAGCAGCCTCCACTAGTTATACTACTGTATATATGTTTACTATATCTTTTCATCAGGAAATGATACCACACTCACTTTTTGCAGACTCATAACTGAGGATGAAAAGGTCTACTTTTCCCATGGCGGGGGTCCATTGCAGCACTGCCTTGGTGTCTGTTATGTTAATTGCTTGGAGAACGGTTGGAGGGGCAGGCACTGCAGTCCAAAAACAATGTGGTGTACATCATGAATTTTGAAGAAAAAAAAAGATGCCTTTATGTCATGTTTTAAAATACTTAATTGTTGTCATATTGCAGAGCAAGACAACTGAAACTGTGGGTAAAAAAAAGGCAAATGCACTCTAGATCATTTTGCACTACACGTCCAAAGCAGAATGCATGATGATGTACTGTAATGGTGATCTAGGTAAGTGTGCAGTACCTGTGGTGATGATGGCAGTGAGGGGATCACTCTCTCTCTTCCCCATGGTGGACATCACACTGACCTCATAAGTGGCCCCTGAGGACAGCTTGGACAGAGACACCTGGGACTGCAGGGAATCCACAGACACAGAACCACTCTCTCCTATCAGGATGAGAGACAGACACAGAACCACTCTCTCCTGTCATGATGAGGGACAGACACAGAGCCATTCTCTCCTGTCATGATTAGAGACAGACACAGAACCACTCTCTCTTGTCATGATGACAGACAGACACAGAGCCATTCTCTCCTGTCATGATTAGAGACAGACACAGAACCACTCTCTCCTGTCAGGATGAGAGACAGACACAGAACCACTCTCTCCTGTCATGATGACAGACAGACACAGAGCCATTCTCTCCTGTCATGATGAGAGACAGACGCAGAACCACTCTCTCCTGTCATGATGAGAGACAGACACAGAACCACTCTCTCCTGTCATGATTAGAGACAGACACAGAACCACTCTCTCCTGTCATGATGAGAGACAGACACAGAACCACTCTCTCCTGTCATGATGAGGGACAGACACAGAACCACTCTCTCCTGTCATGATGAGAGACAGACACAGAACCACTCTCTCCTGTCATGATGAGAGAGAGACACAGAACCACTCTCTCCTGTCATGATGAGAGACAGACATAGAACCACTCTCTCCTGTCATGATGAGTGACAGACACAGAACCACTCTCTCCTGTCATGATTAGAGACAGACACAGAACCATTCTCTCCTGTCAGGATGAGAGACACAGAACCACTCTCCCCTGTCATGACAGACAGACACAGAACCACTCTCTCCTGTCACGATGAGAGACAGACACAGATCCACTCTCTCCTGTCATGATGAGAGACAGACACAGAACCACTCTCTCCTGTCATGACAGACAGACAGACACAGAACCACTCTCTCCTGTCATGATGAGACAAAGACACAGAACCACTCTCTCCAGTCATGATTAGAGACAGACACAGAACCACTCTCTCCTGTCATGATGAGAGACAGACACAGAACCACTCTCTCCTGTCATGACAGACAGACAGACAGACACAGAACCACTATCTCCTGTCATGATGAGACAAAGACACAGAACCACTCTCTCCAGTCATGATTAGAGACAGACACAGAACCACTCTCTCCTGTCATGATGAGGGACATACACAGAACCACTCTCTCTTGTCATGATGAGAGACAGACACAGAACCACTCTCTCCTGTCATGATGAGAGACAGACACAGAACTACTCTCTCCTGTCATGATGAGAGACAGACACAGAACCACTCTCTCCTGTCATGATGAGGGACAGACACAGAACCACTCTCTCCTGTCATGATGAGAGACAGACACAGAACCACTCTCTCCTGTCATGACAGACAGACACAGAACCACTCTCTCCTGTCATGATGAGAGACAGACACATATCCACTCTCCTGTCATGATGAGAGACAGACACAGAACCACTCTCTCCTGTCATGATGAGAGACAGACACAGAACCACTCTCTCCTGTCATGACAGACAGACAGACACAGAACCACTCTCTCATGTCATGATGAGACAAAGACACAGAACCACTCTCTCCAGTCATGATTAGAGACAGACACAGAACCACTCTCTCCTGTCATGATGACAGACAGACACAGAACCACTATCTCCTGTCATGATGACAGACAGACACAGAACCACTCTCTCCTGTCATGATGAGAGACAGACACAGAACCACTCTCTCCTGTCATGATGAGAGACAGACACAGAACCACTCTCTCCTGTCATGATGAGAGACAGACACAGAACCACTCTCTCCTGTCATGATTAGAGACAGACACAGAACCACTCTCTCCTCTCATGATGAGAGACAGACACAGAACCACTCTCTCCTGTCATGATGAGAGACAGACACAGAACATCTCTCTCCTGTCATGACAGACAGACACAGAACCACTCTCTCCTGTCATGATGAGGGACATACACAGAACCACTCTCTCTTGTCATGATGAGAGACAGACACAGAACCACTCTCTCTTGTCATGATGAGAGACAGACACAGAACCACTCTCTCCTGTCATGACAGACAGACACAGAACCACTCTCTCCTGTCATGATGAGGGACATACACAGAACCACTCTCTCCTCTCATGATGAGAGACAGACACAGAACCACTCTCTCTTGTCATGATGAGAGACAGACACAGAACCACTCTCTCCTGTCATGACAGACAGACACAGAACCACTCTCTCCTGTCATGATGAGAGACAGACACAGAACCACTCTCTCCTGTCATGATGAGAGACAGACACAGATCCACTCTCTCCTGTCATGATGAGAGACAGACACAGAACCACTCTGTCTGTCATGATGAGAGACAGACACAGAACCACTCTCTCCTGTCATGATGTGAGACAGACACAGAACCACTCTCTTCTGTCATGATGAGAGACAGACACAGAACCACTCTCTTCTGTCATGATGAGAGACAGACCAGAACCACTCTCTCCTGTCATGATTAGAGACAGACACAGAACCACTCTCTCCTGTCATAATGAGAGACAGACACAGAACCACTCTCTCCTGTCATGATGAGAGACAGAAACAGAACCACTCTCTCCTGTCATGACGAGAAACAGACACAGAACCACTCTCTCCTGTCATGATGAGAGACAGACACAGAACCACTCTCTCCTGTCATAATGAGAGACAGACACAGAACCACTCTCTCCTGTCATGATGAGAGACAGACACAGAACCACTCTCTCCTGTCATGATGACAGACACAGAACCACTCTCTCCTGTCATGATGAGGGACAGACACAGAACCACTCTCTCCTGTCATGACGAGAAACAGACACAGAACCACTCTCTCCTGTCATGATGAGAGACAGACACAGAACCACTCTCTCCTGTCATGATGAGAGACAGACACAGAACCACTCTCTCTTGTCATGATGAGAGACAGACACAGAACCACTCTCTCCTGTCATGACAGACAGACACAGAACCACTCTCTCCTGTCATGATGAGGGACATACACAGAACCACTCTCTCCTCTCATGATGAGAGACAGACACAGAACCACTCTCTCTTGTCATGATGAGAGACAGACACAGAACCACTCTCTCCTGTCATGACAGACAGACACAGAACGACTCTCTCCTGTCATGATGAGAGACAGACACAGAACCACTCTCTCCTGTCATGATGAGAGACAGACACAGATCCACTCTCTCCTGTCATGATGAGAGACAGACACAGAACCACTCTGTCTGTCATGATGAGAGACAGACACAGAACCACTCTCTCCTGTCATGATGTGAGACAGACACAGAACCACTCTCTCCTGTCATGATGAGAGACAGACACAGAACCACTCTCTCCTGTCATGATGAGAGACAGACACAGAACCACTCTCTCCTGTCATGATGAGAGACAGACACAGAACCACTCTCTCCTGTCATGATGAGAGACAGACACAGAACCACTCTCTCCTGTCATGACAGACAGACAGACAGACACAGAACCACTCTCTCCTGTCATGATGAGACAAAGACACAGAACCACTCTCTCCAGTCATGATTAGAGACAGACACAGAACCACTCTCTTCTGTCATGATGAGAGACAGACCAGAACCACTCTCTCCAGTCATGATTAGAGACAGACACAGAACCACTCTCTCCTGTCATGATGAGAGACAGACACAGAACCACTCTCTCCTGTCATGATGAGAGACAGAAACAGAACCACTCTCTCCTGTCATGATGAGAAACAGACACAGAACCACTCTCTCCTGTCATGATGAGAGACAGACACAGAACCACTCTCTCCTGTCATAATGAGAGACAGACACAGAACCACTCTCTCCTGTCATGATGAGAGACAGACACAGAACCACTCTCTCCTGTCATGATGACAGACACAGAACCACTCTCTCCTGTCATGATGAGGGACAGACACAGAACCACTCTCTCCTGTCATGATGAGAGACAGACACAGAACCACTCTCTCCTGTCATGACAGACAGACAGACAGACAGACAGACACAGAACCACCCTCTCCTGTCATGATGAGACAAAGACACAGAACCACTCTCTCCAGTCATGATTAGAGACAGACCAGAACCACTCTCTCCAGTCATGATTAGAGACAGACACAGAACCACTCTCTCCTGTCATGATGAGAGACAGACACAGAACCACTCTCTCCTGTCATGATGAGAGACAGACACAGAACCACTCTCTTCTGTCATGATGAGAGACAGACACAGAACCACTCTCTTCTGTCATGATGAGAGACAGACCAGAACCACTCTCTCCTGTCATGATTAGAGACAGACACAGAACCACTCTCTCCTGTCATAATGAGAGACAGACACAGAACCACTCTCTCCTGTCATGATAAGAGACAGAAAACAGATCCACTCTCTCTTGTCATGATGAGAGACAGACACAGAACCACTCTCTCCTGTCATGATGAGAGACAGACACAGATCCACTCTCTCCTGTCATGATGAGAGACAGACACAGAACCACTCTGTCTGTCATGATGAGAGACAGACACAGAACCACTCTCTCCTGTCATGATGTGAGACAGACACAGAACCACTCTCTCCTGTCATGATGAGAGACAGACACAGAACCACTCTCTCCTGTCATGATGAGGGACAGACACAGAACCACTCTCTCCTGTCATGATGAGAGACAGACACAGAACCACTCTCTCCTGTCATGATGAGAGACAGACACAGAACCACTCTCTCCTGTATGATGAGAGACAGACACAGAACCACTCTCTCCTGTCATGACAGACAGACAGACAGACACAGAACCACTCTCTCCTGTCATGATGAGACAAAGACACAGAACCACTCTCTCCAGTCATGATTAGAGACAGACACAGAACCACTCTCTTCTGTCATGATGAGAGACAGACCAGAACCACTCTCTCCAGTCATGATTAGAGACAGACACAGAACCACTCTCTCCTGTCATGATGAGAGACAGACACATACCACTCTCTCCTGTCATGATGAGAGACAGACACAGAACCCACTCTCTTCTGTCATGATGAGAGACAGGACACAGAACCACTCTCTTCTGTCATGATGAGAGACAGACCAGAACCACTCTCTCCTGTCATGATTAGAGACAGACACAGAACCACTCTCTCCTGTCATAATGAGAGACAGACACAGAACCACTCTCTCCTGTCATGATGAGAGACAGAAACTGAACCACTCTCTCCTGTCATGACGAGAAACAGACACAGAACCACTCTCTCCTGTCATGATGAGAGACAGACACAGAACCACTCTCTTCTGTCATGATGAGAGACAGACACAGAACCACTCTCTTCTGTCATGATGAGAGACAGACCAGAACCACTCTCTCCTGTCATGATTAGAGACAGACACAGAACCACTCTCTCCTGTCATAATGAGAGACAGACACAGAACCACTCTCTCCTGTCATGATGAGAGACAGAAACAGAACCACTCTCTCCTGTCATGATGAGAAACAGACACAGAACCACTCTCTCCTGTCATGATGAGAGACAGACACAGAACCACTCTCTCCTGTCATAATGAGAGACAGACACAGAACCACTCTCTCCTGTCATGATGACAGACACAGAACCACTCTCTCCTGTCATGATGAGGGACAGACACAGAACCACTCTCTCCTGTCATGATGAGAGACAGACACAGAACCACTCTCTCCTGTCATGACAGACAGACAGACAGACACAGAACCACTCTCTCCTGTCATGATGAGACAAAGACACAGAACCACTCTCTCCAGTCATGATTAGAGACAGACACAGAACCACTCTCTTCTGTCATGATGAGAGACAGACCAGAACCACTCTCTCCAGTCATGATTAGAGACAGACACAGAACCACTCTCTCCTGTCATGATGAGAGACAGACACAGAACCACTCTCTCCTGTCATGATGAGAGACAGAAACAGAACCACTCTCTCCTGTCATAATGAGAGACAGACACAGAACCACTCTCTCCTGTCATGATGAGAGACAGAAACAGAACCACTCTCTCCTGTCATAATGAGAGACAGACACAGAACCACTCTCTCCTGTCATGATGAGGGACAGACACAGAACCACTCTCTCCTGTGCACCATGTCTGCGTCCCAAATGGCACCCTATTCCCTGTATGTCAAATGTAGTGCATTATATAGGGAATAGTGTGCCATTTGGGACACCGGCTATGATTTACACTGAAACAGTGTCAGTGTTTGGGGAGGACGAAGGTCTTTTGGCTGAACAGCTGACAAAAGGGTTGTGAATAAACTATTTTCTTAAGTGTTCAAAGCTTCATCACCTTGTCACTTACAGTAGGGTCCCCCCCCCCCCCCCCCCCCGTAACTTACCCCCCAGTAACTTACCCGTGACCGAGTGAGTGTATGTGATTTTGAAGCCGGAGAGTGTGCTCTTTGGTTTGGACCAGGACACAGAAAGAGAGGCCTCTGTCATGTTACTGAACAGCAGCTCGGTAGGTGGCTCAGGCCCTGCATGGGGAGTAAAGGAATAAGGAAGTGGAGAGGTCAGAAGAGGATCTTTAAAGGAACCTCATATTCATTATCTCCAGCACCACACCAATGTCTACATATGTGAAAACAGCGCGTTTCTATGATCTGTGTGTTAAAAAGATAAGAAGAACGGTCCTAAAAACTGCTTCTCTGTGACATCACAGGGTTGAATTAAAAGTAAGAAAAACTGCGATTTTCAAAACGAGTTTCTAGCCAGAGGGAGGGTATTTTCTTGCTCCCCACGTCACGGCGAATGTCATAGTGTTTTTTAAATGTTTTAACTTTTGATGATGACATCAGGTAGAATTTTGTTCTTTATATTATTTTTCTACAAAACGTGGAAATGCGCCGTTTTCACATATGTAGATACTGTTGCTGGAGATAATGAAAATGAGGTTTGAAAAGTGGTGGAATTGCCCTTTAGTGTGAAGGAAAAGGTTAAAAAGTCACTAAAGTCACAGTAGATTTGAAGTATAGAAAATATAGATACAATGGGATATTCTGTCTAGAGACAAGTGATGATTTAGTGCAGCCACAGTTTAAATTGAAAGAGAGACATGCAGACTATCCAATACATGAACAAACACATTGAGTGAAAATATACATTTACTATAGGGGTTATTCATCAAAAGTTATGGTCAGATTTTATGAATAAGTCTCTATGTGGGTTTGGTTCTCCTAATTACCTGTCGTGGCGGTTACTCTGTGAATCTTGGAGCGGGATCCGGGAGTGGTGCCGAATATGTGCAGGGAGTAGTGGGTCTGAGGTCGCAGGTTACTGAACTCCACAGAGCGAACGCTGCCAGGGAGAACAATGGAAACCCTCTTTGTGTGAGCTTTACCTCTGGAGCTACCGGGAGCTTTAGTGGGGAAAGTGATGGTTCCATTAGTGCTCTCACTCTGTTTTTGGATCTCAATGGTGGTGTTGACGACTGCGGCTACTCTGTCCTCTCCCCCAACAGCAGCTGCCTCCTCCGCCTCTTCCTCCTCCTCTTCCTCGCCCTCGGCCCTGTGCTCTCTTCTGGACAAGGTGAAGTTCTTGAACATGGCTGTCGGGGCCGACCATGTGAGGGTGAAGCCGTACGTGGTGATGTTCTGAACCTTCACAGAGCCAAGTCCGCTGCCGACTCCTGTTCCTGCTTTCTTGGTGGTGTCTTTGAAACACTGGATTATTGTTGTCCTGTTGCTGAGGACTTTGACTTCAGAGGTGGTCTCCACAGTGGTCACGTTCACAAGATACTGACTCTTGTGTGGGACTGGCTTCCCTTTGCCTGAGCCTGTCTTCACAGTAGTTTTAGATGTGCCTGAGGAGATGTCAGCCTCTGTCTTATTGCCCTTTGTAAGGGTGATCTTGCCCGTCCCAGCCTTAGTGCTATCAATAGCCAATGACACCTTTGTAATGTTCATAGTCCCCTGAACTAATTTCACCTTTTTCACTGTTTTCTTTCCAGATGTTAGAGTCACATTCTTCTCAGCCAACGTCGACTGCTCCAGAGTCTCTTTTCCTGACCGGGTTTTGTTCACAGACGTCTTCACAGTGCTTAGGGTGACATTGGCTTGTGGCTGGTCTTGGAGGTTGCCAGCTTTAGCATTTGGCTTTACCTGCAGATTCTTCCTTAACTGTTGCTTTCAACTTCAGGTCAGGTTTGGACTGCTTCTTTAGAACTGTCGTTTTGCCTTTGCTCTCTTGCTTTCTTCCTCCATGGTGTTTCAACAGAACCTGTCCGACGGTTGGTCGGACCAGTCCAATCTTGGTAGCATTGGAGCGGGTGGAGACTTTTTTTTGGTTTTAGTGACAGTAACCCCCTGTTTGGCTGGTGTCTTGGTGAGGCCTGTTTTTACACTTGTGGTCACTTTCGTTTTGCTTTTGATGTCACCACCCTCTTTGGCGGCTGTAGGTTTCTTTTGCTCCGTTTTCTTCTGGAAGATGGTTTGGTCTGCTATGGTCTTCTTCCCCTGCAGACTCTCCTTGATAGCATTGCTCTCAGGTGATACCTTCAACGCCACCGTCTCCGCTGTTATCTGGATTTTGTCTTTGGTACCTTCTGGAGATTAGAGAAAAAAAGAGTTGTTCCAATAACCACACTAGCATACCACTTAGAATGAAGCAATGTAAACTCAGCAAAAAAATGAATGTCCTCTCACTGTCAACTGTGTTTATTTTCAGCAAATCTAACGTGTAAATATTTGTATGAACATAACAACATTCAACAACTGAGACATAAACTGAACAAGTTCCACAGACATGTGACTAACATAAATAGAATAATGTGTCCCTGAACAAAGGGGGGGTCAAAAAAGTAACAGTCAGTATCTGGTGCATTAAGTACTGCAGTGCATCTCCTCCTCATGGACTGCACCAGATTTGCCAGTTCCTGCTGTGAGATGTTACCCCACTCTTCCACCAAGGCACCTGCAAGTTCCCAGACATTTCTGGGGGGAATGGCCCTAGCCCTCACCCTCCGATCCAACAGGTCCCAGACGTGCTCATTGGGATTGAGATCCGGGCTCTTCGCTGGCCATGGCAGAACACTGACATTCCTGTCTTGCAGGAAATCACGCACAGAACAAGCAGTATGGCTGGTGGCATTGTCATGCTGGAGGTGTCATGTCAGGATGAGCCTGCAGGAAGGGTACCACATAAGGTAGGAGGATGTCTTCCCTGTAACGCACTGCCTTGAGATTGCCTGCATTGACAGCAAGCTCAGTCCGATGATGCTGTGACACACCGCCCCAGACCATGACGGACCCTCCACCTGCAAATTGATCCCGCTCCAGAGTACAGGCCTCGATGTAACGCTCATTCCTTCGACGATAAACGCGAATCTGACCATCACCCCTGGTGAGACAAAACCGCGACTCGTCAGTGAAGAGCACTTTTTGCCAGTCCTGTCTGGTCCATCGACGGTGGGTTTGTGCCCATAGGCGACATTGTTGCTGGTGATGTCTGGTGAGGACCTGCCTTACAACAGGCCTACAAGCCCTCAGTCCAGCCTCTCTCAGCCTATTGCGGACAGTCTGAGCACTGATAGGAGGGATTGTGCTTTCCTTGTGTAACTCGGGCAGTTGTTGTTGCCATCCTGTACCTGTCCCGCAGGTGTGCTGTTCAGATGTACCGATCCTGTGCAGGTGTTGTTACACGTGGTCTGCCACTGCGAGGACGATCAGCTGTCCGTCCTGTCTCCCTGTAGCGCTGTCTTAGGCGTCTCACAGTACGGACATTGCAATTTATTGCCCTGGCCACATCTGCAGTCCTCATGCCTGTTTGCAGCTTGCCTACGCACGTTCACGCAGATGAGCAGGGACCCTGGGCATCTTTCTTTTGGTGTTTTTCAGAGTCAGTAGAAAGGCCTCTTTAGTGTCCTAAGTTTTGATAACTGTGACCTTAATTGCCTAACGTCTGTAAGCTGTTAGTGTCTTAACGACCGTTCCACAGGTGCATATTCATTAATTGTTTATGGTTCATTGAACAATCATGGGAAACAGTGTTTAAACCCTTTACAATAAAGATCTGTGAAGTTATTTGGATTTTTACGAATTATCTTTGAAAGACAGGTTCCTGAAAAAGGGAATGTTTCTTTGTTTGCTGAGTTTATATTGGGCATGCATTCTAAGTGGTGTGCTTGTGTAGCTACTGGAAGTGAACCTTAGATTATGAGGTGCTAGTATGTCTCTAGCTGAATTGCAATAAATAAAATCAGATCAAAGAAGACAAGTCAGATCAGATGAAGAAGCCACAGTAACTGACTTTTAGTGCAGTCTGGACCAAGGAACCCTGGGAGGCAGACGCACTTTCCCTTCTCACATTTCCCATTCGCACTGCAGTCATTGGGACAGGGGCCTTTGGAGCAGGAAGCACCTGGTAGGAAAGGGAAGAGAGTATACAGTATGAAACCAGACAGGGCAAACATCGAAAGATCAAATGTGAACTATTCTGGATTTCATTCAAACTAGCCTCATGGACAATCTTTCATGAGGTTTGCAACTAGGAGGTTACGGTTATGTGTAACTAAATAAGACCAGTCGTACATTTACTCTTCATGAGGGACATCTCTTTCTCCAGCCTGCCAACGCGTCCTTTCAGTGCTGCCATCTCGGCCACACATCCCCCGGTGCAGGAGGTAGGAACCAGACTGATGCGGTGGGTCAGGATTAGAGGTGAGCCAGGCTTCAGCTTCAGCTCATGGGTCTGGGTCTGGGGCTGGGGCTGCTCCTTGGTGCGGTTGCTAACGTCACTCTGGGTGTCCTTGCTGATGCAGCCAGAGTCAGAAGTGATGAGCACTTTGATGGGGTTGGGGTGTGGACGGTGTGGGGGAGGGTTTGTTTTTGGTGGTGGTCTTTGGACCGCTGGCTTTAGGGAGGCTTGAGGGGGGTCGAAGGGGCTGGGAGAATCTGATTGGCTTCGGTTGGGCTTAGGGACTTTCGGAGTGGGCTTAGGGGTCTCTTTGGTGAGTTTGACGAGCTTGGCTGTTGGAGGCTTGAGGGGGGTCGAGGGGGCTGGATGTGTCTGATTGGCTGCAGTTGGGCTTAGGGCTTTCGGAGTGGGCTTAGGGGTCTCTTTGATGAGTTTGACGAACGTGGCTGTTGGAGGCTTGAGGGGGGTCGAGGGGGCTGGATGTGTCTGATTGGCTGCAGTTGGGCTTAGGGCTTTCGGAGTGGGTTTAGGGGTCTCTTTGGTGAGTTTGACGAGCTTGGCTGTTGGAGGCTTGAGGGGGGTCGAGGGGACTGGATGTGTCTGATTGGCTGCAGTTAGGCTTAGGGCTTTCGGAGTGGGTTTAGGGGTCTCTTTGGTGAGTTTGACAAGCGTGGCTGTTGGAGGCTTGAGGGGGGTCGAGGGGGCTGGATGTGTCTGATTGGCTGCAGTTGGGCTTAGGGCTTTCGGAGTGGGCTTAGGGGTCTCTTTGATGAGTTTGACGAGCGTGGCTGTTGGAGGCTTGAGGGGGTCGAGGGGGGCTGGATGTGTCTGATTGGCTGAGTTGGGGTTTAGGGGCTTTCGGAGTGGGCTTAGGGGGTCTCTTTGGTGAGTTTGATGAGCGGGGCTGTTGGAGGCTTGAGGAAGGGTCGAGGGGGCTGAGGGGGGTTTGAGGGGGGTCGAGGGGGGGGGGGCTGGAGGCTGGTGGATGTGTCTGATTGGCTGTTGCAGTGGGCTTAGGGCTTCTTTCGGAGTGGGCTAGGGGCTTAGGGGGCTCTTTTGGTGAGTTTGACGAAACGTGGCTGTTGGAGGCTTGAGGGGGGTTCGAAGGGGCTGGATGTGTCTGATTGGCTGCAGTGGGCGTAGGGCTTTCGGAGTAGGTTTTAGGGGGTTCTCTTTGAGACGTTTTTGACGAGCGTGGCTGTTGGAGGCTTGAGGGGGGTCGAGGGGATGGAGGTGTGTCTGATTGGCTGCAATTGGGCTTCTTAGGGCTGTCGGAGTGGGGCTTATGGGTCTCTTTGAGTGAGTTTGACGAGCATGGTGTTGGAGGCTCTGTTGAGAGGGATCAAGGGGCTGGATGTGTCTGATTGGCTTTGGCCAGTGGCGTAGGGCTTTCGGAGTGGGTTTTAGGGGTCTCTTTGGTGAGTTATGACGAAACGTCGTGGCTGTTGGAGGCTTGAGGGGGGTCGAGGGGGCTGGATGTGTCTGATTGGCTGCAGTTGGGTTTAGGGCTTTCGGAGTGGGCTTAGGGGTCTCTTTGGTGAGTTTGATGAGCGTGGCTGTTGGAGGCTTGAGGAGGGTCGAGGGGGCTGGATGTGTCTGATTGGCTGCAATTGGGCTTAGGGCTTTCGGAGTGGACTTAGGGGTCTCTTTGGTGAGTTTGACGAGTGTGGCTGCGGTTTTTTGGTTTTGCGAGGGAGAGGGTGAGAAGGACGTGATGTTTGGGTTCACTTCCTGTTCCTGTAGCGTTTCTTTTCTCATTGGTAACTGGAGTTTGAAGGGAGGGGAACGGGGTTAGCAGGAAGAGGAGGGCTAGAGAAAACAACATTTTAACTAAAGAGCAGTAACTTGATATTGAGACAGAATAGTATTTGGAGGGTCCGAATTCCAACAGTTCTATAAACTCCTTCCCAATGTTTTAGTGGAGAGGAGGCAAGACAATCCACCAGGGTTATCCTACAAATGAAAAAGAAAAAAACAAGTCAGCCAAGATGAGTATACTCAGATTACAGTTTATTAACATATGCAAAGCCATTCTGGAACCAAGTCCTAAAGTTAGGTTTGCGCTGTGGCCATTGGCTGTAGAGGTATGTAGTGACTACGAGCCAGAAAGGCTCAGCACAAAACAGATAAGCACTGTGTTCACTACTAGTAGTATTTTCTGAGGTGCTGCTGTACATTTTCACTGTACATTTCCGCTTTCCTTCTCCAACCACATACACTGAACCCTTTCCTCACTTTGCTCCTAAACTGTTAGTTTTTTTGCTCACTCACCAGGTGAAGAAAGGGAGTATTATACCGTACATACCTACTACTTGTAGTAGCTCTATCCAAAAGTCCTCCTTGAGGACTGACAAAGATTCAAACATCCAAACTGACAAAGATTATTCGGAATACTTTCAATGAGAACATTATGCTTAGCACAGGAGGTTGGTGGCACCTTAATTGGGGAGGGCGGGCTGGTGGTAATGGCTGGAGCGGAATGAGTGGTTTCCATTTTTTTTGTATGCCATTCTATTCCCTCCATTCCAGCCATTATTATGAGCCATCCTCCCCTCAGCAGCCTCCACTGATGCTTAGTACAGTACAGTTAAAGAGCTAGGGCAAGCTAGGGAATATCTGGAAAGCATTTAACACATATGCATCGATCCTCTGATGACAGAAATAACAACAATTTCTCTCACTGGATGGCTAACTCCAATGGCTGATTAAATGATACGGCCGGATCACTTCCTAGGCTAGCAAGTTACTTAGTTTAGTATTAGGAAAAGTAGGGAAAAATGTGTCAAGACAGGGAAGTGAGATCTAGAGGGCCCTGCTGCGGCTGTGCAGAGGTGTAACAGAGCACTACTGTATGCTGCTCACTGAGACTGTACGTCTTTCACTGATGACTTACATCATCTGCACCCGCGCCTTATGAAAACCACCAGGAGAAATATGCCCCGATTAAATATGTATGTCTTTTTTAAATCTCAGGGGAATTAAATGAATGAGCAAATACTATTACAGTAGCTGGTCGTTAGGAACATACAGAGCATCTGTATTATAATGACATTTATGAACGGTGTGCACAACTACTGTATGAATTAAAGGATTTATTATTTAATTATAATGTATTGATTTTTAATTATTTTATTTGGACAGTTTTATGGCTACTGATGAAGCGTTACTAACACACAGACTACAGCCATGCTCCTCACTCCTGATGTTACTATTCATGCACTGACGTTCCATTGTACTGTACCTCCTCAACTAATTCAATATCTGATTGAGTTCTGAAATTAGATCACAACTCATTAGTAAGTACATTGGAAAACAATAACAGACATTTCATGACTATTAACATTAGTACTGACTTGGAATGAACTAGATCATTGAGGATTCAGCGCTGGCCTCTCTTCTCACGTGACCCAAAGATCACACACAATGGCTGTTCTTTTAAAGAACATCAACTGATGATAACCATATTGCATTTCATTGTATTTAAAATGTAGTACACCTATAACTTTATTTAACTATAGATGCTTGACTCTATGGTATTTTAATGGTTCATTAATTAATCAAAACATTTTAATAACATGATCATGCGTCCATAAGTTTGTAGAAAAAGGTGAAACTTACCAGGACAATAATTCCCTCCTGTGACTTAGTGTGTATCAGTCTGTTGCATCCTCCATCTGATACAACCACCTCATATAGACTGCTGCCTATGCATGAACAAAGGAGGAGGAAAGAGGAGAGAGAGAGAGAGAGAGAGAGAGAGAGAGAGAGAGAGAGAGAGAGAGAAGGACCACCACTAGAAAGAGGGGTGATAAAGTCTGCTCCTACTTATGAACCCCGCCCAACCCAGAATCCACCCCCCCCCCCCCCCCCCCTCGTTGAAACCCTTGCAACCTCCATGGAAAATATTTGATTAGGATGTGTATAAAAGTAACTTTTAGATTGAGTTTGAATGATTTAGATGTTTTGCTTTACTGTGCGTACTACTCTACACTACACTACACTTACATGTACATAAACATATCACAGTCAACAGGTGTTGTTTTTTACCCAATGTCCTCAAACCAGATGTATTACTGCCATCAATAGAAGAAGCCTTGCTGAATCCCAGATCCCACCCTCTAGTCTCTAAGACTAGGGCCTTGTTCAGTCAGAAAAGGTTGAGCTAGAGTGTGAAACAACAACACTACTGCATATTTAGCACACACCCCACAAGCTTAGGGGGCCCACAACCCCTCTCCCCCCCAAAATAATTATAAGAATATTTTTGTGGGGGGGGGGGGGGGGGTTGTTGTGGTCCTCCCCCAGAGAGCAAATTAACACATCATAAGCAATGAAATTATTTTTTTGAATTACAGGAAATTTGATTGAATAGTGTTTCAGATTACCAAGATTCAGATGGGATACATACCATGATGCCGCAGGTATTGGCCGGTGAGCTGGGGGCCACAGACCTGCAGTACTGTGAGTATGAATAGCCTGTCTGTTTGAGGTAATGGGATGGAACTACATGGGTTTTATGTAAGTGACCAAATAGCTAGGAGATTTAGCGGATGCTGTATGAAGGAGGAGGCATTGCATCTTTCACCCAAATGACCACCCACCAGCCTACCTTTTGTAAACCACATACACACACTTCACGTGCGTAGGCACATGCACGCACACATATTTGAGCAATCAAAAACATTTGCGCATGCAGACACACAGAAACACACACAGGCACAGCACAAAATGGGCACAAACATACACAAATACGCCCCACACCCACACCTGCACACACCTGAGTGGTTACACCTCCCTGACTCTTGAAAACACTCCTGACACCAGAATGTTCCCCGGACCATTTTCAATGCCTTTATCTCAATGACCTGCGCTTAAAACACACTGGAAACATACTGGAAAACCCCAGCCTCAATATAATATGCCCCTTTTCTGTCATGTCCCCTATGGGTGAGACATCGCTGTGTCCCACTAGTCCACTTGTCGCTCCACTGTAGGATCCAGTGGGTGGTCTGTTCTCAGCAGCGCCTCCATCTGGTGGCAACTACCAACAGCGACTCCACAACCCCCCCAAAAAACAAAAAAAAAAAAAAAAAAAAGAAAAGAAGAGAAAAAAGAAAAAAAAAGAAGAGAGCCAAAAAAAAGCGGAGGAAGGAGAGAGCGAGAGAGAGGGAGCGGGGGGGGCGGGAGGGAGAGCACGGGGGGAGCGGGAGGGGGGGGGGCGGGGGAGAAGAGGGGGGAGGAGCAGAAAGCCAGAGGCGGAGAGAGGAGGGGAGGGAGGGGAGGGGAGCGGCGGAGGGCGAGGGAAAAAAGGGCGAGGAGGGGAAAAGGAGAGGCGCGAGGGAGGGGGGGGGAGAGAGAGAGCGAGAGAGAGAGAGAGGGGAGGGGAGGAGAGGAGGAGAGAGAGGGAGAGAGGGAGAGAGAAAGGGGAGAGGAGAGAAGGGGAAAAGGGGAGGAGAGGAGGAGGGAGAATCGAGAGAGCGAGAGAGAGAGAGGAGGGAGAGAGGGGAGAGAGAAAAAGGGAAAAAGAGGAGAGAGAGAAGAGAGAAAAGAGAGGCGAGAGAGAGAGAGAAAAGAGAAGGAAAAGGGGAGAGAGAGAGAGAGAGAGAGAGGGGAGAGGGAGAGAGAGAGGGGAGAAAAAGAAAAGAGAGAGAGGAAAGAGAAGGAGAAGGAGGAGGAGAGAGAGAGAGAGAGAAAAAGAGGGGGGGAAGGGGAAAAGAAGAGAGAGAGAGAGAGAGAAAGAGAGCGAGAGGGAGGAGAGAGGAGAGAGAGAGAAAGAAGGACGAGAGAGAGAGAGAGAAGAGGAAAAAGAGAGGAGAGAGAGAGAGAGAGAGCGAGAGGGAGATCTCTCTTCGCTATGGTCTCAACAGACCAACTCCGATTTATCACAACTGATCGGGGAGATCCCGCTTTATTGCTAGGTCCGCTCAACCCCAGGGTGTCCCCCATTTTCCTCTCTCCCTTCTCTCTCTTCTTCCTTTGAATATTCTCCTCCTCCTCTCTCTCTCTTTCTCTTCTCTCCCCTAATTCAATTTCAATTTCAATTTAAGGCTTTTGATGGAAGTTGTATAACATGCCAAAGCAAGTGAAGTAGTAGTAAACAAAAGTGAAATAAACAATAAATATTAACAGTAAACATTTCACTCAGAAGTTCAAAGAAATTTAAAGACATTTAAAATTTTCCAAAGATATATACAGTTTTTGTAACAATGTGAAAAAATTTAAAGAAAACAAATGGGAAAAAAAATAAAAAAAAATATGGGTTGTTTTTTACAATGGGGGTTTGTTTCACTGGTTGCCCTTTTTTCGTGGCAACAGGTCACAAATCTTTCAAACTGGGGGCCCACTTGGTTTTTCACCCCGTAGATAAGGGAGGTTTTTCAAATTGGGTTTTTTTTTCAATTCTTTGTGGATCGTGTAATCTGAGGGAAAAATTGTCTCTAAATGGTCATACAAATTGGGCCCCCGGGGGGTTTGGGAAATGCAGCTTTAGTTTCCACCTCATTTTTGGGGCAGTTGGGGCACATAGCCTGTCTTCTCTTGGAGGGAGGTTGCCTACGGCGGGGTTTTCAAAAAGCAAAGGGTTTTGCTCACTGAGTCTAAAAAGTCCCCAAAACTTCCTTAAGTTTTGGGCCAGTCACAGTGGTCAGGTATTCTGCCCAAAGGGGTACTTCTGTTTAGGGCCCCAAAAAGCATTCTAGTTTTTTGTTTTTTTTTTTGTTTTTTCCAATGTGTCAAGAATTTCTTTTTTTTTTCTCATG